GTTAGTGTGACGGACCAGAATGAAAGACCTTAAACTTATTGAAGCTAGTCAAGCTAAACTGGTGAATCGATACATTAATACGAAAAGGAAACTACTAACAACCAACGCTCACATATGGTTTAATTGTAATTATTTTAATTAACTGGAACGTGGCTATTTTTAACAAGTGAAGTTTTGTGTGTTGGTGATTTCTTTTTCTATTATAAATGCCTCTGATGATGGCTCCGTGGTGAGCCGAAACATGTAAGGCAGGTGGTGACGAGGTGCAAAACTTAAAAAAGTGTCACATTTGACGGAAGGAACTTGATTGTTAAGAATATCTAACCAATTCTAAATTGTAATCAGCAGTAAAACTGTAACTATTGTAATTTTAATCTACTTATATATCAAATTGTTAATATTCAGAATTAACTTGACTTGTCATATATCATGTACAATGATCTACAGTGACGAAATAAATCAATCAATCAATCAACTTGTTTCAGGCCATTCTTAAAAGGAAAACTATCAACTATGTGTTTAACACATAATGAATGAATGAATGAATGAATAAGTAGAATAATGTAGAAATACGTTCCTCCGAAAGGCTGGTACCTACCAGGTAAAAAGAGTGTCACTACACACAAAAACCACAACATGAACCTCCATTACAGAGGAAACTTTAATCTTATGCAAAATAGGTTATGTCCCCAGGTTAAATTACAGGGTAGAAACTGACGAGAGAAACTCAGTCACACTCATGCAAGTGTTACACATAACAAAAAGTTTAGAAATTATCCAACCTTGAGCTCGAAGAATTGCCGATTTTCCTCTACCGGCACCACCGGTACCTTTGTTGCCTTGCCGTTTAAACATAGGGGCATTTTTCAACATGTCTGGCAATATGAGAAATCTGATTTTCGATCCACGAATGTACACGTTTTCCAACTGTGCGACTCTGCCATCACGATACGTAACTGTGACATTTATCATCTGACAGTTCATATTATCCTCTGCTTCAATCAATTTACCCCTATAAACTTCGCCGGTATTCGTTTCACAAGTTACAACATGGCCCTCTGCTTCATGAAGAACTTTGATTGGAACACCAATAGACATTTTTGTTCTTGACGTGTATTCGACGTAAAATCAATTACTTTATCTCGATGCCACAAGAATTCGGTCCTTCAATGTATATTCGACGTAAAATAAATTACAACGTTATCTCGATACCACAAGGATTTGAATAGCTTAACTTACAAACACTTCCCAATATCCAAATACCTGGAACGTTAGCACAACGCACACCAGAGCCACAGACGCTGACGGCAAAGGTCGGCAACGAATTAATGCATTCTGCAATGTGACCAATATACTCACCTGAGTTGGTGGTTTGAAAAAGTGCTTTCGATTATTACGAAATCGCCAGTTCTGTGATTCGTTATTTGTTTTAAGATATGTAGTTTCTTATATTATGCATTCCTGATATTTATGATAAATATGTTGTTATATTAAAACTCTATCAATGTTGGTAGAGCTGTATTGTTGAGCTGTTTGTTCTTATCTTCCAGACCCGTGCTGAAAGATATACCAATTTAGGAAACAAGTTTGGAGTTATTCATTCTTGTGCGTGAAAGTTAAGTCAAAGAGTTTGCACAGTTTGCACAGGCTAAAGTATTGAAATAGGAAATTATTTATGTACCAGTTGTCTAGATTTAGTCGATACTTAGTACTTTTAGAACACAAAATATATGTCTTTAAATCGTTAACATTTCAAAACAATAAAAGTGTCAGTTAATATATCATGGAAGTCACAAAATATACTGACAAGGGTGAGATTATCTTTGTTTCTAAATGTTGTAATATCGTTTGTGCATATCATGAATATTACTGGGCGTTCAATCGTAATATATTGTTGCAGGTACCTATCCTAGACTGGAATTGCAACTGACACATCACCGTCAACGATACAATTGGGATTGTGGTGTTTCGTGTGTCTTAATGGTTCTGGAACCAAAAACTCGGGAACATTTGCTTCTTAATTTCAAAGAAATATGCAAGGAAGAAGGCTTTAATGAAAGGTATAAATTATTACTTAAAAGAATTACTCGTAGTTGATACTTTCTTACAAAATGGTCAAGAACTTGGCCAATTTCTGTTTCACTACAGTTGAAGCAGAACGTGTTACCAGCCTTAATGTGTTTCATATTTTATTTGACTTATGTGACTGGTGATTTGTGTAGGTTACCAGGTTTATGTGCTTGCAGCCTAATACCAAAGAATGATGTGACTGGATTCATCTGATTGAGAACAGCAACCAGCAGTGGGCTCCTGCAAACATAGTACTGATAACATGCTGTCAGTTACACGACTAGTATGTCAGCTGTTACCTTCCAAAGGACTGTCCTCCATTTTGTTAATTATCTTGAAGTATAAATGTAACAGAACTATCTATACAGTCCTTTATATAAATATCCAAATGCTAGAATTTAATAAATTCACCATTTCTTACAAGCTTAACAGGAAAGGAAATATCCAGTCTCCTTATTAATTCTGTTGTAAACATTATCATTGGTCATACCTCCTTAAGTAGGCGATGTTATGGAGGGAAAGTCTTGTACATTCAGCAGAATATCCAGCATGGGAATTTTGGTTCCCGTTGTATGAAGAAGACAGTTTAGGAATGTTTTGCTGATGTTACAGTGATCTGCATCATTATATGATGATGATGATGATGATGATGGTGCATCCTCAGATGTTTTTAGACAGTTTGGCATACTTTAACAGTACAGACCTTTTCATAAAGAGTGATGTGATATGAATGTTAACTAGTTCATCAGCAGTTGAATTTAATGAAATTTCATAATTCATTTATGAACCCATTGTTGACTAACATAATCTTCAAGATGTGATGATCATCAGCTTTGTCCAAACAGCTGTACCACATATCCAGGGTGTTTTGTCTTGTCATCAAGAAGTCCCAGCCTTGTGCTCTCAGGTATCTTTCTTTTACCAAAGAATGCAGTCTATTTATTGATATATTGAATTGAATTGAATTTATTTACATTCTATAAATCCTAAGCAGGTTAGTACCTTTGGATACAGAACAAGTCAAAATGTTACATACATAAGTACAGGCAATTTTAGCTTAAAAATTAATATAACTTAATTTTACATCATTCTCTATTTACATTGAAGTATTCATCTAAAGAGTAGAAGGAATGAGCATGTAGATAATTCTTTAACTCTGATTTAAACTTTTTAGTATCATTGCCCAAGTTTTTAATACTTCGTGGCAGATTGTTGAACACGTTTATATATAAAATGTCTTAACAATACGATAAGTGTGCAACAGCAAGGGCTTCCTGTCATTTACATGAAGCTACTAGGGCAGGCAGGGTGTCATTTAAACAAGTCTCAAAGGACTAATTGAAACAGCCACAGTAATAGCATGACTTCTTCATTTAATGCATACATTTTAATTTCTTCAGCTGCTGAAGTAGATGGTGTGTTAGCTCCTGACTGCAAGACAGAACTGATAAATATGAGGTGCATGAGCCGACAGATTTTTGTACTGTTTTCACTCTTACTTCACATATGAAAATCGATGTAGTGTGCGCTATAGAAATCATATCTGAAGGAATGAAGTGTCTGTAGAAGACCTATTTTCTGTTATTTGTGCAGTACTTGGAGCATCGACCTGTGCTACCTGTTGAAGCGATATGGTGTGAGTCATCTCTACTGCACGATTACACTGGGGATTCATCCAAGCCATCGAGGGCAGTCCTTCTATGATAAAGTTTTGCAAAAGGTTTGCTTGATTCAATCTGTAGATGACATTTCACACTTCAAGAACTTTTTTCTTTGGTGGGTTATTTTACAACACTGCCAGTAGGTACATGATTTGGAAGAAAGCAGTTGTGGGCTGTTCTAGGTACATCCCAACATCTACCCAGAGAGACTGAAGAAAACTACAAGCACCTTAGCTGGGCATATGTCTAGTAGCACGGACAGAAGGAATACATAAAGAATTTTGGTAGGAAAACATCCACTTTGAATATGATGATACAGGAAGATACCCAAGACAGGTTGTGCGGATGAGAGCTGGGTAGAATTGGCTCACTAACTTGTGCAGCCATGGGCTACTATTCATGGAAAATTGAGAACAGATTTTTTTTTTTTTGATTAAGATATCAGCCCATGCAGACTGTAGGGGGATGGAGGTAAAGTTCCATACATTCTAAACACTGGCACTAAAATGGAAACAAGTAGGCATTTCCATACTCAGCTACTTTGCTTCCAGTGCACATGGAACAAGATGCTGCATATGCTCAAGGATCAGTACAAACGAGATGATGATAAGAAAGAATACCTAGTTCAGATGGGAGTTAAAAACTTTGTCATCCAAGCTCCAGTCAGTCTGAGATATTCCAGCAGTTTATTACTATTACACACCTGCATAATTAGTATTAAAATACAAAGGCTGCTACCATGCTAACATAAGTGCCTGTAATTGGACCATAGACCCTGAACAGTGGAGTTAGTTTAGTTAGTAAGTTCTTTGTCAAAGTAGTTGAAATAAGAACTGGTGATTCTCACAACAGTAAGCATTAAGATTACAGGGCTGTGGCAGCCTCTTCTCAGACCCCAAACTTCAGTGGAAAATGCTTATATAATATGCAAAGCAGCTACGTATTGAGACAAATAGACTTGAGAGAGGGGGTCAGGCAACTTGGCATTTGGTAATGAAGCTATGTCCTTAGTATATCTGTATTTGGAACCATTTGCAGTACAGCTTTTGTAATACCTGTCATGACAGAGGTTGAGGCCCGTGTTTGAAATCAGGACATAAAATAAAACAGATGAATCCATGGCAGTATCATGATGTCTACCAACTGAGACAAGACCCACAAGATCCACTCCCATTTCAAGGCTATGGGTCCCTTATCAGAGTAGAACCAGAAACCAGTAATGTCCCTGTCTTCCTAATGAGGCGAACAGTAGAAGCCAACCCATGGCCCAGACTGGCCACATGAAAAAGTGTAGTCTTGTAGAAATCAGGATGTAGCATGGAGGCATGTTCCTCTGAAGCATGGTACATGTCTACCGAGTTACACAGCATTACACCGCAGTGCAACTTTGCCTGTTCCAATTCAAACTGATTATCATTCATAAATACAAACCACTCCGTCCAGTGTGACATGCAAGTTTTTACTATGTTAAAACTTATCTCCCTCACATGTTTCGGTCCTTACGGGCCATCTTCAGAGGGAACATCATTACAAACTGGAAACTACCATCACAATAGGTGTTTTGATTTAAAATACATACACTTATATCTTATCCTCACCAAGATAGACAGGCGACACAAAGTCTGCCCCATACAAGGACGACGATAAGAGTACGGACACGAATCTACGTGGTTTAAAAAATTTTAACTATTGACAATAAAGGTTTTTTAAATAACATCTAGAAACTTTTAAAACTTTACAACACCAGGAAGCTGCTGTGATTGTGAAACGTTCGACTTTAAGCATACTGTGCGTTATAGGATATAAGTGTATGTATTTTAAATCAAAACAACTATTGTGATGGTAGTTTCCAGTTTGTAATGATGTTCGCTCTGAAGATGGCCCGTAAGGACCGAAACATGTAAGGGAGATAAGTTTTAACGTACATGTCACATTGGACAGAGGGGTTTGTGTTTATAATTGTTAGTGTGACGGACCAGAATGAAACAACTCAAATGATTATCATTCCCTTATACATTCATCAGCTTCTCTGAGATGTTGCTCTCCAAACACAGTTCCAGGAATCCATACACTTCTCTGTAGGGGTGTGAAAAGTACAGGGACTCTTGAAGAGAAATGGATATTAAAATATTCGAGAAAGATTGCAGGCAAAGTGAGATGGAACAGAACTAGACATGAAGTTTTGGAGAAGTTGACTGGTCTGGCCACGCACATATAATGGAGGGAACAAGGACACCAGAAAGGATGCTGTATTACAGTTTCAAAATGTAGGTGATGCACAAGATGGACTAGTCAGGTACTGCAAGACATTAACAAGAGAGGAAAAAGCTGGCAAGAAATACAAATGGATGACTTGGAGGGGGGGAGGGGTTGGAGATATTTTTTATTGGCCTATCGAAAATGAAAAAGTTATGTGAGAACAAGTTTGAATTGTTTGGGATTCTGAGGCTCCTGTGGGATAAGGTCTTTTTGAGTGCCTAATTTTTTCTTTGAAGTATTTAAATTGTCACACATATTGATATCCTGTGAACCTGGATTGCTCACTCAGTACGAGATGCTATTGGAAAATTCCTGGACTAGGTCTAAAAAGAAATGATGCCTTAACTTGCTCAATTTTGGCTGCCATGTCCTTCAAAAACATATACAGCGATCCCATCATTTTTTCCACGCTTCAAAAGTTTCCTTAATGCCGTCAAGTACCGCTTGCGATTCCCTTTGGATGTGAGACACTGTTTCAAAACGTCCCTTCAGTTTCATTTTCAGTTTGAGAAACAAAGTGAAATCACAAGGAGATAAGTTCAGTGAGTAGGGAGGAAGGGGAACAATAACCATGTTACTGTTAGTCACAAACTCTGTAGTTTTCATCAGGGACGCGGGCGCATTGTCATGATGAAGGAGCAGCGCGGTGCATGTTAATTTTTCCTATTACGATCTCCTGGCAAACTCCATTACTCATTCTAATGGTGTCTGCAAGCTCATGGATTGTAGAGCAATGGTCTTCATGGATGAGTTCTTGAACTTTTTCAACATTTTCTGTCATTTTGCTGGTGCTTGGTCACCTTGAACGTTCGTCATCTTAAACTGGCCATTCAAAAACCACTGTCCACCTTAAAGAATGTTCTCCAAAAGCCTCAAGAAGCATTTCAACATAAAACTTGATGCAGACACATTGCTCAATTTTGCCATCCATTGCAGACAAAACGAGACACAAAGTTGAAAAAGCACTCGTGCAAAAGAATGCGTTTTCACAGCACAATGTCACGTGGTAGACTGATGCAGTAGGCTTTCAGAAGTGTGACCTTCGCCTCCCCTCTCATCTACTTTCACTGAGGCAGTTACAACACTAACAGTTTGGGAACTTCCGATACCACCTTGTACAGTGGCTGCCTACAGGCTGGAGCAGGGATTCTCCTCATCATTCTTGTGTCCGCAACAGCTTTGGGGGCCACCCAACTTCCTATCCAGTGAGTAACTGGGGGGAGGGGGGTGCCTTTCCTGGGTGGTAAAGATGACCAGACGGACTTTCTATTAACTTTGTGATTGATAGTGTAATGGACCAAAATGAAACAATTCAAAAAAAAAAAAAAATGACCAGACATGTTTACATGTTCTGTTCAAACCACTTTCTATGCTAACTTGTATTTATGCATGCCACAGGATGAGGAAAGGGTGACCAGACGTTTCTTGAATGCTGCAGAAAGGGGCATCACAGTTCGCAAAGCTTCTCTCACGTGTAAAGACTTGGTTCGTCACCTCTCAGAATCAGGACCCATTATCCTGCTGACAAATGCGGCACTCCTATGCTGTGACATCTGCAAAGAGAACAGACTTGCATCAGAACTGAGAGGCTGCTTGCCATGGGGCACTGCTTATACTGGTACGTATAATGAAAAGCTGTCACTGGCTTGATATAGGGTTCTGTATTTTGAAATCATGTACTTACTGAGTCATGAATATAGGGCTGCTGAAAACATTGTATTTCATTTTCAATTGTTTCTAACTTGGTACAGTAGAACCCCCATTTACTGTTCCTTAATGTAAGGTTTTCCCTCAGTTTACATTGTTTCAGTCTTCCCAATGATTCCTTAAATGAGTGTGTCACTGTGTTTATAGTCTCCCATTAACTTTGAATGGGCAGATGGGATACATGTCAGTATAGCAATTAGGCTATGGGCTGGATACAGTTCCAAGTCGGGTAAAAGATTTTCTATTCACCATGTCCAGACCAGCTGTAGGCCCCACCAAGCCTGCTATCTCTTGAGTATCGGGGGCCTCTCTCCTTGGGGGTATAGCAGATGGAGCGTGAATCTGGCCATTCATCTCCGTCTAGTGCCAAGGTTAAGAATGCATGGAGTTATATTTCCACTCTCCAATAGGATGAGATGTATGAGGACAGGGAGAACATTACCTTTTACCTGTAGCGAGAGGAGCCAAACTGCTGACAAATGAATAGCAACCGGAGTGTTATGCTGTTTCAGGTCACTACATTGTGCTGTGTGGGTACAACCTGTCCAGTGAGAAGTTCTTGTACCACAACCCATCCTTCAAAAACAGTGAGTGTCAGAATTGTTTCTGGGTGCAAGATGTGATGTGATGCCATGCAGTCTGGTAGATGCTGCTGCCTTCATCTTCAGGATCAAAGCTAGAGGCAGCACATTCCTCTGAAATGTTGGTAACTTTCCACCACACCTCATGACATCACATCATAGAAGACAGAAACCTTCTTGTTCCTGGATGTCTGGGAGACTATAGCACACAAGGGAGGAAAACACTGAAAGAGACTGCAGGGAAATTTGTGAGATTTAGTCTTTATGATAGTGAATATTAAGGTTGTCTTCTGGGATGTGATGTTATATGGTTCAGTGGACTGGCACCTGCATTACAGAGGAGCTCCACTTTGTTTTTCAGGGCAGACTGTGAAGGCCTGTAGTTCCATATGGGTGTGGAATTTGGTCTCTGACATTAAGGGAGGAACAGACTGAGAGTGTTTGAGGAGAATATTTGGACTGAAGAGAGATGAAATGACAGGAGGTTGGAGGAAATTGCATAATGAGGAGCTTCATAACTTGTACTCTTCTCCAAGTATAATTAGAATGATCAAGTCAATGAGGATGAGGTGGGCTGGGCAGGTAGCACGAATGGGTTTAAGAGGCATGCATTTAGGATATTGGTGGGAAAGAGACCCCTGGGAAGACCAAGGCATACATGGATGGACAATATTAAAATGGATCTTAGAGAGAGATAGGATGGGATGGATTGATCTGGCTCTGGATAGGGACCAGGGGAGGGCTCTTGTGAAGATGGTAATGAACCTTCAGGTTCCATAAAATGCTGGGAAGTTCTCAAGTATCTGCACAACTGAGCTTCTCAAGAAGGGCTCATCTCCATGGAGTTAAATTAGTTAAAATCATTGGTGACTCTCTACCAGGCTGCATGGTGTCATATCCTCCCAGGAGACATCAGTCCTTCAGATTCTATTACCAGAGGCAGTAACAGTAACAAGACGATGTGAAGCATGAACAGTGTTATGATGCCGTATTGTATTACATTCACTGTAAAACCAGCAACAAACATTACTTGGGCAAGCATCGCCCATAGCCAAGCTGTAGCGTAGGTGGCTAGTCACTGGCTTCTCACTGTGGATGCCAAGAGTTTAATCCCAGGGCAGTCTGCATGGGATTTGTGGACAGTGTTACTAGGCAGGTTCCTGCCCGACTCCTTCAGTTTCCCCCCCTTCATATTTATCATTTGGGGCTGGTATGGTGGACCTGCTCACAGCCTGTGTAGCAACAAATTTAATCTCACCGCAGCTTAAGAATTGAATGGAGGGGGGCATCTTTCATTATATACTCAATTAAAGGACAAAACTGTCATTTCAGTACACTTTACTGTCTACAGACGTCCAAATTTACACGTACTAAACCAATATTAGCTGCTACTTTGTATGAATGTGAAATGTGGCCTCTCATAGAGGAGAACATCACACAGTGATGAAATTCATGAAGAAAGATTTGAGGTTATCATGGCTGTGATTATAGAGATTACTATCTTCTGGTTGTGACTCCATGTACCCTGGTACAATATTATCAACATTTCTGAGGGACCTTTAGGACAGGAGAGTAAGAAGAGTTGTGGATATAGGGAGAGGGAAAGCGGAAACAGTTCTGAGCAAACCAGTAAGGAGAAGAGTGCAAAATATCTGGGCCTGCTGTTTTCCAAGGGCAGAGTGACTGAGTGAAGAAGATGAAGGTAGGGGAGTAAAGACAAACAACACGGTCAGTGTTTTTTTATTTCAGGAGTCTGTATGATGTCCTTTGCAAAACTGGATGAAGCAAGATGCAGTTATGGAACTGATGAGGATGCCATCTTGGTGTATTTCAAGAGCTGGACATGAGGACACTAGTGAACACAATTTCATGTCCTTGCAGCAACATCTGTGCCTTACATGCAAACAGGAGAAGTGGGGACCACTGGAGCGCGCTCTCATATTTTTCTACATGTGAAAAATAAAACAGACTTTGGACAGCATACTTTTATGTTATATTATAAATAACACAAATGGTGAAGTGTGTTCAGACATAACTGTACAATGCCTTGTTTCTAAGAAACAAATTCTTGTCAAAAATAAGACACAGTAATGAATTTAACAATATACATTTCTTACCTGTTACCAGTATCTTATTTTCACTTTTCAGTTTTAACCCTTTGAAGCATAAAGTTCTTTTAAATATTTTTTTTAAAAATTCAGTTCTGTCTCAAAGAAAATGCACCGCATCTCCGTCATAAAGACCATCTGGTTAATGCTGTTTAAGGAAAGGATCACAGTTTATTCCAAGAATCATACGAAACACATAAATACATTGTGGGCAAAATGTAGTTTGGTAATGTTGAAGCAGGTAGTATATATAATTACCACTGTGCTTAATAAAAATCAAGAGATGAGTGATGCATGTAATAATAGTAGTGAACATATATATATATACTGTAACACTTAAATGTACTAGATCAAGATACTGACAGTTCTAACGCTAACTTGCGACAGAGTCCGACAGTCGCATGATGTGACGATGGCAAGACAATGGCTGGTCGGACCCTGTCACAACATGGAACGAGTCCTACCACCCACACACATCTACACTACAGTGTTCACAGCTTGCTATGGTTATAGTCAGTAGCGTACGTGACTGACAATCTGAAAAGTTCTAATGTCTTCTAATTCCTCCCCCCCCAAACCCTAACTTTTAAAATGCAGCTTATAATTAACGTTCTGGCTGGGAGTTGGATAACACAGCACATCTTGGTCGGTGTGAGTTCCATCTCACAATATGTCACTCGCAAATGTATGTGTTGGTAAGCATGTGTGTAGAAGAGAAAGCACTGCAAGGGTTCACAAGGCAGATAAGAAAGGAACACAACAGAGAAGGGTATGCTGCTGCCTGCTGAGCTGCTTGCCTTCACTCCACCAGCTTGGTCCATGTCACCTGCAACAGGGAGCACAACAAAGACAATTTGAGAAAAATTCACTCTACTGTACATATTTTTGTCGGTTTAACAATGTTTCCAGTATCAAGATTATATAGGATCAGATGGTGGGACGACAGATGAATTAGGAAGAAAGCAGTTATGGCATTAATTCAGGTATGATCCTGATGTCTGCCTGGAGGAACTGAGGGAAATCATGAAAAACCTCAGCATAACTGATGTTCCAAGACTTTAACTGAGCACCTCCCACATACAAGACTAGAGTGTTACCCCTAGACTGACCTGTTCAGTAACATGGCAATCTACAGTTCATGTAATGACACTGTCAATTAGTCAGACTGTATGGAGTCAGATGATTGGGTGATGGTGAATGGCTGCAGAAGGAAGCAGATATGGCCTAATACTGAAGTTCTGTCCTGGCATTTGCCTAAAGACATTGAGGAAAACCACAAAACATTTCAATCACAACAGTACATGTCCTCACCGAGATTCAAACCAGGCACGTTCTGAATACAAGTCATAAGTGTTACCACCTGAGCCAACTTGCAGAGTGCTGACAGGAGCTACAAAACAGTCTTACAAATAAAGGATGTGCATGCCTTTCCAATGGTATAAGATTATCATTATTTTGTGATTTATTGTGTTTCAGACTTCCAGAACATCCTATACGAGAATGTTGCTTCCCAATACTGCTGAACACAGTTTGGTTTCAAGGTTTCACTTTAATGGAGTTTAATTAAAAAATGCAAATCATACGCATTTTTAAGTTTACTGTGTTCTGGGTGTGAAGCTGTGGTATGAAAGAAGTTTACTTACATTTTGGAGGAACATGCTGCTTCCATCTTCAGGGATAAAAAAATTCGCTTAGTGGGCAGTGGAGTCCAGCTGGGTCCACTCGACATGGTGGCCACTGATTGGCCTATTGTACTTGCCCCACGTGATTATGATGGAGAATTTGGTGGAATGAAGATTGGCAGGGGAAACCAAAGTACTTGGAGAAAACCAGCCCCAGCACCACTTTGTCCACCACAAATCCAGGCCACCGCAGTGGGAAGCCAGCAACTAACCACTTGAGCTATGGCGTGGCCATCTTCAGGGACAAGGAGTAAGTTTATGTGTATTTGTGTGATACCCAGCTTGAGCTGAAGAATGTAGCACTCTGTCAAATCTATGTAAATATCGGATGATTATGCAAGCAGCTGCAAGCTCAAGTATGCATAGTGCCACCAGGAACATCGCAGTAGAACAGAACTTGCAAATGAAACATACAACTGGCAAAACATAAGCTTCAGAAGGCAACATGTGCAGTTGCAAGTTCAAGTGATCAGTGCACTGTGCATCAGAATAAAACTCACAAGTGAAAGAAACAACTGGCAACACACCTGTCCAACTTTTGGCCAATATTGTTCCTGTAGTGGGTGGTGCTGGGTGCTGAAATGATGGATAATCTAATCCCAGTGGGACTGCAATCTCTACAAATTATTGAATTTCACACTTCAATTCAGATTTTATCAGTGCCTTAAAAATGTGACTTATTCAAATTTTCCTGTCCATTGTTTCTATTGATGTGAACTGTTTTCCACCCCCCACCCCCCAAAAAACCCATGACTTTGGGTTGTCATTTCCTTGCAACCTGCTTATATTTTATACAATCCAGCTGATTCATCACCATACAAACTTCACCCTGAAGATACAGACAGCATGTTGCTCCAGATCGTCAGTACCTGCCTTTGGTGCCACTTGGTGTCGCATTCCAGAGGACCACAATGTGAACAATCCCCCACCCCCAGGAAAAACCTGGAAACTCTCATCAGTTAGCGGTAACTAGTGTTACTATGCCGGTCATATTAAGAAGCTTCATAAAGCAGAGCACCTAGCTTTGACAAAAGAAATGAAGGACATACAGAAATCTGGTGGCGGTCACTGGCATTACAGTGTTCTGCAATGTGATGCAGCACAGATAGGCTAGATAGGCACCATGTTTTTGAAGAACCTGCTACCTCCACCTTCTACCCTGAACATGGAGATTCCCTCTTCCTATCTACCAAACTACACAATACTACATCCTAGAACACCATAATCTTAATACCGCAGAACCCCTGTTTGATGTTTCAATTTCAATTACATGAAGTCAATAATTTCACTGATAAATTACCTTAAGATTTTCCTTTGCTCTGCTCCCCAAAGAAATCATAAAATGGGGTGGGGGGGCACTGTACCTTCAATCTGACATGTAACCACAAACACAGATAAGAGAGGATAATTATTTGTAGGTTACGTAAGGATGCTCTGTGTAAACAGCACATTATTACAGCCAAGAGGGAATGATAGGTACAGAATCTGAAATAATGAATTGGTTATGGGATATTTCATTACCTAAGGGATCTTCGTTTCTTCAGAATGTTTGTTCATCTGTTTTTTCTGCATCAGCTGAGAGTGCATCCCTCAAGGGCTCCACACAACTCTTAGGGATCAATGTCCCTGCAAGAGAAGGGTTTCTAGGTTGAGAGAAAACTCTGAAATTTTGACATACAGTATTCAGAAGAATGGTATATTATGGCATATCTCAAGCCCAGTGCTCCAAAAAGCTGTTTACCTGTTTCATTAGACATGCTTTGAAAAAAACATTAGTTGCATATCAGAAACCTTACTTACCGACGATCTTCACACCCTCTCCAGTACGAAGCCGAACCACCTGCATTTTTGAGTTGTGCCCCGTCTTTGCAGCTAATACATTTTCTACGCGTGCCCAGACACTCAGTACAGAACCCGCCAACACATTATACGTTCGCCGACGTAGTCCTACTTCACAGTCCAGGCCCAACGTTACATTCTTACAGTTGCCACGCCTGTCAAGAAACGTGCCAGTTAGACTCTGCAACAACCAAGGTCTAAACGTACTGTAAGTTTATGTTACATACTTACCAGTAGGCATGGGAACACGTGCTCACAGAGGAATTGTACTGCTGGCTCCAGTGAGACTCCGCTTCATCTGCCGATACCTTCTTGTACTTCTTCTCCAGTTCACCTAACGTCTCTTGTCTCAACTGCAACATAGGGACATTAGTTTTTGCAAACGCTTAAAAGGTAAGTCAGCTGGACAATTAAGAACGGAGGTGCAAACATAAGATGCTTTTACAGTACTCATATACAAAAGATGGCAGACATCATGAACAGTACTTCTGCACAAAGCACAAAGTGATAAAAACAAATAAAGAGTTTCTCTTCTCAGAACCCCAGAACAGACTAACCACATGCGATACTGAGAATGATGAACATGGTAAAAAGTTATCCTTGGGCTTAATCAATTAAGTATGAAGCCATGAAGGCATATGGAGAAGTGGAGGTATAGCTAGCTCCACCATACTTAACCGTTCAGCGTGGTTTGATGTGTATGTTTCGTCAGGTATTTAAATCGTCTGCGGGGGTTCGACGTCTATGTTTCGTCCAGCTGCACACCTATGTTATAACGCCCATAATAATTGATGGTTTTGCTGTAGATTGTTAGATTTTTCGCTGGCCTGTTGTCAGTAGAACAGAGTATAATAAGCCATGAGTTTAGCTGCGCTAAGTCATCGTTACATATGCCTGTCTTGCAGCAAAGTTCCTGTTGCTCTTGCGAGCGATTTCCTCGTTCAAGCTGTTATGAATGGCGTGTTTTCTTTCCTATGAAGTTATAAACAGCAGAGACGTGATATGTGCTGTGTTTATAATATCATATTGCCCTGAGCTGGCCACACTAACACACTCAATTGGAATTCTTAGAAGAGGGATGTCCAAAAATTTATTCTTGCAAGATCGATTGATTTCGCACAGTACATAGCACCCAGTTCTTAGAAAAACGTCACGAATTAAGGCAGAACACTGTGGTCACCCCCTATGACGATACTGGTGTGTGTGGGGGGGGGAAAAGAACTCGTTCCTTCATGTACTATCGCTCCAGTTGACGCCATTTTATCGTACTGACCTTGGTGGTCGTTTCGAGGGATGACCATGAATATTTTTTTTGAGCCAGCTAAGCTCTGCTTTCGTGCACTACATACCAGCCAGTTCTTAGAATAACTTCATGAATTCTGTGGTCACCCCTACGACATCTACTGCCGCCAAAATGGATGGAATATCAAAGGCATAGCAACAACCCCTTGTTATGATAACTCGTAACGTTGAATTTACTACAGCTGACCTGGCAACTAAACGGGTCACGGAAAGACATTTCCTTGAACTATACCCCTCACGGGGAAGAAGGCAAGGCCGCACAGATGTGTGGTTAAAAAAAAAGGGCCAAAGAAAAAATACACAATATTGGAGCGGTGAATGTGGGGCACCGTTGGGTTAGACGAATGCTTCAAGGCCTTCCTTACACTGCTCAAATTCTAAACAACCTGCTTCCATTGCCGAGATACAGGGCGCTCATATTATAAGGTAAGGTTATAAAAACCATTTTTTAAGATCATTTTAGTGAAAGTTTCATGTTCCTATCTCATATAATTTAAGAACAATGATGAATAAATCATTTTCGAGCAAAATTTAAATGGACGGCTGAATATATTACCGCCGGAGAGACGGCCGCGGAATTTAAAAGACCCCGCGAAAGGGTTAACCTCAGCACGAGAATGAGGTGGTCAGCTTCATTCACCTGCTGCTTTACCCCTGGCGAAAGAGCCGCCAGTATCCACCGTACAGGTGGCTAGATGGGCCTCAGAGCTGGTCCAGACATTATGGAAGAGATCTCCTGCCCCAGCTGGGAATTGAATCCCTGACTCCTTTGTCATCCAGCCTGTAGCGTAGTTACTATACTGACTGAGGTATCCTGACTTATGATGAGTATGGTAATGATAATAAATTAATAATTAGAAATTATATGTTCATATGCATCAGTCACACACACCGATACCAGACATGTCAATCAGTCCTAACTTTGCAAAATAAAATAAAATAAAATAAACATTAAAAGTCCTATATTCTGGGGTGTGATGCTGTGCAGTCAGGTGTTGGTTCTAATATACTGCCTCCATCTTTAAGATCAAAGAGGAAACCAACAAGCACAGCGATTACTTGCCGCTTATTTGTTACTTGTTTGCTTTGCTCTTTGACATGAAGATGGAGGCAGTACATACTTCTGAAATGACAATAAACTTGTACCAAACTGTATAGCATCAAATCCTCTTCATTGTCCCAGGCATGACAAATTCATATCTCTGATGAAGTGCTCAATCGGCTGTAAAGTGAATATTTAGAGTGATCCATAGCAAAGCAACTTATATACCTGTAGTCCTGTGTTTGGCCTGTAGATGGTGTAGAACTGATCCTTTTTGTTCTTTTCTGTATCCTTTTTTCCTTTTGCACCTTCTACAGCTACCGCAAGGATTGCAGTCTGCTTTCCATTTCGTATCTGGGAGGAAGCAACAAAAGGAATAACTGAATACCTTTTTATCAATGAACATCAAATAACATTTGTAGTCCACCCTTCTTTTGCTGTTCACATTTAATCCTTTGCATGCTATAACACAACTACTATGGGCTGCTTTACTATGGAGAAAGAAACCCCATGGGACAGGTTAGGTGGGTCACAGGGCATCTAGTTAACATGGAGAACAGAGATATCTCTTACCCCACCAGGAGTCAAACCATGATTCCCTGCCTGAGACCATAAGCTAGTCACTATGCCACTAGTTCCATCATGAGATTTCATACATTGTCAAATATGGACTGGAAGGTTTCAAAAATGCTTTGACTACTTAATTTTGAATTTGTTTAAAATGGGAGCAAAATAAAGAAAAAATCTCCATACCTTGTCAAGTTTATCATGCATGATAACACATACTTTGATATAAGGGTTAAGTGAAATTGAAATGGGATACATGAAGTTTGACTCCATGCACGAGTATGTCAAATGAAACACGTTCAGAAATACTGTATTATGATGGTCATGTTCCGCACCTGGTGGGACAGGTAGAAGCCTTCCCTGGAGCCCGTCAGCTCACTATAGCGATCCATCACCTCCTCCCAGCTCATGCCTCTCTCCACATGAACAATGTGCAACTCCGTGGTGGCTACACCTGTTGCATGTTTCCTCAGGAACGTGTAAAGCTTCACGCGCTTTACATTCTCACCTGCAGTGCCCAGGTCTGCCAAACATGAGGTTACCAAATCAGTGATGTGTTCCAAAGAGGAAACTGCTGTAGACAATGATACCAGATGCAAACTGGGCTTTTAACATCTCTACACAGAGCTCAAGAATAACTGATTCTAACCAGCCCAGCTGAGCAGAAAACTCCCTTTGCTTATACCTGCTGACACCTCATGTACGAAAAACTCAAGATGATGACAATGTCCNCGGTTAATCCGCCCCCGGATAATCGAGAGTTGACTGTATGTTTATTCTTTCTTCTGCTATTTGAACTTTTACATCTTTTATGGTTCTAATCTCAACAAGGAAACATAAAATGAAGTAACACAAAGACAACTATTGGCTGAAAAATAATTTTAAGACTTCAGATATATGAGATGTAATGCCATGAAGTCTGGTGGACAGTTACCAACGCTTCAGAAGAATGTGGTAACTGCACCAGTAAGTCACTTCAACCAAGAAAATGTAGCTAGTACATTTGTTCCTCAATAAACCAGAATAAGCAGGTAGCAGTATTTGCCATCTGCTTCCTGCCGGTTTCTTGTTTTGGCTTATTCTTTGACCCTGAAGATGAAGGTGACATCTTCCTCTGAAATGTCAGTTGACTTTCAACATATCATATTATATCCCACAAGACAGAAATCTTCACTGATAACATTTTAATGTAGTGGTTGAGGGGCTATGCTACAAGCCAGAAGGTTGCGGGTTCAAATCCCGATGAGGTCATTGGATTTTTTTCAGTTGACCCAATCCTTCCAGCCACACTAGGCCCTGGGGTTTACTCAGCCTCTAACAGAAATGAGTACCAGGAATGAATTAAATAATTTTCCTGGGGAGTAAAGCACGGCCGGCACGTAGGGCTGACAACCTTACCGCCATCTTTGAGCTGATTGTCTAGATAATGTGGGAACCTCAACGTCTCACAACCCCATGGGCCTTCACGGCCTGGTATGGGGATAACTTTATTACTTTTTACTTTTACTTTATTACATGAAGTGTAGCACATGTGGTTCACAACAGACCATTTGTGCATGTCATTCATGGGAGATGGCCTCACCATATCATTCCGTAACATACAGGACTGGAAAGGAATATGAGAGAAAATGGGGGAAGTTAATGGTATGAAAGCTTATATATTACATGCAACTTCCCTCTGGATTATCAACAGGTGTTATACTAGTTTTGTTTAAAATCTCACTTTTTGCAGCTAAACATTTTGGCTCTTTGATACCATATTAATTTCAAAAACTGTGATGTGACTGTCATTTCAAGTTTATAATAAAACTTCTTCCACTTTTAGATGTGAAATGCATACCGTTTGCTGGGCACCACCATCTCACATGCAGGTATACTTACTGTACCAGGAGCCACCTACTTACCAAGAATACCCATGTCGAAGCGGCCAGACTTCTTGGCTTGTGTGATTATCGCATTGAGTGTGTCTGTGAAGTATTTGAAGAGCCGATTCTGCAGGTCTACTGGCATGCCCAGGATCCTGGTAACACAAGGCAATGATTTTATGATATTGTCCCTGCCCCAGACCACACAGCATCAAATGGTAGGATGACAGCAAATAATGAATTGGAGAGGATCTGAAAGGAAGAGGTACTATGCTGGCATTTGTTGGATGGACAGAACAACCACAAAAACCTCTGTGAAGACAGCTTGATTAGAAACATTCTTTCCTTGTTATTCTTTGGGTAGGGTGAGCCCATGGCTCTTAGGCCCAATGCACAAGCCAGCCATGAATGAAACGCGAGAGAAATGGAACTGTTGGTGGAATAAGAATTGGCAGAGGAAACTAAGTACTCAGAGAACATGTGCCCTAGTGCCATTTTGTCCATCACAAACTCGATATGGACTGATCGGGACTGAACCTGGGGCACTGTGGTGAGAAGCCAGCAAACAATGTTGTCATAGTGACAATATATGATGACAGACCCACACCCACCCTCACACTCACCTGTTGAGGAACTTGCTCATGTTATTGTAGTCCTTGTCCAGCATCAGCACACCTGGCATGTTCTCACTGTTGCATATTAGTCCCACGCCCACGAGTGCATCTGCCACATCTGAAGCATAACTCTGTTGTTATCAGGTTATAAGTACATTTGCTATAATCGAAAGTACTTTATCATATGAGATGTGGATTTTCATGGTGGTGATCATCAAAACTACAGTCTTCTGGGTGTGATGCTGTGTAGTTTAACAGGTACCAACATTTTGGAAGAATGTGATGCCTTTATCATCAGGGTAGAAGGAACACACAATCAAACCACTCTTCCGTACCGAAAGGAGAGGCAACAGGTTCCTCTGAAATGCTGGTACCTGTCTACCAACCACACAATCACCCTTAGAAGCTTGACTGCCAATTCTAACTATAGAGTGTTCAAAACACTTCTGATGCTGCATTATCATTGGTAACAATGACTGTTAAAACACAATTACACAGTTGCCAGATTAGGTTTTGAACATATGATAGGAACCAAAACTGTTAATACCATGAGATCTCACTGAACATGCAGGACTTCTCTTCTGAAGGTTGGCCATGTTTCAGACAATGAAAGAAATATACAGTGGCCTCGATGGGTGTAATGTAAATGGTCTGCATGAGACACTGGTGACTACCATGGCAGCAAGAAAGGTGTGACACAGACACTGGTGACTACCATGGCAGCAAGAAAGGTGTGACACACAGACACTGGTGACTACCATGGCAGCAAGGTGTGACACAGACACTGGTGACTACCATGGCAGCAAGGTGTGACACAGACACTGGTGACTACCATGGCAGCAAGGTGTGACACAGACACTGGTGACTACCATGGCAGCAAGGTGTGACACAGACACTGGTGACTACCATGGCAGCAAGGTGTGACACAGACACTGGTGACTACCATGGCAGCAAGGTGTGACACAGACACTGGTGACTACCATGGCAGCAAGGTGTGACACAGACACTGGTGACTACCATGGCAGCAAGGTGTGACACAGACACTGGTGACTACCATGGCAGCAAGGTGTGACACAGACACTGGTGACTACCATGGCAGCAAGGTGTGACACAGACACTGGTGACTACCATGGCAGCAAGGTGTGACACAGACACTGGTGACTACCATGGCAGCAAGAGGTGTGACACACAGACACTGGTGTCCCCTGTGCCAGTCAATGCTATACATTTGTGAGAGAGAAAAACATAACAATAACATATGAGATCTGAGGTTCTCAAGGCAGTGCCTGCAAGTATTAATATCCTCTGGGACATGATGCCTTGTAGTCTGGTAGGCATTTGCTAATGTTCTGGAGGAACATGTTGCTTTCATCTTGAAGGCAGAATAATACTAAGCTAAATGTGGAAACAACTTGCCTTTTTTTATCCCACCTTTTCTAATTTCCCTATACCACATAAGTCACCAAGAGGTACTTCCTTCCTACTTTTATATTCTTGCAAAAAGAAAACAGCCCTTTCAAGGGTCAAGGGAAATAAATGTTTCTGTTTCCCATTACTTTGGCTTGTAAGGGCTTGTAACCTGGCCATCTCCACATACCCATACCAGATTTTTAAATGCCTAGCTTATGCTTCTACCCTGAGAATGGAGGTAGCACATTTTTTCAGAAAATCTGTAATTACCTAGCAGACTACTCAGCATCATATCCCATTAAACAATAATGTTCAAATTCTGTATAATGAAGGAAAGAAAAAGTTTTAAGATTTCCAAGTTTGTTGGTTTTCATGGGTCCGATACAGATAACTGCAGATTTAGTGGTTTTTGATGACAGATGGCTGATGAATGAAAATTGGTAAAGGAAACTGAAGTACTTGGAGAAAACATGCCACGATGCCACTCCGTCAACCACAAATGCCACATGATCTGACCTGGTATCAAACCCAAGCTGCCATGATGAAAAGCCAGCAATTAACCCCACAGCTACAGCAAGGACACCCTGCTACTGCTGCATATACAGCAAGCAGCCTCGCAAACCATGACTCACCTTTGAAGAAGTCGCCTTTGTAGTCCTGTGGAGGTGGAACTAAGGGAGCCTCATAACCCATGATCGTTTTCATTGTGGCCTCAAGGGCAGCTCGGCCATATTTGTTGTCAATGTTAAACCTTGACAGATCCCTCGTCTCTGTTGCACGCCGGTCTCCATGTGTTAGCGCCCCCTTTTGACAGATTCAAATGTCCGTAATACTGTACTACATTTTCTACATCTATTCTAGCCATTACAAAACTTCAGTATGTATCCAGTTCTACGTCTTGGACTTCACAGGCAACCTGCATTACATCTTGCTCCTAACCAAGTCATCACATTATGCTTTTACATAGGTTATTTTTTAATAAAGAGAAAGGTAAAGCTGTCCTTGGGTTTAGTTAAGCAGCCATAAACATGTATGGGAGAGTGGAAGTACACATCCAAGGATTCTTAACTGCAGTACTAGATGGAGGAAACTGGTCAGCCTCACGCCACTTTCTCTGCCACTGCAAAAGGATCACCTGTACCCACTGAATAAGTGGCCAGTTTGGAAGCTGCAGAGAGCAGAAAAATCTGTCAGCCCTGTCAGCTATCAAACCCCCTACTACTAGCCATCAGAGAACCCCACATCTCAAAACTATAATCAGAAATGGCTACTGTTTGTTTTATTGAGTGAACACAAATATATGGACACTTAGAGGAGTTTCTATATTTTCCATGCACATGGTATTTAATGGAGCCGGGATACCTGTCAGTACAGTCACTAAGCTATGGCCTCTAGAATCAAGAGAACTGGGATTGATCCCACGTAAAGAGAGAGATTTTTCTTTTTTATATAACATCCAGACAGGCTTTACTAACCACCCAGCATATCCACTGGGTATTGGAAGCTTTCCATGGTGGTAAAGAGGCTGAGGCATGAAGCTTACTATTGACCTCTATCTATCACTGAGGTTATAATGCATGAAACTATACTCCACTCCCTAACATGCTTTCATGGCGTGGAGCTGACTAAACACAGGAATATATTTACCTCTACTTTTTATATGGCGGGTAAGAGTAGAAATACCAACACTAAACTGAAGGTAAGCTGACAAGGGGAACGACACCAGCATGTAAGAGGAATCGATAAGGAATCAGACTAATTATGTTTCAGCAAGTGACACTGCATAGATGCTATAAGTAATGTACAATACATCATTAATTAAAAAATCTAGGGCCATAAATATAAGCCTGAATTATGAAAGAGAGTCAGTAAATAGGTCACAAATGGATGTAATAGATTTTCTAAGTGCATCACTAGGTAGCAGCACCGTCCAACTTCATGACTGTCTAGGTAACAGACGTGCATGTGCATTTGCAAGAGGCTGGTTTCAGTAGTCAAAATGGTGACCAAGCTTGAGGGTGTACTGCCAAAGGGGTGTTCTGTTGTGCAGTTTTTGTGGAAAAAGGATTCAATGAAAAGGATATTCATAAAGAAATGTTTCCTTTTTATGGTGGAAAGTGTTTGTTGCATAAAGCAATTCACAACTGGATCCAGGAACATGGCAAACTTTTCACTGATGATAAAGAGGTTGAAACAGAGATGTAAAAGTGGCCAAGACAACAGACAAAAGACTTCTATTCTGTGGATTTCAATGCACTGGTAAAGCGATGGGACAAATGTATCAGTGTTGGTGCAGGATATGTCCAGAAATAAATGTTTTTTTTCCCAAGTTCGAATATCACATGTTACTTTTATATCCCTTTGTGATCCATTTACTGACTCTTCCTCGTACATAATTTAAAATCTTCCAGTTCTTTTTTTCACTGTGGATTTACCTATGGAGTAATTAGTTAAAGTAACGAAGTAACAGTGTGTTAAAAACATTGATTGTTGTGTAAAGTATCAAAATAATTCTTTTTTATAAAAAATATTTAAATTTGACATAAATAATCACAAAACTACACATGGATGACAATTTATATATACCCATAAATTTCTACCACAGTGCACATTACAGTCAGAGCAGAGCACCAGGTGGTGAAAAGACCAGGCTGGCCATGTTCACCAGACTTAACACAGTATAAAGTTCATTCTGTTTGAGGAGGAGGGTGGGGGGGTTGCTTTCACTCAACTGCTATCACAGACTAGAGCCATTGCTACATTGCTGTTATGTACACCTGCCAGTGTGCACCTTACAAGGATACCTTCAAATGAAATCCTCTGGTTACTTCTATGTTCCAGTAGGATTGTCTCTGCATGCCTTGCCACACAAACACAACAGCTGACACTGTCACAACTGTCTCTTTTTCTTCTGTTGTGGAGTGACACAGAGTTCCTTGTTAGGCTGCAAATGAGTCCACTGTACCAACCCCAGATGACAAACAGGAATGGAGCATTGATGGAATAATATCTCACAGGTGAAAAATGAGGTACTTTGACAACAACCTGCCCCACTGCCGTCCACCACCAATCCCACACAGAGTACCCTGGAACTGGCCCTTGGTAAGAAGGCAGCAACTAACTGCCTGAGGTATGGACTGGCCACAACCACCAAGGAATGCTCAATGGAACTTGTTCAGTACAAACGCGAAAGGCTTGTCCGAACAGGGACCTGCAGTGGGAATGTGCTGATAGAATCACCAATACTTACTAGTCATTTAGGGTTCAGCCATTGGCCCGAACAGATCAATTAGACAAGTGCATTATTGGAAGAAAGAATTTCTTTTTCAGTGAGGGGAAAAGACAGTAACACAAAAATACACACATCAAGTTGACGTTATTTTTCCATATAGAAATATACAGTGTCCGAGCTGATGTCATTTTTCTTTACAGAACATATTCCGAATATGCAGAACAATTGTGTTTGTAGTTAAACTATCAGCATCACGTTAAATAGTGGTACAACTACCTGGGAACTAGAACCATCAGTGAGAAGCAGGGCATTAGCAGACCATTAATCACAAGCCAAACTTCTCCCCCAAAGTTGCAGAACCTATTCTTGAATTATCCAAGCATACTAGTTCATTTTCACTCTTTGATACTTATTTTCAGAGGGGTTCTGTTCTGGAATCTGGAAAAAACTATCTACACTGTAAAATGATTTTAGGACAAAGATTTATTTTGTAACATACTGGAATCCCCAACACCCAAAAAATTCTGAGGCTGAGATTTAATGTGATAAAACTTACCAAACTTTCTAGCCTTTTCGCAACAATAGATGCAAATCGCCGCTCGCCTGCGAGGTCGGAGATCAGGAAAATGTACTCGGGGGCATTAACTTGGTTACTTCGGTGAGTTCGCCCTGCAATACCAACAAATCAGCCATTACAAGGTATGCTTCTCCAAAAAGTCTACCTTTCAAAATGTGCTGGCTGTAAGACAAACGAACTGTCCATAAATCTGCACCACCACAAAAATAACTATCTTTCATTCTGAAGTTTTTATCATTTCATCCTGTGGCTCATCTCATTCCAGCTGTGCACGTGATATTTTATGCTGCTGTTGAAGTGAAGTCTTGAGACAGACAGACATGACCTGGCAAACAGCAAGACAGTGTCTCACCAAACTGCTGGATTGCTCGATCAGCACTCCACGGCAACTCTAGCGTGATGTGGACCCTGCGTCTCTGGTTGCGGGCACGCCGATCACTCTGCAGAGAGATTCCGCTTGAAGCAGCCTCAGAGATGATTGCCACATCCTTCTCACCATCCATGAATCTCTGTTTCTCTGCACACATTATTTCAGGTATTGAACACATTAACTCAGTAAACAATGAAACTGTGATACGAATATGGCTTACAACAAGAACTTCATTAAAGTGAACTATACGACAAGCAACATCTACTCTTGGCATAACACATATGTACAACAGTGTAACATAAGGTTGCCCCTGCACTTAATTAAGCACCATGTCACGAAGCTGTATGGACCAACTGTTAACTGATCGAAATCACTGCACTGCATGACCTCACATGTCAATATATTTACATGCTATTATTGCACGTAGTCATTATTCGAGAATATACCCCTACACTTTCCTCACGATATTTTCATGCTGCTGTGTCCCTTTTGTGTAGTTTACCTAGGTCGGATGGAAGCAAGTGAAATATATTACCACCACATATATCATACACTGTTTTACTAAAACAGATCACCTGTCAAATTTAATGTCTCCAGGGGAACATCCACTTCTGAACGGGATTCGTACTGGACACCATCCTCAGTCTGGACAACTCTGCCCTTCCTTCCAGTCATCTGTTGAACATAAAAATATCAATTAACAGATGTTAGACTTGCAGTTCCCGTGGCAGTAACCATGGGGATTACCCTGTTCTGAGATGTGATGCCATGCACTTTGGTAGAGAGGTATAGATATTTCAGATCAATCCGTTATCTTCAACCTGAAGACGGACACTCCAAAACGCTGCTACCTATCTAGCAAACTATATGGCACCACACCCTCTACCCTTTCCTGGCCCTCCTCCCCCAACCAGCAATTTTCAACCAAAATACCAAGTAGGGTGGTGTAGCAGCATTGCTCTGGATTTGTATTCCAAAGGTGCTTGGTTTCAATCTTGCTGCTATACTGGCTATCCAGACTGAGATACTCTTGGCTTTCTTCAGTCACACCAGGGAAATGAGAGGATAGTACCTCAATTATGCCACAACTACTTCCTTTCCAATGTATCACTCATCACCAATCAATCTGATGTCATACAGTCTAGCTACAGTAAGCATCATTAAATCCCACCCCCCCCACACCAAAATTCAACCAATACAGATCCCTTGATATCACAGTATTCAATTTTATGTTTAGCAGTTCTTCCATTCAACATTCAAACTGGCATTCCCCACGAACCTCCCGGGACCCAATGATTATGTTCAATCTTCAAGTTGTGCTTCACTGGACCATTAACTGACCATGCAAGTTCACATCTGTATATAAATGAGGAACCAGAGAATTTCCACCATATTTTGAAAATTATTTGTTACCCTTTCTTATAGCTATTAAATTCACCCAAGAAGCCAAATAAAAAATACTGGCTTACAAGTGGACAGAAGATGAAATGTTATGAAGAATGGCTTCCTTCATCTTGTTGAGCAAAGATGAACAAAGATATTTCAAAAGAATTCAATCTCGACCCAACTGAACAGAAAGCACAGTATAATGGAACCCCCATCTAATTATTCCTTGATCCAAGGCTTCCTCTCATTTAATGATCAATTTCAATAATCTCAGTATCAAATTCCCTCTGTTTTAAGTTTTTCCTCATTTTAGTGTTCAAATCCATTGGTCCTCAAAAGAAACCTTAAATGGGTGGTGGGGTTCAACTGTATAAACAAAACTTCATCTGCCCCACCTTGCCCTTTTAATTAGCTACTCTCAGTGCTTTATCTCTCCTCCCACTCAACCTGTCCTTCAAAAATGACCTTCAAAGGTCCAAGGTTTAATCATTCTACTTCTCCTCACATCCCTGCATCTCCTGCTGACCTGCCCAGAACCACCATCACTCCCATTCACGAATCCCTCTCCAAAACATCCATATTCTTTACACTGTCGTCCTTATTCCTGTTGGATCAATAGGGACCCAGTACCTACCACTTTCTCCCATGTCCAGCGTACTCTTGCCTCTCTGAAGATGGAGGTAACATCGGTAGCTATCTACCAGTGTGCATGGTATCCTACCCAGAAGAAAGTAACATTCAAAAAAGCGAAGGCACAAGTTACACCCACCTCTGCCACATTCTCAGGTCCACCAAGCTCGTCAATGAGCTGATCTAGTGTGTTAGGCGGCAGCTTGTCCCCCAGCTCCTCAATCCGCTGAAGGAGCTCCTCCTTCATGTTGCATGCCCGTTCGATAGCGTCACGAGGAGGGGGGGGAGGGGCCTTCTCACCACTGCCGTGGTTTCCATTAGCATTACGCTTGCCTTTGTGAGAAGCCTTACGAACCAGAAGCGAGCTGATCTTATCCTGCGTGGACTGTCCCTTCTTTGACAACTTGTGCTTCTTTCCCTTTTTCTTGCGTCTGTCCCATGGATCTGAAAATATGAACACAGAAACAGAGTGTAATGTCCCTGTGATTCTGTGGAGTAAATGCATGAACACTCACGACTCAATGAAAGCAAAATAACGCCATTGCCATAATATTCAGCATGATGCTGACATGCAGACTTTGTAGCACAGGTCATGCATTCAACAGTGTGGTAGGGGTACCTCTCACCTTCACCAGACAATCTGCTGTGCACAAGGGCTTCACCTCTTGGTGAATCACTTGACTATGCAGATATATCCATGTTTGTGATGCCCCCCCCCCAAAGGAGCATTTTTTCTTCAGTACACTGGTGGTTCCAGCAGTAGTTTATTTTACAAAGCTGTCGGGTGGCTGCGCCATAGCTCAAGCAGTTAGTCACTGGCTTCCCATTGCGGTGGCCTGGGTTTGATCCCAGGTCTGGTCAACTGGAATTTGTGGTGGAGAAAGTGGCACTGGGGCAGGTTTTCTCTGAGTACTTCGGTTCCCCTGCCAATCTTCATTCCACCAATTGCTCCACAATCACCCTCACCCATCATCTGGGGCTGGTATAAAAGGCCAGAAGTGGCCGCAGTACAACGGACTTAGTCCCACCCCACTAGCAATAAAAAAAAATATGAAGCTGTCTGCAATTCAGACACTGTCAGATAATTGGAACACAGAAGTGGAGAATATGTGGAAGGGGTGCCCAGTATTTGCCCAGAGACACTGAATCTCAGCAAGACTAGAGTTCCGACAGAAAGCTGACTTGGGAACCTGTAATCTAGCAGACAGTTACCAACATTTCAGACATGGAGGTAGTAGGAGAAGGGGGAGAAAGGGCAGGAATAAGAAAGCAGAGGCAGCATACTGGTGCCTTTCTACCAGGCTGCAATGTGTCACATCCTATAAAAAAGCAACTTGAAGAACAAAACACGCTGAGAAATAGAACAATGAACTATAAGAGTTGTGAAAGAAACCCAGTTAATCTCAATTTAAGGTACTATCCTGGTATCTGCCTAAAGAAAACCATAACAAAGAAAACATAGTGGGGCTGCAGGCCAAAGTTTAAAGAAAATGATCTGAATATGATGAAGTGGTAACCATTCAGCCGGTATCTTCTTTTCTTTCCTACCACATCTAGGATCTATAAACCTCACTGTTCAAGAAGCACATTATGGGATATTTACATGCACACTGTAATCTTCCACAGTAGTCACAATGTGTCAGAACCAGCGTCATGTTCAACAAACCACACGTATCTTTGTCTCAAGTGTCCATTAAAACAGGAGAGTCACATTACCTGCATCAGAGTCACTGTCGGTGTCGAAGGGGTTGAAGTCGGAGCTAGCATTACTGTCTTCTGATGGACTGTCACTCTCTGCAGAATCCGTGCCAGTCAGCTTGAACTCTGACCCAGAAGTGCTACCATCCTTCTCTGACTCTGAGTCTGATTCCTCTGAAGAGGACATCTTGACTCGCTTCCATGCTCGCTGAGCTGCCTGTCGAACTAGATAGGCAATGGCATCCCTAATTACACATATCTCAAGAAGAATGTCAACATACGCAGGAATTCAAGATAACCAAACTCCATGGAGCTTAATATCGAGCACAGCTCACTGTAGCTCCAAAGTAGTGTACTACAGCAAACTTGTCTCCAACTTCAAATTAAAACTGACGTACATAGCTAAGAATACTGTGTGCTGATGTCAGCACTAATCTATGCCTTGGTGCTTTTAGGAAACCTGAACAAAATACTTATTGATGTTAAAACCGTCTGTTTACAAACTCTTAGAAACATCGCATCAATCTTACATGTAGTTCTCTGGCCCCACACTGTGCTCAGAAAAGAAGGCTTCAAGGGGTTAATTGCTTAGAGAACAAGTTTTGCTAAGATTAGAAACTTAACAAAATTATTTTACTCTGTTGAATTTGAGGGTCTCACAAAAGTGACTATGAAAAGTGCAGTCTTATAAGTTGTAGTTGTAGTTTGGGGACAGCCTGACATATTGGAGTAGGATATCACCTCCATTTTCTGGGCTAGAGACTACGCAAGTCAGGTAAGTCAGAAGCTCAGATCAGCTTGGTGGCTGCTTCCGATGCTGGAGGTACATGGTCCTCTGAAACTTCAACCTCTCTCTCTCTCTCTCTCTCTGAATTACATGGCGTTAAAACTCAAGCCCACACTCCTTATTTTATGTTGCCTTGCAATTGACACATGGAGGGTATTTCAGAACAGGTAATGACAGGAATTTCTGGATTTGAAACACAATAAGTGAGAGTATGACTAAGAAAACTGCATAATGAAGAGCTCCATACTTTCAAATCCGCACCACATAACATATGATTCGAATAATAAGGCCACAACTACAAACATTATGACAAATGTTCCATTACATTATTTGCAAGTCACAGCTGCTTTTAACATACTGTGACATGACAGCTGAAAGCCTGAGTAGTGGAAGGTACAGATGTGGCCACTGCTAGGCAATGACGCAGTGAACACGTCTCCACAATAACAGATACTGATGCAACAACAGAGGATACCAATGTTTCTATGCTGTTTGTGCCGAGGTTATAAAACGAGAACCAACCGGAGAAGCCAGTCCGACAGAGGTTGGAATTGGCAGTTAGCAGTCTTTGAGTTGCACTGTTAGCAGCCACTACCTAGCAATGACTAGTGAACATATGGAAGCCTTCACATGTACTGTAGCTGTAGTAATCTAGTGAGTGTAAATCAGTGAGACTGTTACATTACAATAATTTCATTATCAGGTCTACACAGCATCAAATTGTAAAATAACTGATGAATAATAAGTTGGAAAGGATTTCAGATGAAGCAGTTGTGGCATAATTGAGGTACTGTATTGGTATTTGTGTGGAGGAACTAAAGAGAGCCATGGGAAACATCAGTGAGGATAGGTGGTGTCCAGGATGAAATTCAAACTGAGCACCTCCCAAGTGTCAAGAACCCATCTGTTACGTCAACCCATTCAGTGCACATCCATAGCTGCTCTCCTTCCGCTACACTGCAATGCTTTTACAAGACAGCACTCAGACAAAGAATACAGATTTCAACACAGGACAGAGTTCTTGGCTACTGTCACAATGTCGCAGGGCATTACACGATACCTGGTTTCCGTTTGCCACTCGAACCACCTGCCTCAGGATCAGCATCACCATTGTTGACCTTTCCATGATCAGACTTACGAGGAGGATCCAAACCAAGGAGCCGGTGAATTCTGTTGCGATCTGGAGCAGGGAAATGTTTTTCCACTAGCGTCTGCAGGACACCTCTGCCAAGACACATGAGAAATTAATAGGTTAAAATGTCATATTTATAGCAGTAGTTGGTTCAAACTCAAGAAAAAAAAGTTGCCTACACTTCACAGCCTTCACTTAAGGCTAATTTTAATTGACGCAATACACAGATTCCTTACTGCAAGCAAGAGCAGTGCCATGACGGACAACAAAGTACACATCAAATGGGACCTGAGGCCTTACCAGTGCCATCCAGATCGAAACAGCATTGGCCAACAGTCTCATTAGACTGGCATCTTTCTAGTTGTGGGTTTCACTCAAGAATTTTGTTCTACCATGATGGTCCTGGCTGTGTTCTGACCATCTGAGCTTGCAAATACATGCATTGCTGAGGCTCATGTGTTGCCAGCTTGCGAAATTTGTTCTACCATGATGGTCCTGGCTGTATTCTGACCACCTAACTACAGACTGCACATATTGCCATCTGAGGTGTAAATGATAATTTGATGATAGCACTAGCACTGGGACTTGGAGGAAGCAGCCCTACAGGACAAATCAGTACATGTTTTAGCTGGGTACTGGAAGACATTAAGACAAGATGAAAATACTAGTAAAAAACTGAAAACAAGAAACCGTGGGAAAAGAGAAGAAATTGGAGACCATCCATCAAGCAGTGCAAAATGGAAACAACGCTAGAAGAGGAACATAACTACAGTGCAAGCACACTTCATGCAAATTTGAAGCAATGCAATATATAAAAAAAAAAAATTATCGAAGTCTCACTTCCTGTGCAACCTTTGAAATAACGTGAAACCCCAAATCCCCCTCACTTTACATTTATTCCTATGAGAACATCTACCTTGAATTATGTGTGGTCTTCAGGAACACATCCTTGCATTCAATGTAGCTCTCTTTCCAGAAGCATGCATATTCAGTAAAACCATGATTTAAAAGCATCCCTCAAGAGCTGTAATAGGGCACAGTGAATGAAATACTGTGTGTCAAGTATGAGGTTGATAACCACTATTTTTATACAAGGCTTCTCAATGACTCACTTTGCAGTTGACACAAAGTCAGAGAGCTCCCCGTCATCTCGTTCTAACTGTTCCAGAGTTCGGGCCTCACCTGTTGACTGCAAACCGATCACAACACATTTCCCACACTTCACAGCCTCCCTGTAAGTAAGTCAATTCACTAGCAGAAACACGATAAATAACATGGCCTTAATGTTCTAATGGCTCCAGAGAAACAATGCAAAAACATTTGAAGATTCTGCCAAGTCTAAGTAAGCACCAGAGTACAAACAATGCTGGGTCTTAGGTTTCAGAAGCAGCGATTATGAAGGGTACTACCTCCCGGGATGTCATAATGTTGAGAAGTACCTTGGCTCAGTACAGTATTCTATGGAACAGCCTCTTGCCTTCCTGTCATGCTGACCGACTCCTGGCTTATACCCGCACTCCCTTATCCACCGAGGCCTTGCCTAATGGTGGGCACGCTGCAGATTATTTGGGATTTAGCAGCTGAACTAGGTGGAAGCCTGAGGCAGTTCAGCCGAGGGTTTCAGAATGGAGGACAGATGGACAGATGAGTGTCTGGTTTCCAAACTTATATTTGGCATGTTTTCTTAAACTCCCTTATGTCTGCTCTCACCTCTCCTGGTGCTGTGATTGTAAAGTATAATGTTTCCGGCATTTAGTTGTCTTCTGGCCTCACCCTGGGCATCTGATGTCTTAAACTGTACCAAGAGTAGTCAAATATTACAAAATATATCAGGCTCACTGTGGGTGAATCACGGCCCAATTTCATTGTACTTTTGGGGTTTATTTATTACATACCTATTGTGCCCTTATTTTACTAGACTGCCTTTTATTGTGATCTTACTCTTACCTGGCCTCGGGATCATTTGAAGTTGCGACTTTCAAAAACTGGTACAGTGTGTGCTCACAACACCCATTTTCCCCTTATGCACCAACTGGTAGCAGACCGTGGTTACATGTTTCAGTTTGGTTTATATGCATTTTACTATATGTTGTTGTATTATTACGATTAAGCTAAGCTGTATTTAAATTTGAATTGCTTTGTTGATTTGTCTGCTACCTACTCGCATTGCAATACCTGCTCCTATTGGGTGAGTGTATGATCTGACCATGGCCACCTAAAGGGACAAAAAAACTACATTGCTTCACCCTGGGGTTTAATTTGGCACTATGTACACTGGCCTCACAGTTTCTTGGTAAAAGTTCACCACTATTTTGGAACAATGTACTGCCTCCGTCTTCAGGAACAAAGAGTAAATCAAGAAAAATGTAAGCATGTCATTCTGCTTGCTGCTTGCTTGGCTTACCCTTCAATTTTGGTCAATGAAAAATTTGATTTTTTCCAATAAAACACAAAAGTGCCGAATGAATTTAAGTTGGGATTTGCTGTTCTCACAGCCGTGAGTATCCTGATCATGGTACTCTAGCATGTCACACATGCAGGTAATGGGTTCTACTGAAATCTTGGCAGCTATCCACTAAATTATAAGTCATCACATCCCAGAACACTGTGAACTGAATTTAAAGATATCACTAAAAATTCAACAACCCTTTGAAGGCTAACAATACTGTAGAGAAAAATGTACCCTAGTACATAACACCAAGGCAGAAACATCTTCAATTTCAGATTGAAACTGAAAACACAGTAAAAAATTCCTTGCACAGATGACAGCATCAATGAAAGCCCAGGTACCTTTAAACAATCTTTTACAGGTACTTAAGAGCACTGTCAGCATCAAGTGGCAGGACGATTCATGAATGATGAATTGCAAAGGATAGAAAGGAAGCAATAACAGCTTAACTGAGGCAATATCCTGGAATTTGCCTGGAGGGACTGAGGAAAATCATGAGAATCATCCATGAGGACAGCCAGTGCCCAAACAAAGTTTGAAACCAGTGCCTCTGGACAATAAGTCTAAAGCAGTGTTACCTGAATGGTGTTCTGTGAAACCCCAACATTCTGCAAAGTTTCATCACAATATATAGAATGACAATTTAAATATTATTATAAACGTCACTTAACATAATTTTCATTTCAAAGTTTCTTTAGAATATAAGTGTCATTTTCAAAGGAAGAAATAAAGAAACTACAGTGTACTTTTGCCTCAGAGAAACACTTTATCAAGGCACGCAGTTCATCAGCAGATAGCTTCCACCGGCATATCTTGCGCAGAACTAGATTCTCAAATTAGGGAGCAACAAAGACAAAACAGTTTAATAGATTCAATGTGGCACAAGATGTGAGAATTCAAATTTCCAGTATCAAACCAAAGAGAATGAGAGTTTGTCAATCAAGAATAGAAAAACCACTCTTCACAATGAAGACTGCAAATGTGTAGCATGTGAGTTTCCAATATTCATTTTTCACATATACGAAATGCGATTTTCGTTTCTAAACACATGCAGCTACATAATATGTTGATCTCATATCCTTGTTTAACGTTTATTTTTTATTATTATCCTTACTAATCTGTGGTATGGGTTTTTAGCTGCATATATAAGAATTTTATTAGGAGTTCCATTATAAATTTTCATGTTACAAATTGGCCAAATTATTCCAGGAAACACCAGTCTAAAGTATTACCTCTAGACCAACCCATTCAATGTATCTATAAGCTGAACAAAATACACGTTCACTGTAAAATAATGAGAAAGGCAATTCCCCTGTTGAGGCAGTTTACAGGGCCTGAGAATCATGGCATCCTTCTTAAACGTAGTTCTTTGGGTCAGCACTCCGCTACAATAGAAACCTTCAAGTGGGTTCTTTCCTTAAAAAAAAATATCATTTCAATGTGCAGTGCTTTCTGTAAGAGCAATATTTACCTTGCAGTGACAACAGCGTGGTTCACTTTTGCGGCTATACACAGATATTTGAAGAAACGCTGATGTGAGGACCAGAACTGCCCCCACATTGTCTTTTTCATGCGGTTCTCAGCATCCACAAGCTCAGCAGCTTCCTGGAACTTCTGCATGGCTTCCACCCACTGAACAAAGAGCTCACCATCAGCAGGACACAACAGTGAAGGACCTCAAGCCTGCCAAGTATCTTCAAATGGTACAAGATTTAAGGTTTCCACAGTGAAGGCTCATACTGCTGAAAACACGGGTACCTGCCTACTAGATTATACGGTGTCTAACACAGAAAACCACAACATAAATCTTTAAATGACATGTTTCTTACAGTGATAGTAATACAGAAACACACAATCAGCATATCTTCTTATACAAAATTCTTTTGTAGAGCTGTACCATTAGTTTAAGTTCTTTAGTGGTGAATAATACATCACAGTAAGACAGCGAGTAAAGACTTGTAATGAATATGGGATGAAGCAGCTGTAATGTACTGTGCCAATATCTTGCATTTCTGTTTAGACAGAAACTTAAATCAGGCCAGGATTTCAATCATGTATCCCCCCCCCCAATATGCAAGTAAGATATTCATGTCCCTTATTGATTTAATGCCTATGATCCTGAATCAGGCTGAATATATACTGAAATCACATGTAGGACTTCTAATACAGACTTACCAACTTGACAGATTCATCATAAACTTTAACAAATTCTTTTGATAATGCCACCTCTTCTATTTTGAAGCCAACACCATGGAAACTCAACTGCCTTGCGATGTACATCCCCCGAAGCTTCATGTCCATTGCAACAATTTCCATGGCACCCACACCTCTGCAACACAAACAGGTCAAAACAGTAATATCTGATAGAAATGCACACTCAACGTCAAGTTATTTTCTCTGCACACAAATCTCACATCTAGTCACCTCGTACACCACAGCGAGAAGCAGAGCTGTAGAAGCTATGGTGTGGATGATCAGGAACATATACGTGCTATATTAATAAACACTGGCCCACAATTTGAGTAACTTTTAGAGCAAGATGAGGTTCACATGATGACATCAAGATTACTGTCTTCTGGGGCGTGACAATACACAGTATGGTTGATATGTACCAACTTCGGAGAAACTTGCTGCCTGTGACTTTATGGCAGTAGAGTGACTTCTCTACCCTCAAGACAGAGGTAACATGTTTCTACAAAGCATCAGAACCCATGCAGGGTCTAAAATTCTCACAGCAGTGGTTATGTAAAGTTCTGTCTTGTGGTATATAATATTGTGTAGCATGCTGAAAGTCAACCGACATTTCAGAGGAATATGTTGCATCCATCTTCAGGGTCAAATAAGCCAAACAACCAGCATGAAAGCAGGTGGCAAGCCAGAAATTTCAGATTATATAGGAAGCAAGAGGGAAATGGAAGAGTGGACCTGAGTTCCCAGTGGCTCGCCATGGGACAGAACGAAACCGCTGGGCTCTCACATGACCACCAACAAACCAATAGGAGACAAGGACAGAAGTTCAGGGTGGCCTTGAAAAGGGGCGGTTTTGGTGGTCGACAAAAAAGGCAGGGAAAATGTGTGGGGGCGTGCTGGACAGGGATCCAATGTGTATGATGGCATGGCCCCATGGGCAACCCAGATCTGCTTGTGATGCAGGCTTCAAATGACTGAGTTCCATCCAAATAATAAGAACAGGGAGGATGGCATCTGTCTGAACAGGTCATGCAAACCTCCCATCAGCTCCCTAGGAAGCCTCCATCACATGATAACAGATTTGGGTTCTCTGTCATTCTATACTCCACTTCTTGCTTCCTATTGGTTCACTTGGTGGTCATGTGAGAGCCCAGCGGTTTCAATTTGTCCCATGGCGAGCCACTGGGAACTGAGGTCCACTCTTCCATTTTCTTCCTGCTTCCTAAAAATTTGAAATACGGCTGATTACTCAGCTTACCACCACCACCTTTCTTGCTGGTATCTTGCTCAGATTTTTTGACTGTGAAAATGGAGGTGATAAGTTCCTCCGAAACGCTGGTTGACCTTCAACAGACTACATGGCTCTGTATCCCAGAAGACAGTGTTCTTCATTAGTACTACTTACTAAACCACATAGCATAACAATACAAGATGACAGCAACCTTCTTACAGTACTGGATTTCAAGAAGCGCTACAGATATGTACTAGCAACAAGATGTTCTATGCTCCAATATGAGGCATTAATACCAACCTCTTCTCTACGGCAGAGATGAAATCTGTGAACTCGGAGAAGGGCGTACCTTCACCCCAGATGCCCAGGCGTGTCATGTACGCCATATTGCGAGGCTCTGAAGCACCAGTAGCAGATGCATAAACTACCCTAGCCTTTGGGAGCTTATTTTGAAGCTCCAGCACTGTCAGACCTGTCTTTGTGGGCTTTGAAGAGCCCACAGGACACAGATTCTTGGCTCTATGACACTCATCAAACACAACTGGTCCATCAAAATCTTCCCCACACCACTGCAGCAGCTGCTTCAGTCGTGTCTTGTACTTCCCACCCGACTGGGTTGACTCCCCAATCAGTGCAGAGTAGGTTGAGAATATTACACCTTTTTTCACATTTCCATTGATAGCTGAAGAGATCTTGGCATACTTGAACTGTGGAGCAGAGACATTAACTTATATACCATACTGTGTTGATGCACAAATGGCTGCATAAACCTCCTGCTACTATGGGACTGGTGGGCAAATTTTAACTGGGGGGGGGAATGCAACCTTCGACCAGCTGGACTGCACCTACACACACAACTGAAGTAATACTAAATGCACGCCTAATTAAAGTTAATATTTTACTCCAACTATGGCAACCAAACAAAACAAAAATAATGGTATGTGATTTAAAACTTTCACTTCAACTGTGTGAAATCAAGTCTTCTCAGATGGTCATCTCAACATGGAGTCAAAGATGCTACACATTTCCAAAAGCGGCCTCCATAGTCTAGGGGTAACGTTCCCACCTCATGACTCAAGGCACGCGGGTTCAAACCCGGTGGAGGTCGTGGAATTTTTAAGGGCAGAAAAATTCAGGGAACAAGTCCTCCAGGAGGGACTTTAAGCCGTGGGTCCCGTGTCGTGGCTTTACGGCACGTAAAAGAACCTCATACCTCAACGAGGCCTCCGAGCCAAATTATAAAGGACATTTCCTGCCCAACAATAGTCTCTAACACCTCTGGTAGATGGGGGAAGCATCTAGATACTGCTGAGCCAGTAGAGGCCGAACTCGCTGGCTGAGTCGGGACTGATGGCACGCACCAGTATCGGTAGCGTACAGAGACCGGTAGAATATCACAGGGGGACGTACAATAGACGCGGTGCATGGGGAAACCCACCCCCTCCAATAACAATAACAATAATAATAATAATAATAATAATAATAATAATAATAATAATAATACACATTTCCAATACTGTTTCTGACTGCAGCACTAGGTGTTGATGCAAGGAGTATATCACAGTTAGCTCAGTGTGTAAAAGTGAAGGAGCAGTGGATGGAGTCAGAGGGTTAGCAGTTTCCTATACCAACACTGACCATGGGCTCATCACTTGGTCACTTTGGAGGCAGTCTCTGAAACCCTGAACATTAATTCCATACACACACGTCTGGGAAGACTTCACAGCAAGAACTGTACCATACAATGATACACATAGCCCCAGTAACAATATGTGTAAGAGACTGCATGGTGATGAAGTTGGTGTCTAGGGTAGTTACCTTGTTAAGAGCGTGAACCTCTATCTTCGATGCTCCGATGTCACGCAGGTCCCTCTCAGCATCATACTTGAGATCATTTGAAACAGACACCCAGATTGCTCTTTTGCGCCCCTTCAGGTAATTCTCAAATATCACTCCAGCAATAGTCCGCCCTTTGCCAACACCAGCGCCATCACCTGGCACAAACAAAGGCCATCTCAATTGGATCTGAAACCTCACTTATTTTTATGACGTAACTAGCTCACCTACCTGGAAGTCTAATACACTGAAAAGTTATGATGTTGATCTTAATTATGTTAATATAAGGTACCAGAATTTAAGGAATTTAACTAACCCATTACAATGCAAATTCTTGGCTTCCTACAAATTTTTGAAAATTGTCATTTATATTTAGACAACTAGAGATTAAATTTCTCAAAAACTATCAACAGACATATAGGGCAAGCAAGGTATTATTTTGTTTTCTGAAGCTCTAAAACACGCAAAATTCCTCACTATGCTAGAATAAATGATTCCTGAAACACAAACTGTGCCAGTTTGGTCAGAACAAGTGCAAGAGCATGGAAATATATGAAGAACAAACAGACACACACTCCTCTTCACAGACAATGTGCTTCTCTACAAGAAGTGTATTACTAACTAATGAACTGAGTAAAGTATGGTGTTCTGTAGGCTTAGGACAAGTTACTGCCATGATTCTGGCTTGTTTGTATGGCAAAGAGTAGACAGCAAATACTTAGCACACACAGAAGCTACACCAGTTGATGTTCACTGTTCCCTCAATCCTGAAATCAGTTCTGACAGCCATATAAATACAACAATAATCACATGCTGTAGGAGTGACGAAGACAACGCATCGTTCTGTTCTACTCAGCACCCTTCTACAAATATACAGCCACATACAGTAACCAAGATCTGCTTCACACAGGCATGAATACAAGATCTGATGGTATGTACATTATTGTACAGTGCAGAATGGATGGCTGTTAGATGAACTGTAAAGGATTATGAAGGAAGCAGTAAGGCCTAATTGAGGTACTATCCTAGAGACTGAGGAAATGCATAAAAAGCTCTGTCTGGATAGCTGGTATTCTGGCTGAGATGTGAACATTACCATTGCACCAACCTGCTTGGTGATCCTGCATATGTTGGTAGCAAGGTATCAACATTTGGAACCAGCCGCCTCAGGTTGCTTAGAAACACTTGCAACTTTCTATTACAACTACATGGCACCATATACTGGATACCATGCCCCTGGTACACACAGTGCATCAAATGTTAATGTATCAACCAGCACCACCTGTATGACTGGTTACGCACCAATGAGGAAGCCAGCACGACTACCATCAGGTAGGAAATGCTCATGCTGCTGTGCAGCATACGTGACTGCCTCCAGCTGCAGGGCTGACAGCGCTCCTGTCGTGATCGTGTCCTCAGGCAATGTCAACTTGTACCACACATCTGTCGGAGCAACACTTGACAGCGAGGCAGTCTCCACCACTGGGTCAGGATGCTTCTTACCCAGTTTCACTGTTCAACAGATCAGCAACAGCAAAGGATAGTCCCATATAACAACAATTTCAACTAACACTAAAATTATTAATGTTGTCAAGTGCCATTCTGCAATTCCTACGTGTAAATTACCCCTTCCTATGTCATACTCAATATACTACATACTAGACAATTTCTTTCATCTTTCATTTCTGAAATACTCAGTGAGGGTCCTCCTACCTCTGTTTGCTATATGATACATTAATCTCTTATTCATTTACATTGCTCTTACATTAGTTCTTGTATCTGAACTTAGATGGCAGGCAACGTTTTCTAACTGTATCAAACTGACTGAGAAAAATGAACACAACTTGGGATATTTCTTACGTTTGCTTGATAGCTGAACAAATGAAAGTGTGAATAAGCGAATGAATGAGTGTGACAGTGTGTCCATCCACCTGCTTATGACAAATGGCTCCACTGATGAGATGAAGTAATCCACTTACAATTGGGAGCATTCACAAGGGAAAGCAGGAGTGGGAGAGTTACAGACCAAGTGGGTACTCACATTTAGTTGGCATGTAGTCAGCGTATGTCTCGGCCACACCCATGTCTTCATCATCAACCTCCTCCTCTTCCTGCACAGTGGTAAGAGGGTGAAGCTATGGAAAAACAAGACCAACATTCAGACACGCTCGACATGGAAGTCACTATTCTCTGCAACACATGATGTCGCATAGTCTGGTAGATCATTATCAATATGTTGGAAGCAACTGCTACCTCTATCTTCACTCTTCTGCCCTGAAGATGAAGCAGCAAGTTCCTCTGAAATGGTGGTAACATTCTACGAGACTATACAGCTTCACATCCCACACAGTAATCTTCCTATTCACTGACCTGAGAACCTCATATATCACACTATGAACACATTTCTCATTGATAACAGAAATACATAGTGTTCAGTAGCAGATACTTGAGTTTCAATGGCTACTTGGCCTCAGTAGCAGATACTTGACAGTTTCCATGGCTACTTGGCCTCAGTAGCAGATACTTGACAGTTTCCATGGCTACTTGGCCTCAGTAGGAGATACTTGACAGTTTCCATGGCTACTTAGCCTCAGTAGCAGATACTTGACAGTTTCAATGGCTACTTAGCGTTCAGTAGCAGATACTTGACAGTTTCAATGGCTACTTAGTGTTCAGTAGCAGATACTAGACAGTTTCAATGGCTTCTTGGCCTCAGTAGCAGATACTTGACAGTTTCCATGGCTACTTAGCGTTCAGTAGCAGATACTTGACAGTTTCCATGGCTACTTGGCCTCAGTAGCAGATACTTGACAGTTTCCATGGCTACTTAGCCTCAGTAGCAGATACTTGACAGTTTCCATGGCTACTTAGCCGTTACTCTCCAGGAATGGGGATTCAAATCTCCCAGATCTACAAGGCTGGCAGCTGCATTCTAATTAGGAAGTAACAGGATTGTGACATGACAGCTGAAAACCAGAATTGTGGAACAAATATGGCAATCACTGCACGCGGTAGCATAGTTGGGTGAGGCACTATGCTACAAGCCGGAAGGTCGTGGGCTCAAATCCCGATGAAATCACTGGATTTTTTAAATTTCCCTAATCCTTCCAGCTGCACAATCACCCTGGGGTCAACTCAGCCTCTAACAGAAATGAGTACCAGGAATATTCTTGGGGGTAAAGGGCGGCTGGCGTGTAAGGCTGGCAACCTTGCCGCAATCTGTGAGCCGACTGTCTAGAAAATGTGGGAACCTCAACATCTCATAAAGGCCGCGCCATAGCTCAAGCGGTTAGTCGCTGGCTTCCCACCACAGCGGCCCGGGTTCGATCCCAGATCTGGTCAAGTGGGATTTGAGGTGGACAAAGTGGTGCTGGGGCAGGTTTTCTCCGAGTACTTTGGTTTCCCTTGCCAATCTTCATTCCACCAATTGCTCCACAATCACCCTCACCTAACATCTGGGGCTGGCACAATAGGCCAGAAGTGGCCGCAGTACAAGGGACTTAGTCCCACCCCACTAGTATTAATTAACATCTCACAACCCTATTGGCATTCACAGCCTGTTACAGGGATACATTTACTTTACTTATGGTTATATATGGTTATAATTTACAACTTTTAACATAATTAAAATTCAGATGGGTAGCTAACTACTGGTACATCAGAGTGTTTCAGTCTACCAGCTACGTATTTAAGTGGCTCAGGGTTCAAACTTAACCCCTGTAATCACAATGAATGGCTCACAAATACAAATTGCAAGAGGCATACCTTTGTCTCATCATTCATCCACAGCTGTGACACTGTCTTTCCCGATAGGCCCCCAGCCCAGCCCTGATGCATGGCTGCATTCATTCCAGACTGACCAAGCAGGTGATTCAGCAACGCCCCATTCTGGCCCAGAAGGAATGGGTTCATAGCAGCCATGTGTCCCAGACTCATGTTCACCAGGAATTTCATGTTCATGTTCATACCCATGTTCATACCCATGGGGTTGAAGCCACCCATGTCCAGTGCTGAAATTGGAACTGTTGTAATACTGCCCTGTGATGATAACATTCAACAAAATGAAACTGCAACTCCTAACAAATATTTAGACCAACAAGTGAATACCAACATTCTGTAGGAATAGCTAACTGACAGCAGGTTCCTCCAAAACATTGGTATCTATTTCAATACTACACAATGTCACAACATACATGACCACATCTCAGTACTGTATGCCAAGAAGACCTGTAAACATCATGTTGTTTAGAATCACAATAAAAACAGAAAGAGCCATGGAAACAACAAACATTACACTCACATTGCTGGAACAGGTGGGCAGGATTCAGACTGTGTTGGGGCATGCCTGCCATACCAGGGAAGAAGCCCATAGGCCCCATTCCTCCCAGTGCTCCCATCCCACCAAACATGCCCTGTGGGGGAAATGGAAACGGTGTCTGTCCTGAACCACCGACTCGAACTTTCTCAAAGCCGAGGGTTGAGTTGCCCTTGGTGACCAGCCCGCCTGGGATCTTGCTAGGAAGGTTTGATGCGGCATTTGTGCCTACACCTGATGCAAAGGGGTTCAACTTTATTATTCTGCACTCAATTTGCTAAACAAACTTTCAAACACAATACCTCCCAAATGAACACAACTATAAATATGAAACAGAGTGCAATGCTTTAGACCATTCTCCTGCTTAAAAAATCTTCTGTGTGCTGTACCTGCATAACATCCATCCATCCATGATAACTACTGCAACAACCTTTGCTCGCAGTTCATCATCGTACCAAGATGGGGGAGGCAACACACTCAATCCTAACAGAAAAAAGTCCACTGCAGAAAAGTCAGGCAATGGAGTAGGCCAGGCAATGGAAACTGCTTGACCAATCCATGCTGTTAGGAAGGTCTGCATCATGCTCATGTTCCACAAACTTTACTAGGCATTTTGTTCCCAATTTCCTGAGGTGTTCTGTTTGCTCACTTTGCCACACTAATGTGGAATGAGGGCTATTGCCAGCCCATAGTGAGCTGATTCTTCAAATTCAGAACTGCTCTACAACTTCCAGTGAATGTCTCCCACAAGAAATTTTGAAAACATCTAACAGTTTAGGTGCTCATGCTTGGTTGGACACAAAGACAGACAAAAGGTTTTCCATAAGTTATTTTATTTCAATTTAAAATTTATTAACAGTATTTTTTAACCTGTCTAATCTCTCTATCATCTTTATAATTTATTTTTAAAAACTTTTACATTCTAATCACTTTTATTCTTCATTCTTTTGTGGTCGTAAGTCGACGACCAAGTGTAATGTCAAATTGTATGAGGATAGGAAAATTATATATTGGAAAAAGGCAGTCCTGGTCTGAGGGCTGCACAAAACCATGAAAGAATTTTGCCAGGACAGCTAGTGTCCTGGCCAAGAGTTGAACTGAAATAGCATGCTACAACTACAACCTCCATCTATTAAAATTAGTCGCTTATAATGAACCTCATACAATTCCACAATAGCCTTGTCAGTGATACTATGTGCAGCAAAATAATTCTTGAGGAGCTAATATTATTCAGCTAGCCATAAAAGTCCCTGTTTTTATTGAAGTTTCATTACAAACATCAAAAGAGCCTGCTAAAGGTCCCTATCCTGAGCCAGATGACTCCAATTCTCACTATCACATGCTACTTCTCCAAGATGCGCTTTAATATTTTTGGCCCATTTATTCCTAAGTCTTCAGTGTAGTCTCTTCCCTTCACATTCTAGAATTAAAATTTCTATGCACTTTTCATCTCGCCTATGCACAACATATTCCCTCTTCATCTAATCACACTTCATTTTATCACCTTAGCAATATCTGGCCAAGAGTACAAGGCATGAGACTCATCATTATGTAACGTTCTCCAACATGCCTCTTAGGTATTAATACTCCTCTAAACTCCGTGCTGTGAGACATCTTCAACCTATGCTTTCCACTTAAAAGACAGAGGCCAATTTCACACCCATACACAACAAATGAAATTACAGTTTTGTATATTTTCCTCTTTATGTTATGGATGCTAATGGGAAGATTCTTAACAGGAAATGCATCAAACAAATGCCTCCAATACAAATGACTTTCATTACACGTGAGAGTTGCATATATAAAAGAATGCATAAACAAGGAAATGGACTGAAAGAACACTAAGCATGGTGGACTTTGACCTCCAATACAATAAAATGAAAATAAAAATAATTCATTCCACTGCACCCCACTTTCGTTACTTCTGGAGCAACACAAAAAAGGAAACAAAAATTAAATATTGCACAAAGGTATTTTAATAAAATTAACATATAAAACATTACACATGATGAGTTGGGATAGCACAATCAGTATAGTGACTGGCTACAGGCTGGACGACAGAGGTGCCAGCATTAGAGTCTCTGTAGGTTCAAGAACTTTCTCTTCTCCAGCGTCCAGACCAGCTCTGGGGCCCACCCAACCTGCTGTCCAGTGGGTACCAGGGGATCTTTCCCCAGGGGTAAAGTGGCAGGGGCGTGAAGCTCACCACTCACCTCCACTTAGTGCTGAGGTCAAGAAAATGTGGGTCTATTCCTCAACTCCCCCATACGTCTTCATGGCATGGTGCTTAATTAGTTAGACATAGGGACAACTTTACCTTTTTTATATATGATAATAAAAAATTAAGGCAATTAAGTAAATACATTTTAAAACACTTCTTAAAAGTAAAATTAAAATGCAGAATTATCTTTAGAAATTGTCTGTATTAATCTTGGGAGGCATTTGTAGTTAGCGTATGTGAAAATGTGCATATCTCCACTGTGGACCGACTCTCAGTACCGACTTTGCACGTTACCCCAAGCTCATCTGGCAACTCAGGATGAATAAGTAAAACAATGCACACAGTACAATACTCAATACTTTTTAACGCCCACATTTGTTTTGTAAAGTGAGCTGGAAGAATTCATAGTACAGCGCAATCATATTATAGAGTTCCCCATAAACTTTTCAGCCACTGAGGCAAAACAGAGACATGCCAAACAGATAACACCTTGCATCAGTCTTACCTAACCAAGAATCTATACTCATTGCATTCCTCTTTGATACTGCTACAATAAATGATCAGTTACAGTTAAAGTAACTTAGGCGTAGTGGGCTGACAGACTGTAATCTCAAGATCCTTCTACTATTTCAATATCCAGTTGGTGATGTTACTTCTTGTTGTGAAATGTCATGTGGTGATACGTACACTGCAATGAGTGCCAATGTATGATGTCTGTGTGAAATGTGCTTGTGTAAGAATATCACAAATATTCTGATATAAATTTCCAGATGTTACACATCCCAACAGGGAATCTATTCATACAACTGTAAATAAATAAATAAATTATAGAGGGTTTGTACTGGGCACAGAAAGGGCACTCAAAATGTCAAGAGCCCAGTAAAAAAGAAAACTCTGGATAAAATTCGTGTAAAGCAAAATAATGCTCAAAAATCCCTTAGATTTTGCACAGACCAGTTTATCAACCACGATTGCATTAACTGCCATGAAACTGCTCAAACTCACAACACATGTGGAATAGTAGTTGGCTGAAATATAATGCACATATTTGGTTCATGGTAGCTATTCCAAGATTTACTTTGGCGATAATGAAGACAAACTGTAAGGTATACTGACTCTTGGTCTCCCAAATCCACTAGCAGTCTGACACTGTGCAGTACAAGTTGATGTACAAACTGTCTCTCTCTCGTGCCAATGCAGCTAAATGCTTTTCTGACAGCTCTCATAAAATCAAACTGAAAACAATGAAATTTTCTATCTGTGATCAGATACTAGAAGGAGATAGGTAGGTCACATGAAGAGACAAAATATCACAACTACCACTCTAATGATCTAAAATCAAATAATTTAACCTAAGTGATTTTCAAGTGTGTCCACCACATCAACACACTACCACCACTCTTTCCTGCTACTGAGAAAAATTTTCTTTGGGTACTGACAGGCAGGTGTCATGGTTGTGCACTATGCGGGTGTAAGTTTCCACTTTCATTTCCCAATGAGAAAGTACAGCAACAAACTGACAAATGAAAACCTTCAAGCAGCTCTTTGGCAAGCTGTGCCACAATGTCCACTGACTGTGTTCCCATTAAGTGGGTTGCTATAAATTAATGTAACACTTGCTATAAACTATAAATATCAATCTTCTTTACAAGATTTGTATTACATGTAAAAAATTATATGTTTATACTTACATAACACATTTCCAACTTTTAAGTATGGTCAAATGAAAGTTCTGCTTGAAAACTAACACAACCTATGTAACAGCATAACACACCCAACCCTAACCTAAAGTGATATCTGCCATACAAAGCAAGAATGATGCACATATTTCATCCATTCAGGGGCTACCCCTCTCTCAGAAGCACACACTGCATCTAACAAAGACACAGCATTCTGCCATACAAAGCAAGAATGATGCACATATTTCATCCATTCAGGGGCTATCCCTCTCTCAGAAGCACACACTGCATCTAACAAAGACACAGCATATCCTCAGGGTACCTTATAACTTGCTTAGGACATTACGAGTAAGGCGACAGAATGGGAGGTGGCTTCCAGTTCTATAATTTAACAACATACTACATGATTTTTAAATTGTAAAATCTTCCATCTGTAATGCAACAAAGTCACCTTTCTTAAACGAACATATGATAGTTACCGCTTGTTCCTTCTGTCTTCACTTTTCCATCTTTTGGTTCTTCTTTCAGGGTACTAATGGATGCTGCAGTTGCTAGATCCTTTCCACCTCCTAGAATCATTGACAATGCTCATTCATAACAATCCCTAAACCCAACTGCACTGAATTAAATGTTTAAATACAAACTTTGAGCATGACATACCTGGAACTTCTATTTTATCAGGATCTTCATCATCATCAAAATCACTACCTGATTCTGGGGAACTCTCTTCTTTGTCACTGACATCAGTATAGTTCACCTTCCTAGTCACCTATAACATGAAATAAAATCTTTTAAACTACATATTACAGAGACACTACCAACAAATAAACTCTCCCAAAGAAATATATATATCTATATTTTACGAAATTAAAATTTGAAAGAGGTACTACCTACAAAAAGGAAAAACCGCACGTACAGAATTCATAACCTTCATGCTTCTCAATTAAACCAGTGGTTCTAATGCCATTTTTTTTTTTTTTTGCTTTTCTTTTTATTTCTCTTGTTCAGACAAAGGCAACATAATCAATCGATACACAATTGTTTAAATAATCAGTTTGCCTCTTTTGCCACTGTATACTGTAAATTTTATTATTTTTAATCATGATTCTGTTGTGCTATGGTGACAAAAACATGAGAAACAGAGTTTCTGGGATCCCTCCATTCCAATTTCCTTGACCATAAAAATTACATATCTTATGTACGAGGATATTCTCCACAATACTCTAGTGCAATATGAGATTCATTAATAGCTACTGACTCATGGACATTTCTCACGACATACTGCATTAAAATAACTAACTAATACGTACTGCTCTCTTCGGACGAGGCATTTTGTCACGGCGCGGACTCTTTTCCTCTTTTATTTAGTGCTTGCTCCCGCCATCTTGGTTTAGATCCCAGAATTCACAGCCACTAGATTTGATACTTTGTAGATGCTCGAAGTCTATTCTATTAACCCGAAATATTAAATGTGCCTTGCATATAATCTGAAATATGACACTTCATCACTCAGAAAATATGTGCTCGTATATGAGAAGTAAATCTGTATACTAGACAGTAATATGCGTTGAGAACGTTTTGCTTGATTTTGGATTAAATATCAATTTGTTCCAATCTCGTCACTAGATGTCAGCATTAATCTCCAACGCGTGAGTATTAAGTTGGTCATCAAAATGTGTACTGGCAATCAATGATCAGTTTTTTGGTTGAAAGCGTTGCAAGCATCAACGGATTTGTTAAAGGCCCGTTTTGCAGGTTGGAAATGTGAATTACGGCACGGAATAGGCAGAGGGTGTCTGAGAATAATTTTATAAGATGTAACGAATAATATCGCAGGGTATCGAAAAATGGATCCGAATCAGCTGAACAGTTAACGTTAATGTACTTTTAATTGCAAGTTGTGTGAATTTCACAGTGGCTATTTGTCACCTAAGAATTTCAAATTATGGATTTTGAACGGTAGCTAGCCAGCTACTAATTTTACGTTGTTTTTGAAGAAAATTTATTCATTTATCATGGTGCGAGGTAAGATGACTTTATTTTTAATCTCGATTCAAACAATTGTATTATCTGAAGTAAGATTATGCTCACATATATTCAGTGATTATACACGGGGTTTGAATGGGATTAATTGGTGTACGTTAATCATAGCGCTATCGCTATAATTCACCAACTCCACAATTTGTTATAGCACACACTAAGTTTCAGTGTGCTATGACTTCACCTGCCGTTGCTTGGTAATTGCTTCGACATCAGGGATTGTTCAGCATCCGTGTTCAACGGCACGTGACCACGCTAGCTGGCGGCTTCTCCCAGTAACGCATGCTGCTAATGCTCTCACATTCATGTCACCTGGGTCACAACTATGTCTCCTTGCAGTGCCTGGCCACTACCCAATATCATTGACTGTAAAAACTAAAATTTTAGACCGAAAATACGAAATACCTGGCATAGTTGTTTATTCAAGGATAAGAGAAAGCTTAGAAAATGGTGGGAAGGAACCACGAATCCAGCATACAAAGTCAGTCATGTTAGAGGGACAGTCAGTGGGCTAGTCAGTCTTGATGTCAAGCATGCCACTGAGGCCCAGTACCAGATTTTTATTACTGTCACCTGCAGGTTTGTTGATGTGCACCACCTTCTGTGATGAAAGGGCTGGTTTCTTGTTTACAATTGCTGTTGGCCGTTGCGGGTCCAAGTCCTGCAAGAATCACCTCCATATTTTACTGTCTCAGATCTGAGATTCCCCCAACCAGGAAGGCCAGGTCCCCATATTTATGTCCCTTCGTGGATATAATGTTGTATTGTCTGTTAAAAGTCAATAGCCCAGAATATAGAACTGTTCACACCCACCATTGTGAAAACCTCAAATTTTGCATTTGTTATCTCTTCCATGCATATGTAATTTAATTCTTAAATTGAGCGCTCTTGAGCAGTACAAAATATGAAGCTCCTCATTGTGCATTCTCCTTCATCCCCCTCTTACCATTTCTGAAATCTTTATATTTTGTGTATATATGATGGCTATTCAGAAAGTAACCTCAGGTGAGCTCTTAACAAAACAAGCAATGGGAAAAATTTGATATACAAAAATGCGTGTATACTTAAGTACTTCCCACTGTAGTTACAACTTGAATTGAGGCACTTGTCATATTGGGGAATAAGTTTTTATATGCCTGTGGCAAAGAAGTCAGCTGCCTGTGAGCTCAGCCACATTTTGACACCTTCCATAAACTCCTTATTGCTGAGTGTAATCAACCAGTGCTTTAGGTAGGCAAACAGGTGGTAGTCACACAGAGCAAGATCAGTGCTGTAAGGAGGTTGGTCAAACAACTCCCAGTTGAAATGTTCCAACAGTACTCAAGTGCAAGCAGCTGTATGTGGAAACACATTGTCATGGAGGACCGCTGCTCTGGACGTGAGCACTGAATCATTGTACACAGTTTTTTAGTGTTTCACAATACACTTCTGTCATTGCTGTGAACTGTGTTCCCTTGTTGCCTGTACTGCACAGTCAGCAGTCCCTTCCTATCACAGACAACAGTTACCATTTGCATTCTGGCAGACAGTGTTTGTTTAAACTTTTTGGCTTGTTTAATAGTGTGTGCATCCACTGTTTGACCACTCTTTAGTTTCAAAATTTACTAATTAAACCCAGGTTTCATTGTCTGTTACTCTTGCAATGGGACAGAAATTCATCGCAGTCTTTATAGTACTGTTCTAAAAAAGTCAGAGCTGAAATCATTCTCTGCAGTTTGTGTGTATCTGTGAGCATTTTTTTTGGAAATCATCATGCTCAAAACTTGTGATAGCCTAGTCTAACTGTGATAATCTTGTAGAGAACAGTGCATGAAATCTGTGGAAATTCACAAGAAAGTTCATAAATTGTGAACTGCCATCTTTCACAAATTTTTTGGTTAACATTTTGAAACAAGATCACCACTCATTATAGATGGCCAGTCACTGCGCCTTTCATCGTGAACATTTGTTCTTCACTATTGTCATACAGTTCTTTCACTCATGACATTTTGACCATAAACCTTGCATAATTCACGATGGATTTCTGCTCATGTTTTTAGTGTGAAGAAAGTGGATACGCATGCTAATTTCACAGCTGGCAGGACTATCAGTTGCAAGACATCGTAAGTCACTGTGAAGGGACAAAAACAAACACTGGGTGACCAGTCATGTGATGCTACCTCACATGTGCAAGCTCTCCCATGCTTCTGCATTACTTACCTAAAATAAATGGAGGCTGCTTTCCAAATAGCTCTGGTAGATACACCTCTATCCTTAATGTGAGGGATCACAATGTCACCCATATAATACAGAAGTAAAATTCATATTTTAGAATGTTATAATGTTTACATTTAAGGTAGCAGAAAGGAAAACAAATTCTGAAATAAAATTGTAACAAGCATTCACTGAATTTAATGTGCTATTACTTCCTGTGTGAATGAAATTTGAATTGTTACTGTCATTGCCATATATTTTAGCTTTTGCTTCATATTCAAGGGGTCTGTCTGCCACCTTTATGTATTATGCTTTTTACAACTCTTTTATTAACCGTCAAAACACAACAAATTGAAGGAATTAGGGCTTCACTACATGTTTCAGCCACTAATGGCCATCATCAGGCAAACACATATCAACAAACATACACCATTGAACTGCCATACAATAGAATGGATACAATGTTAAAATACAGTAGAACTTGGTTATAACGTCATCAAAGGGACCTAAAAATAGTGTCGTTGTAACCGAAATGGGCACTTCCACAGTAGCCTTATGTTAGTCACGTAAAAATCTACCAAAAACCGAGTTAAAATGTTGCATTTTTTAGTGAAATACGTAGTTAAGTACAGACTAACGTAACAGTAACGTGGAATTAATATGGATTCTCCATATCATTTGTACTGTAGAATTCACCAAACCAAATTCGCGGCATACATCAGCTTTTTTCTTTCCATTTTCTATTTCACGAATCACTTTAACTTTCTCTTCAATGCTTAAAACTTTCCTTTTCATTGTCATATTTTCGCTATTGCACTTCTCTGGGTTTAGGCAGGAACGCTATAGGGTAAGTAGACAATGTGAGGTCCTGTTAGACGAGATTCTAGGAAAGGAATGCAGTTAACAACCTGCCGCGTCCTCTTGCACTATTCACGCAGTCCCACCCCACACCCTTGTTTTCGCATAAAACCCACGCTCCTCTTGCAGCCCGCGGTCGTATTCTTCCAGGACAGTCACGTCAGCAAGTAGAGAACGTGAGGGTGGGCAGACACATCGAACGTTCCCACGATATCAGAGAAATTAAGGAATGAAAATGACGTTACATACGAGGTTGATGCATTTACGCATGTTGTACTAAGCAAGGTATAAAAACAGTTGCTTTATGAGGAATTAGTTCGTACCATTGAATATTTGACGCAATAGACAAGGTGTCGCAGAAACCGATGTTGCTATAACCAAGTTTTACTGTACTTTGTGTAAAAATACAGTAAGTCAGATTATATAAAAAAACTGAAAGTTGTTGTATAAAACAAGATAAAACTTAATTAATGTTATACAACATCAAATTCCATTCTATTGTACGGCAGTTCAGTGGTGTATGTTTATTGATATGTGTTTGCCTGATGATGGCCGTTAGTGGCTGAAACATGTAGTGAAGCCCTGATTCTTTCTATTTGTTGTGTTGTGACGGTTAATAAAAGAGTTGTGTATTGTAACACAACAGGATGCATGAAATGAAAATTATTATGCTTTATGTTACATTCAACAACAATAAATGCTGGTATTGGAAACAGGACATTATATCTCTTTCTTATCAACAGTTTTGGAACTGTCAGTGAAATAATTCTATCTTGGAAGCCATTTGGAAAAAGACACATGTACATATACGCTTTTTTGCTTAGAATGACTGATACTGTGACCTCCCAGAATATTGACCTTTCCTCATGGGACACCCAGTAAATTGTAATTGGCCTAACTGCTTTCATTGCTAAAATTAATTATGATAATTAATAGAATATTCATTTTACTCTTTAGGAAGAAGAAAATGTGCCAAGGGTCGACTGAAGCCAGTGACTGAGGCCCCAGAAGATGTGTCATGTGGTGCCCCTAAAAAGAAGGACTCAAAACTGTCAAAAGAATTTCAGGGTAGACTTTCCCATGCAAGTCCTCAAAGCAAAACCCCACTAATCACAAAGTTTTTCTCACCACGAGAATGTGCTGATGTTGTGCCAGACAACAAGTCTCAATTGATTGAAAATGTTGAAAAGGACACATTTAACATTTCCATTGCTAGATCTTCACCTAAAAAGGAAAGTGACAAGCCTTCAGAACCCACCATTGCTAATGGTTAGTACCATTTGTTAATTTATAAGGTGATTCTCTGCATTGTAGTCTGGTGTTTAAAATCATGGAAATGGTTATGCATCTTCTACCGTGTCATACTGCCGGATTGACTTGCCCATCAGACTTGAAGTATCTGCCACGTTCTAGGTTTCTTTGCCACTTTTTTGGGGGGGGGGCACCATATGTGTGCCTCTCTGTGTGTTTCTTTCATTGTTGTATGTCACAGTGATGAACAAGTTCATTAACATTTAATCAGCCATAATTTTCAACATGAATCAGTTATTAAATCCATTAGACTTAACTGTACACTGAAAGCATATCCATTTTCATCTTGATGGTGAATTCAAGATTGCTGCATAAATTAAAATATATTTACATGGGGGAGCTGTTGACTCATATTCCTAGATGGCAGCCAGGCTTTAAATTGCATATTTTGTACACAGCATGCATCAATGCTAGATAAAAAGTATGTTTTTTTTTTAATTGCTAGTGGGGTGGGACTCAGTCCCTTGTACTGCGGCCACTTCTGGCCTCTTGTACCAGCCCCAGATGATAGGTGAGGGTGATTGTGGAGCAATTGGTGGAATGAAGATTGGCAGGGGAAACTGAAGTACTCAGAGAAAACATGTCCCAGCACCACTTTGTCCACCACGAATCCCACTTGACCAGACCTGGGTTCCCGCGGTTGGAAGCCAGCGACTAACAGCTTGACCTATGGCACGGCCAAAAGTATGCATTTGGTATGAGGACTCAAAATCTAGGAAGAATATTATGTTTTGAGATGTGATGCTGTGTAGTGTGGTAGAATTTCACTGATGTTTAAGCGGAATATACTGCGTCTATCTTTAGAGTCAAAAGTAGGGTTATCAAGTAACCAGCAAGAAGCAGGTGTGATGCCACATAAGTAAACGATCCAGGATAGAATTGTCACTGTGGTGACAAGGCTACACCCTGCATGACCACAGATTTGGGGTTCATGTCCCAGCGGCATTAGAGGTTTCTTTCCATGGAACCCATGCTAGCTCTAGGACGAGCCCAGTCTCCTCTTCCGTGTGGTTAGTATTGTAAATTTTTTTTTATCCAGTCTGAGCTCATCTTCTCATTGAACTGTTTCCAGTTTTGTCCATATATTTTATAAATTCTGTTATTTGTGGAATTTGTAATTCTCTCACAGTTACCCACTTTCATTCATTGTTTCTGCTCATATCAGTTTTCTGTCATTTGTTCCTATAGCCCTTGATACACTGCTGGTTTAGCGTTTTCACAGCTTAAGATAATTTTAGTTCCCCAGTTGGTTTTGTTGTTTTGTACTGTAGCCAAGAGTAAATTCTGATAACATGTATTTTTATGTTATATATTTTAAATGTGTTTACTTCAGTCTGCTGTATATCAGTAGCTGATGTGTACATTCCCACCTTTATTCCATTTTCCTTTTACAGATGTTGAGAAGAACTCTGTACTGCACTCATTTAGCTGCAGCCCTCACAAGATACAGTTGTGTGCAGATGTCGCACGTCTGTCTCCTTCAAGTGCTCTCTCTCAACTCCGCATTTCATTGTCACCAAAAAGAGCTGTAAAATCTCGGCGAAAGTAAGTACGTGTGATGCAATGCTTGAGGTTTTGACACAGCATATGTTCAGATAGTGATCTTCAAGGTTGTGACAATATGTAGTATTGTAGGTGAATACCGGTGTGTTAGAGGAAATGTAGCCTACATCTTTGGGGTTGACTGTGAAGATGGGGGCAGGATTTTGGTATATGGCATGACCATACTTAATTTGTTGGTGTGAATTAAGAGCACAGTCACTTAAGTCACTTGCAATGGACTGGTACAAGGTAAAGCTCTCTTTGTAACAGACCTTGGAGGCCCATAGGATTGTGAGACTTTTGAGTCTCCCACATTTTCTAGACAGTCAGCTCACAGGTGACGGTGAGATTGTCAGCCTTACATGCCGGCCGGCTACACTTTACTCCCAGGAAGATTCCTGGTACTCATTTGTTAGACGCGGAGCTGACCCCAGGGATATGGTGCATGACCTCATTGGGAATCAAACTGGCAACATTGCAGCTTGTATTATAGTGTCTCAACCAGCTGCTATTGCAGCAATGCACTGGTACCTGCAGAAAAGCTACTTTACATAATCTTGAATGTCTTACGTGTAGACACACATTTTCCTAAGCTTTAGGCTGGGGCCACACGAGCGCACAAAATGCGTCCATTGTAGAAATAAAGAAGAGAGGCGAATAAACTATGCACCGCATTCTGCAACTGTGTGGTGTTCTCAGCAATGTTCGTTACAACGGACGCATTTTATGCGCTCGTGTGGCCCCAGCTTAAGATTTATCGTTGTGATTACAGAATTTCAGATTACTGTGTCAGCAAATTGTTGACTGTTAATACATTTTATTTCAGAGTATCATGTCTATTCTGTGAGTAACAATATTTTGATGTGGTCATGTGAAGTATAGTAAGTATACTTTATAAAGGAGATGGCTTATGATTAACCATTTGTATGTTATTTGTAGGACAATTTGAAGCCTGCCTTACAGTTTCGAGTTACTTACAACAATTACACTGAATGCCATTGCCTACTCACGTATGTACACTGTGCAGGCTGAACCCAAGTCAGACTGTCAACCAGCAGCTGGCTCCAAAGACTGTCCCAAAGCCCGTGTGTTGCAACAGTGCTTCTGCTGCACCACCTACCAAAGTATCTGGCAACCACAAGTTGACTGAATACTTCCCAGTACGGCGTAGCGTACGCAAGACCAAGACAACAGTGCTGGAGGAGCAACAGCGCGATCTGGAGGAAGCAATCTTGTCTCGGAGGGAGGATGGACTTGAGGTTGTATGTACACAGCTTTTTGTTTGTTAACTAATGGTTGCTCAGCGTAATGAGTTATGTGGGGAAGCTAGTATGTATGTATTATGGGAGGGGGTGGGTTTCCCCATGCACTTAGACCAGTTATTGGTCCATTGTGCGTCCCCCTTTTAATTTCTACTGTCGCCATACCCTACCGGTAATGATGCGTGCCATCAGCCCCCGTAGAGCCAACGAGGTCGGCCCCCGGTACCTTGATGCTTCCCCCATCCACCAGAGGCATTGGAGACTACTTGGGCGGGAAAGGGCCTGTAATTTAGCTCATAGGCCTCCTAGAGACATGAGGTTCTTCTACGTGCCGTAAATCTATGACACGGGACACACGGCTTAAAGTTCCTCCTGGAGGACTTGTTCCCTGAATTTTTCCGCCCTTAAAAATACCACGACCTCCACTGGGTTTGAACCTGCATACCTTGAGTCATGAGGTGGGAATGTTACCCCTAGACTACGGAGGCTGCTTGGGGAAGCTAGTATAGTCACCAGGCTGTGGGCTGGATGAATGAGGAATTGGGGTTCAGTTCGTATCATGGGCAGGGCTGTGGGATCGCTCACACCAGATGTTGACCTTGAAGCATGCAGTTCATGTAAGAACTGTTGAAAAATTCACTTTCTACATCTAAACAAACAAATACAAGGTGTGAGATTATTTTTTATTTCCAGCTATACACTACATTTCGACCATCAAGTGCTATCAGGCGGTACACACAAATCAGTTAAGGTATCTGTATTGTAAATACAAATTTGTTAAAGTATAAAGACGTGAAAATTTTGGGAGGACAGTGGATTGGGTTAGATTGAGCTTATTTTTACGTGGATAAAAGTATAAAATTGATGGTACATGTTGCAATACAAACATAAACTCATTCTTGTGTTGCTTATGTGGGTCATATGCAGAAGTTTTGAATGTTAAACAGCTGAAACTTACAGCTGCTGTGGTGCTTTAAAGAGTTAACAGTGCAATCCATTTGTTGCAGGTCCACAACTTTGAGGGAAAGGGGCGTGGCATTGTGACAACAAGGCATTTCTCTAAGGGGGAATTTGTGGTTGAGTATGCAGGGGAGTTGATCGACATGTGTGAAGCAAAAGAACGTGAAAAGAACTATTCCCAGGACCAGAACACAGGTTGCTACATGTATTACTTCAAGTACCGAAACAACCAGTACTGGTGAGTTTTATGTGCATTCACTGCAGTCAGGTTTTGAATAACTGTTTTAAGTAGCATGTCTGCTCTGGAGATTTCAAAAGGACATACAGAACATATATTAACCAGTAGTGAGAACTTCAAGACATAACCTTACACACAGAAATAGTAGCAGGACTGAGGCAGGGGAAAAGGAAGAAGGAATAGAATTATAAATTAAATTTGTAGAGAAGTAGGAGTTCAGAATGTAACAGAGTGACAAGAGAAACAGATACAGTCATCTGGCTGTGTAAAAGGTTGGCTAGAACAAGCATACTGAAAAAGGTATTAGAATTAAAACTTAAAAGAACATGGTTCAATCAAGTGCTGGAAGATGATAAGAAGAAATTACTAGTAATAAATCAAAAAGGAAGGATTGTAGGAAAATAAGAGAGTTGAGGCATTTCATGTACTGGTAAAAAGGTAAAGCTATCCCTGTTGCAGGCTGTGGAGGCCCATAGGGTTGTCAGACATTGAGGCTCCCACATTTTCTAGACAGTTGGCTTACATATGGTGGTGAAGTTGTTAGCCTTACGCGCCAGCCGCCCCTTATCCCCAGGAAGATTCCTGGTACTCGTTTCTGTTGACCCCAGGGCCATAGTGCGGCTGGAAGGATTAGGTTAATTGAAAAATCCAGTCACATTGGAAATGGGACCTGCAACCTTCCAGCTTGTAGCATAGTGCCTCAACCAACTACGCTACTGTGTCCCCCTTTTCATGCATTGACCTACATAAAATTGGAAATGATGCTGACACAATTAGGAGGAGGACCTCTTTTTTCCCCCCACACACACACAATTTATATTGGTTACAGAATTCTCATGCAGTTCTTGAATACCTCGCAGTACAACTAAACATTTTTGAGACATCTCCAAATATGGATTTATGTTTCAGAGATAGGAAACTGAGACCAGTGACACCAGAATTAAGAGACTAACAGTGTGAAATGTTACAGTAAATGGTCAGTTTCTTTTGAGTTAAATGTCAGAAAATTACTCCATGTTCATAACTTGCCTGTTGTCATGTTGAAATGCCACATGCTTGTAAAGAAGGTTCTAGTTAAATCCCAACCCAGCCCTGGGTTCCACTGTGGTCATTACCACCGATTTTCCTCATAGGTGCCCTGCCAACTGGGTGGAGGTCATGATGGTTGTATTGTAACTGGGGCATTTCCTTCTGGTTACAGTGTGGATGCCACAGCAGAATCTGGTCGCCTTGGACGGTTGGTGAACCATAGTAGAAGTGGCAACCTCATCACAAAGACAGTATGCATTGTGAACAAACCCCATCTGGTGCTAATTGCAAAGGAGGACATCCCCCCAGGTGAGGAAGTGATGTATGACTATGGGGATCGCAGCAAGGAATCGATACGCTACCACCCTTGGCTTGCAGCATAAAACCTGTGATAATACTCTTGGTATTGAACTTGCTGTTGTGTTTCATGATATTGACAGTGCTTTCAAGTAATGTGATGTGCAACCAAGTGACTGAGCACATCTGCGCGCTGTATTTTTCAGCATCTGGCGGTCATTTGTTAAATGATACGTGAGACTAATCCAGACAGGGCATGAAATCTGGACCACAGAGCGTTCAATTTGTGCTCGGTAAATGTTGGAATTTCTTGTGAAATTTTGTGTTTGAGAATTGACTGAGAAACTGTAGAATTCAAGTTGATACAAGATAGATTTTTGTGGGAGTTGGTACCACTGCCTGTATTAATGAAATGACAATTTTATGACTGTATTATATAAATCTTCTGTTTTGCAATAGGTTTAGAAAATGCAGTTTGATACATTGTCAAGACAAAGATCTCTGATGATGCATTTGTTGGTGAAATATATTCTGAAGCATTAGGATTTGCCAGAGTTGTGTATTTATTATATGTATATATGTCCATTTTATACACCAGTTAGTTTGACCTGTACAAATAGCTGTTAGAGCAGTGAAACTGCCATCTCCATTGGCTCACTTGGGTGGTTTTTGGTGCAAATAATTTTTATAGACCTATATGGACATGGTGATAGCAGGTTTGTTCATTTGAGATGGATCTCAGATGTACTCATGTCAGTAGCTAAGTCCAACTGTACTGAGGCCATGGATTTGTCCCATCTGTGTGTCGTACAAGCTTCCATGCTTACTTTCCTCTGTTTGTCTTCAGTCATCTGTCCATTCTGTTCACATAATCATTGCTCATGCAAGTGCTTCAGACTGAATGACGGATCAGAGATGGCTGAAAGGGGGTACAACAGTAGGCAAGAAAGAGAAAGCCTTGAGAATCATCTCCCGCTGTGCATGGCACTTGTTCAGTATAAACTGGAACATTCATTTGATGTTCCTTAATTTGAAGTCTTCCCTTATTTATAGTTTAATTTTAATTATCCCAACTCAACAGTCTCTGTTAAATTTCCTCCATTTAAGATTTTTCTCAATGTACTATTGAAATTATGTGTTAGCAGTCTGCAGACTTTCTGATCCAAAATAAATTGCATTGGAGAGGCCTGACAGGAGATAATGGCACATGTATACCAATAAGAGTTTGTGGTATATTAGATTTACCAGAGTAAAGTGCAGCTGTACAAGAGAAAGCGTTTGTGTCGGTTTCTGTATGAAGTTTTTCACGGTGTTTTTCGGTTCATGATGCCAGGCAGTCTTCGTTCAATTTATGGTATATAAACAATTTTGTTTTATTTACATTTCCTGTCTTTTGGCATAAACAGTGTGAATAACATTATTATTATTTTGTATCAGAGTCTGAAGACTGAAGATCATTTATGAAAGACCTAAGGTTCTCATTGCAGTGAACATGAAGATTACTATTGTCTTGTGAAATATGATGCTGTATAGTGTTAAGACTTACCAAAGTTTCGGAGGAACCTGCTTCCACTGTCATCAGGATACACAAGAGTGTAAACTGTAATTTCAGCCAGCCTAATTCTGTGCTGTACGGGAATGGGTATTGTAACAGTCACTAGTGTTAATATAATGTCTCAATTTACATTCGTGTCTTGGGGTCACCATGTCCATGTAAGTGACAAGTAGCACACAGGTTTTAGCACACCTGTACATGACACAAACAATAGTCTTAATTTAATTTACATCAGTATGCAATGGGGCAGCTGCACTAGTATTGACTCATTTTATACAAATTTTGTAATGTCCATATATAATATATGATTTCTCCCCATCTTTGTATAATGTTTTGTAGACTGCAGTGAATAAACTCAAAAGACTTCCTGTTGGAAGGAGACTTGGAAAGTAACTTTACTTGTTTTGTTGTCATTTTCTTGTTATAACAGCAGTAGTGGTTGTCTTCATGAAATGGAGGTCCAGTTGATGAAATATTTATCCAGCTAGAATCACAGAGTTACACAGGTCATGTTGGACTGTTTCACCTGTTGTGGGGGGGGATATGTATCAGTCCCACTATAAACTGTGTCCTCTAAGTCAGCATCTGTATGTTTCAAACTTTCTTATTCATTGAAGTGAACATCACTGATGTAAGCAGTGTTAACATAAACAATTAAGACATGTGAAGGACTGGTTCAAACCCACGCACTAACACCAGCATGCTCCGACATTCTGAATATATATTGCTTCAAACATTTTCAGTACACTTACAAATGATGCAAAAATGTATATAAGCTCTGCTTTAAAAACTGCATTAAACTGAATTCATGCTGGTAGAACTCAAGTTGAGGACTGGGCGTACTGTGTTTGTCTCATCAGTAAGCACTGCTGCTGCTATGATTCTTTTCTGGACGAGGATAGAGGAAACTCCATGGTTTCAGTCTGCAAGCGAACTATACCGACCGAGCGACTGCCGCTTGTCGGCGAAGTTAGAGCCAACTTTAGCGGATAGAGGTCGCGAGGTCAGCGCTACAGCCGTTAATTTCGGTTTTTCTAGACCAGAACCACTATTTCCTTGAAATAGCTCCTCAATTATCCTCACGAGGCTAAGTGGACCCCGTTCCAGACCCACTACTTCTCAAAAAATCTGGTAGCGCGGGGAATCAAAATGCAGACAGATAACAATGCGTGCATATTTGTAATGTTGCATAAACATCAAAACCAGAAAGAAGCACTTAATGTTTTTACCATACAAAAATACACCAACACACTCCATTCCTCCAAGTCAAACCACACATGGACTCTGTAGCTTACACACCAGATATATGCCGCAGCATGTAATCTCGTATGCAATAACCATACACAAACTTGATCATATTATTACTATACATATACTGTGCATATATATATATATATTTACACAGAAGAAACTGAAGGGAGCACAGTAACAGAATGATCTTTGGCAGTATTCCTGAAAGTCTTAAATAATGATCAACAGGAAAAATAAATCTTAAAGTCTTCTGAAACAATGAAAGCATTCTGTTTTATAATATCCGTAACAATTCTCATTATGCCTGCAATTGGAAAGGATGATCATTGATAATGCTGATGAAGAAGATGACAACCATACGGTGTACTTACATGTTCCACATTAGTAAGATATAGGTGTCCTGGTACTTAATTAAGCACCACTTCATAAAGACGTATGGGAGGTTGAGGTATGTCTCCATGCATTCTTAATCTCAACTGCAGATGGAGGCAAGTGGTAAGCTTCACACCCTGGCCACTTTACATCTAGGGAAGGAGCCCTGGTACCCACTCGAGAGGACAGCTGGGTGCACCCCAGGGCAAGTCTGGCTACTTCAGAGAAGATATTGATCTCTTGCCCCTGCCAGGAATGAAACTGCCAATTCCTACAGCCCAGGCACTAAACTGACTGATCCTGGTTCTCACACCAGTCTTCAGGAATGTGACGCCATGCAGTTTGGTATGTAAGTGCCAACATTTGAGAGGAATCTGCTGCTTCCAACATCAGACCAGAAGACTAAAATCTTTCTCACTAGGAACACAGGATATCCAAATGCAGTCCAATTTGATATTTATTTTGACACAGCAATACTCGTTCCATTTTTGCTACTAGAAAACCATATAGCGAACAAGTTAGCAGTGAATCCAAAGGTTAAAAGATAGACGAAAAGGGGGAATACTGTGCCCGATACAACTGTTCCTAAGCCCCCTGAAATTGTACACAATTGCTTCTGGGGTAAAATAGCATGGAGTCTGTTGAAATCTGATATTTTGGATAAACATGTTGCCTTCATCTTCAGGGTTGAAGAGTAAGTCAAGCAAGAAACCAGCATAAAGCAATTACGAAGCAGAAACACCACACGCACCCCCACACAAATGATAAAGTTTCGGTTGATGGGCACACTGGAAGGCCTGATGCCTGATTGAGACCTCAGATCAACATACCAGGCCAGCATAGATCCCAGGTGTCAGGCTGACATGGAACCTAAAATTTTCTACCTACCACTTCACCACTAGCGCATAATTCATCAAACATGACAAGCAAACAAACTCCCTTTTCCCCTTCCTGTTTCAATTTCTCTCTCTTTCTCCATTACTGCATTCCCATCTCTTTTATTTGCCTGTCCTACTGTCAATCCATTCCCTGTCCTTACCTTCACATTAAAACATCTCCCTCAATCCTGTTCTTCCATTTTTCTATTCCTTTCCCATACCTTTCACCTGTACATCCTATTGTCATTCCTGTCCCTACATTCTGGCAATGGTGTGTCAGGTTTCCCCCAAGTTTGAAATGAACTGGACATTATTTCTCTGTAGATGTTTTAGTAGTCCTTTGTGTGAAAAAAGACTCTGTATATCTTTTATGCTGGTTCCTAGTTTTTGAGATGGTGCCTAGATTTATAGAAAACGTGTGCAGGACTGCAATATTGTCATTTCAATATGGCTACCTGGTGATGCAATACTCTAACGAACCTGAGAAATGACAAGGGCAGACACACATGAATGAACAATAAAGCGAGACACAAAAGTTAAGATGGCAACATGGCATATAACAGTAACTGTGTCAGGATTCCCAGTATCATGAATTCTCAACCGTCACTGCTGATGCTGTTGCTTGACATATCCTGACAGAGCTTCAGATCGCTCTTTTCTGCCAAGGCAGCTAGAATTTCGAGCAGCAGCTCTCGGCTTAAGGTCTGGAACTTCGGCAAGCGAGCAACCTGCAGCAGAGAAAACAAGGCCATTAGTGATAGCCAAAGGGAGGGGATCTGGTTCAACATTTCAAATGCTGCATTTTACAGGACAATTTGACACCCTGTGCTGAATATATATTCTGCTGCTTAACAAAGCCTGTTTTTCAGACATAAAGGGTATCCATCCAGTGAGATAGAAAAGCTTTACTGAGCTACTAAAAGGCTCTCAGACTCTTCTAAAAATGGCAGATTATGTTACTTGAGAAGTCTGATTGCCCAGAGGTGTATGTTCATGAGAGAGAAAATTCCTTCATGATATGGAATCTCAATCCTATGAAGCACGACAAGTAGCGTTTTCTGTGAGGTTAGGAACTGAATTTTAAATCCTCTGAGTGACTATAGATGGGTTCTGGATTCATGACTGTATTTACTGGACTCTTGAACAACTCATGACTACACTTTACAAATCACTATCACACAAGAACTAGTCAGTGTTCTCAGTCATTATCTTCACTGCACTGCTTGGTAACATCTTCCAACGGCGGACATTCCTCTGGTTCTAGGCTCACATCCTTGCACCAACCTCCAACTCTTCTAACTGCCATTCCAAGACTGTCATCAAGTCAAAGTCACACTGTGACTGACAGTAAGTCTTGGTGTTGAGCCCCATATTTATTACTGTTTGACAGCTATGGACTTTTTTTTATGGGGCGCCCTCACTGATGAGAGGATGGACTGTCTTTGGTGCATGCTGCTAGCCTTGCCAGCACAGTCTTTCTCAGGTCCGAGTCCCTTGGGACTCACGACCATATTTTACTGTCTCAGATTTGAGACTTCCCTTTTCATCATCTCCTACAACACGCAGGTTCATGGTTCACCCCACCTCCCCCGTAATGGCAGCTGGTCATTATATAGCCTCAGCACTGACTACACAGAAAACATTGTTTTCAACAGTTCTTCTACTGTTGGGTCACGATGCTATCCATATGGACTGCACAGAAAACACCATTCCTCTGCTGTGTGCAATTGTTACACTGAGGAGTTGTTTAGTGTGCCGTAACCTAGTAACAGCTCTCTTCAGTTATGTCACAATATAAAGAAGTTTCATATGCATTAAATTTATCTGTCATTGACATTAAGTCAAGGAGGATGGGGTGGGCAGGTCATGTAGCACGAATGGGGGAGATGAGGAATGCGTATAGGATATTGGTGGGAAAACCAGAAGGAAAGAGACCACAGGGAAGACCAAGGCATAGGTGGATGGACAATATTAGAATGGATCTTAGAGAGATAGGATGGGATGGTATGGATTGGATAGATCTGGCTCAGGATAGGGACCAGTGGAGGGCTCTTGTGAACACGGTAATGAACCTTCGGGTTCCATAGAATGCTGGAAAATTCTTGAGTAGCTGCAGAATTGGCGGCACCTCCAGTAGGGCTCAGCTTCATGAGTAAGTATGTCATTGACATTATGCAATTTAAAGTTACCATATCAATGAACTGCCAAGCATTAACATGTTACATGAACATAAGTTATGTAGTAGGTCACGAACAAGTGAGCAGTCTATTGACATAGTATTCTATGAGTACTGATAAATATTCTATGAATATTAATAATATTTTGATGTGGATGTGTGAAGTGTAGTCTCTTCCTCCTCCATACATGTATCAGACCATAGCCAGATTGCAGCTTCTAAGGGGCAATATATTTTTCAAGGTCTTCCTTCTAATCTATGCCCCCTTGGTTTATAACTGATTATTGCTTTTGACTGTTTGTCCTTATCCATATTTGCAATATGTTCTCTCCAGTTTATTCTGGTCTCATCTAATTTATCTTTTATTGAATATATTTGTAATTCAGTTCGTTTTTTTCTTCCTCGGTGCTTCCTTCAACTTCTCAGAGAAATCTCATTTCTGTGGCTCAGCTCCTGCATTCTCCTCACCCATGCCTCAGACGCAAAGAAAAAGGTTGTGTTGCCGTTACTTGATAGAATTTTAACTGTGTTTCTTTACATGTCTTCTCTCCTACCAACTTGCATCATCATTCCACAGAAGTATGCTGTACTTCACAAAGGAGACAGTTTACAGCCGACTATTTGTGCATGTTGTTCATTGTGATAACATTAATTATTAGCCTTGATGCATCATTCAGTATCTTGCAGGACTGGAAAGTAATATAAGGAAAAAAAAAAGGGGGGAAGCTAACAGTACAAAATCTTATATAAGAAATGATGAGAATTCCCTAAAATTTATTTCCTACCTCACCGGAAACACAACAAGTCTCCCCAACAATACCAACTGGTCAATGCTATTTAGGTATACAGCAACTGGTTATTATAAGAATTATACAAAATATATAACTACACTGCATGGACAAAACACAGAGATATTTCATGTTAAAGCAGGTGATGCACATAATAAGCACTGTCTATCAAATGACTGACACAGCTGAGACTTACCTTCGGAAAATGGTGAACAATTAGACTCAATGCATATTTCTTCATGTCTGAGGTATGCATCCTGTCAGCTGCCTCCAGGATTTGTATCACATTCTCAAAGGTCACATTCATCTCAAGGTTCTGCTTACAGAACGCTTGCAGACGGTTATTAGTGAAACCATAGAAGAAAGGGGCACTGAATAGGTAAAGCGAGTCCTCAGGAGGCATATTCACATCTGCGTAGTATATGTAGCGCAGAAGTGAATCAAAAGACTGCAGCGATGGAATCATCTCTCCGATCTGGATCTATAAAGTTAATTTATTTCAATCTGAGATTCTCACCATCAAGAATATTAAGATTATTGGACCTGCTAGCTGCATCTTTTACTTGTTATCTACTGACATTATTATTATTATTATTATTATTATTTACAGGGGGTGGGTTTCCCCATGCACCGTGACCAGTTTGATCTATTGTGCTTCCCTCTATGATATTCTACCAGTCTCTATACCCTACCGATAAATGGTGCGTACCATCAGTCCCGCCGAGCAAGCAAGTTCGGTCACTTGCTTAGAGGTGTCTATAATGCTTCCCCCCTCTATCAGAGGCCTTAGAGACTATTGTTGCGTGGGAAACGTCCTGGAATTTGGCTCAGTTATCCCCTTTGGGGATATGAGGTTCTTTTATGTGCCATAAAGTTATGACACGGGACACACAGCTTAAAGTCCCTCCCGGAGGACTTGTTCCTGAATTTTTCTGCCCTTAAAAATTCAACGACCTCCGCCGGGTATTTGAACCCGCGTACCACAAGTCATGAGGTGGGAACGTTACCTCTAGACTACGGAGGCCACTTTACTGACATTAGTAACTCAAGCCTATATAGTGTCTAATGAACTGAAGGGTGTGGTAGGAAGTGACTATGGCACAATTCAAGCTACACTTTGTTTAAAACATTCTTTGAGTGTACGTTGTACTTTCAGCAGACAACCTTACAGAAGAAAAGTCCTCTGTGTGTAATGAGCTCTTCAGTATGGCAATTTTGCTTCCAGTCACACGCTGAAAATATATTCTAGTAACTTTGTAATGAATGATCTATATCACTACATGATGATGACACACCCTTGAAGGTGTGTTAAGCATAGTACGCCATCCTCACACCTGCCTGGCGGGACTGAGGAAAACAACAGGAAACCTCAGTTCATACATTGTGTCCCAGCTGGAATTCAAACCAGACGCCTCCTAAACACAAGTCAGAAGTGTTACTGTTCAAGCTAACTTTCTTGGTGCTTCCATTTTCAGGGCAAAATAGTGAACTCTTCTACCCTGAAGATGGAGGCAACATATTCCTCCAAAACATTGATTATCTATCTACCAAAATACATGGCATCACATCCTAGAAGAATGATAATCACAATTAAATTGCAGGATGAGCTTTTAGTGCCAGATCAGCATTTCAACAGTTTTGCAATTTACAGTTGAACTGTGAGACCAATCATAACTATAATCTGTGTGAATGGAAGACGCTGGGTAAGAGGTGCCATTTGCCTGGAAGAAGTGAGGAAAACCAAGATGAGGACAGCTGGGCAGAAATTAATCTAAAACCCAAAATAATACATGCAAAACACACATGCACACCCACACACCTAGACACCAGATGTTACCACTTAATCAGGTATATTATAAAGGTTAAAGAATAGATATCACTCCATATCTCTGAAGTGATGATTAACAGGCCAACACATTTCCTTCCAGTCCCATCTTTTAATGAATTTAAGTTCACCGCGTGCCAATTCCAATTCCGTCATGCGACAGCCTGTTGCCATTGTGTAAATAAATGTCATTTCTCTTACAGATGCTACTGAAATGCAAGAAACTTCAAGCGTAACTTGCTGAGACTTGAAAAGAGCCAAAACATAGTGTTTGTTGATTTTTCACTTGTTTCCTTTCATTTTGGTTTTGAATGTGTAAGTTCAAGATCCAGGTTTTGTGGAAAAATGGCTGGCTGAGCAGATATCATGGGGCCACAGAAGTCAATGGGTTAAATTTGTGGGTTTCCTAGTCCACAAAGCACCTGTGTACAGGTGGACAAACTCACATGCACCGCATTGTTCTCAGGCATGAAAGAACGGAACATGGCCTCAAAGTAGCTGCAGCGTGCTGCCAGTACAGCCTTGTGTGAAGGAATGGGATGGTCATCAACCATGAGAGTGATGTCACAGAACTCCTTGCCAATACTGTTGAGGAACACCTCCATGTCCTGCTCGAGTGTAGTCCCTGTGAATCACAAGACCCCAGTACCATCAACCTGCAGAACTACGTCAAAGTAATGAAAGTTTCAAGTTCTTTTAACAGCAGTGATTGTTCAAATTGTGGTCTTCTGGCTTGTGACACTACGCAGCATTATAGGTAGACACAAAGATCTCAGAGGAACATGTTGCATCTATTTTATCTACCTTTTCCAAGGAAAGATACTGGGGCCCTGCATAGGACCCCCTTTCCCCACACATGCACTTCCCTCCCTATAGTTGCCACTGGCCCAGACAGGGTTCCATTTCCTTACACCCTTTGCTGGGTCTAACTGAAAGCCTTTCCTGTGAGCAGGCTGGTGGAGAAGTAATGACCTAGATCGGTTTGAACCTTTGCTGGGACGCCACCTATTCTGATGAGATTTTCCACGGTTTCCTTCTGTCCATGCAAAAACTGAGATAGTACCTCAATTAGGCCACAACTGCTACCTTCCAAATCCTCTCCAATTCATCAGTCATCCCCCCATTTTTGGCTATATAGCCATTATAGAATAAGCCACAAATCGCCTCCTTCTTTGCAATCTGCCTATATCAAGGAACCTCCTCCTCACCTGCATGCTCAAACCCTGAAGACACAGACAGTACGGTCCTCTGAACCTTCAGTGTCCCCCTACAAGAACACATGATGTCACAACCTCAAGGCTACAATCTTAACATTCTGGTGCACATCACCAGAGCACATTTTGCACTTCAGTAGAATTTCATGCAGCATTCCTCTCAATTTTAGGGTTTCACTTCTTTAACCCAGCCCCCCTCATGTCTTCATGGCACAGTGCTTAATTAATTAAGCACACAGATACCTTTACCCTTACTACTCACTAATGAATAAACAAAGAACAACTGTACTCCATAGTACCCACCAGTGCTTTCAAACTGGGGCTCCACCTGTGAGCGTGACTGCGGAGTTTGCTGCTGTTGCCGTCGAATTATCTCAACCATGAGAGGCTGCTCCAATGTCTCGAACTCCTTGCTCATCACAATCTGATTGTAGTTGGTCTCCTTGACAATGAACTTCAGACAGAACTCTTTGATGAACAGCAAGTTCAGGTGTGAAGCATTGTGAAGCGCCTCCAGCACATTTTGGTGGTTGACTGTGGCCTCCAGGTAGTGCACACACAGCTGCTCCAAGCAGCACATGTGGAACTGTAATGCCCATGTTTCTGTTCATTTTGCCCTTGGCTATTTGTACCATGCAGTGCAATAGGCAGTGTTGGCAACATCAGAGAAACATGTGGTCTCTTCAGGAGGGAGGCGGGTGGGTGAGTGTTACTGCTGTCTGTGGTATTATCAAAAATAGGGTTAAGTCACCAAATGTCATTTCTCAGTAAAAGAAACAGCTTTAGATGTTTACACAGTAACATAATGTCATGTGAAGAAGTGACTGTCAATGGGGTTTTGCACTGGATATTGCATTTACTGACCACTTGAACACATAACTCGTAATTACACTTAATTATAGCGCCATCGCTAATTGCCAAACCTTACACATCACTACAGCACACACTACATCTTTTCCAGACCACAGTGCCATCACTAGTAGCTGCCTGGTAATGGCTTCTAATAACAGTTGCTTCTGAGCTCAAATCCTTTCTGAGTGGTGGCTCCCTTCCAACTGCCTGTATTCTTGCTCCATATGTGAGAAGTGGTGGAGGGATCTTCGTTGGTTAATGGTAAGTTGCTACAAAAACGTGAAGGAACAAGAGTGGAGAATGGAACACCACGGGAAGGGTGGGCTATGCAGTACCCTCTTAGGGAGTTGTTGTAGTTGCCTCTGACTTAACAGTCATACTGTGGGAACACAACGCCACCTAGCAGCACAACTCGTAACTACAAAGCATGTGCGCGCAACAGGTCGTTTCCGGTTATTTTTGGGTCCCCCTTCGTATTATATTAGCATGAAATACTATTTAAGACATGACTTACTTGTACAGCAAGTCTGTACACATCCATCATGAGCAGAACAATGCGAGTGCACGCCGGGTTTTCAACTGCAACAGGTCCACGATCACATCATCATAAACACAATTCCAATATCAAATGCACAAACAAAACCTGCATGTCCAGCCATCCTAACTTGTATGTGCTTTATAGAAAAAAATATGTGAAACAGAAATTTATTTTCTGAATTGTAAGTTGAAAATAATCAAGCAAAACAATAGGGATGCTTACTTCTGCCAGCCTGCTTTACAAAAATGCAATAAAACTAGCATAAAGAAATGCACAATGCCATCTCCGTGGATGGGCTCAAGTATACAATCCAGTTAATATGTACTGCCTACCATCTTCTATTCCTGTTCATAACTGCTACTAAGTTTCCTGCCCTCTGCTATCTACTCATAATACACATAATGACAGAAGGGCACGTAACATCTTCAGATACTATTTGTAACCACTTGGTGCAAACAACACACACAGACAATCACACATACATGTGCAAGCACAGAAACATGTATGCACATGAGACATAATGCCAGAATTATGACCAGCATAGGGTGCTTGAACAGGACACCAGCTCAACAGGATACTTTTTGGATATAAACAGAAAATGTGGCCACTCAATTCATCACAACCACCCCATTTGACATAAGAGAGTTGATGGTACTCATCTTCACACTTACTCTTCTTAGTGGGGTCAATTCGGTCAGTGTAGATGTAATTCAACACCATCTCAAAGGCTTCCGGGACAGCATCACGCAGTTGTACTTCGAGAAGAGGAAGGTCCTTGAATGGCACTTGAGTTGTCCCAAATAACTGCACAGAACAGATGATACAATGAACATTACATAGATTTACACTTTATTTATATTGTATATTGCTTATTTAATGACACAGAAAATGACACAGAATATACAGCATCAAATGGCAAGATGATTACTGAACGATGAATCCAAAAGGATGTGGAGGCAGTTGTGGCCTATTTCAAGGTGATATTACAGAAATCATCTGGAAGGACAGGAAAAATGTAAAGAACCTTAGTCAGGAAAAGATGTGCTCCAGCAAACAATAATACTGAGCACTTCTAGAGTGCTACCACTACACTGGAGCCAGGGTAGCATAGTCAGTATAGCGAATGGCTACAGGCTGGATGACTGAGGGGTCAGAGTTCGAGTTCAAGTTCCAGTAGGGTCAAGAATTTTCTCTTCTCCAAAGCATCCAGACTGGCTCTGGGGTCCACCCAACCATGGGTACTGGGGGCTCTTTCCCCTGGGGTGGCAGGGGTGTGAAGGTGACCTATACCTCCAGCTAGAGCTGAGGTCAAGAAAATGTGGATCTATATGCCCACTCCCCTCATACGCCTTCACGGCACAGTGCTTAATTCATTGAGCACACACAAACCTACTCAGAGATTGTTTGTCCATTTGAATCAGTTCCCCCACCAATGATTCAAGTTCCATAGTGCTTATTTAATGATGCTGTCAATATCAAGACTGACATGTTGTATACATACCCGGGGACCAATTCCAATGTGCATAGAGGGATTTGGAGTTTATCTAATTATGTTGTCAGCAATTCAGAATATATAGCTTTGAATGACTGGACGACTGGCAGATGACAAATTGGAAAGTGAAAAGTAGCTGGAATTTGAAGAGTCCTATCTTCTTGGATATAACTCCATGCAGTCCAGTGAAAGTGAACTGACATTTTGCAGAGCATATCACCTCCATCTTCATAGTCAAAGAGTAAGTCAAGAAAGAAACCAACATTAAGCATTTATAAGCAGGGTGCAGCTTGGCTTATTCTTACACCCTGAAGATGTAGGCAGTAAGCTCCTCTGAAATATCAGTTGACTTTCACTGGACTGCATGGTATTATAACACACAAGATCCAACGGTTCACAGCAACTACTGTGAGAACCTGAAATCCAACATATCCTGGAATTTATCTGCATGACAAGGTAAAAACCACACAAAAAATAGCTTGGTCAGAATATTCAGTGCCCCAGCCAGGGTCTGAATCAGACACATGCCAAATATGAGTGAGAAGCGTCACTGCTTGAGCCAGCCCTCCTCACTTTCTGGATGAAATTCAATAACTGTTGCACTTACCTTTTCCAGATGTTTGTCTCTGGCCTCACGAGCCTGTCGGATGCGATTGCGCAGAAACTGTGAACGTGCAGCTACCATAGCAACATGTGCATGAATCTTCACCTCCTCGCTACCCACCACAAACTCCACATCACAGAACTGACGTGCATCCAGTAGCCTTCCCAGGTCCTCATGTAGAGTGCACTTAGGGTAACATGAGAACTGGAACCAGGTAAACACTACATGCAGTTGCACATCAAAAGACGTGCCCTTATGCTGCATTAAGTCTGTAAAGCACATAGCTTCTTGAAAAACAAACCTTCTCTCAGCTACTCCAGAAATTCACCAACCCAAATGCCCAATACTGTTCAAAAGAGCACACACATCATACCAAAAAATCACTAAGCATGAAATGGCGATTGTGAAGATGACAATAGGTTTAAACCATGTAACCCTAGAAATGAGTCTAGAGCATTATTTTCATGTCAATCCACTTGTTAGAGGTCATTAGTATGACTTCTAGCTTCTGGGATGTGAGGCTGTGCCTCATGCTTGAGCATATTACTCTTTGATCATGAAGATGGAGGCAATACATTTCTCTGGAACATAGGTAAATTTCAAGCAGACTACACAGTGTTACATTCCCTTGTCTCCAACTAGGAAAACAGCAGCAGGACTGTACCTGGAACCTGTACAGCTCCCTGCTGCGAACATTGTTATCCACAGTGCCTCCAAAAATGTACATGGCATCCCCTATTACAGCTGCAGCATGACACATCCGTCCAGAAGGAACTTGTGAGTCATGACATGGAGCCACAGCAGACCATGTCTGCGTGTCAAGGTCGTAGCAGTGCAGGTCATTTGGCAGAGTGCCGTCGGCTGCTCCTCCAAATACGTAGAGGTGGCGATCAAATGCCACCATGGTGTGGCCATATCGGCGTGCAGGAGGGGGTGGTGCATTACGGAGAATGTGTTCTGTTGATATTCGTGTCCAGCTGAAATAAGAAACACAATGGTAACAAATCTTGGACAGAATATGTAAGTGGCATAATGAGGCATTTATTCGATAAATTTTTTAATCTATTCTTGCAAACAAATAACAGCAGCAATGAAATAATTTCTATCACTTCAAAACTATAACACGTCATTAGGAAAGTCTAAGGAAGTCAGGAGATGGAAATCAATAGCGTATATTCATATGAATAAGTATAGTATAATCTCAACTTTCTGTGCTTGGATAATCTGGTTTTTGGCTTATCTGTGTGTCATCCTTTGGCACATTCCAATCCTGTGGAGCATCTGATAAGTTTGCCCAACCCATCCTTTTGTCTGTATGAAAGAAACAACTCAAGAACAAGTAAGTGGACTTTAACGAAATTTTATACTGGAGAACTTAAAGAAAAACTGTCATGCTATTTAAATTTCCTTTAAGATCAGAAAAATTGTAATGATCATTTTACATGAAGACCTACATGAGTTTCTGCACATATCTTGAGTGTAACTTGCGAAATATTTATCAAAGTAAAAAATGTTTTGAACAAAAGTTGTGGGGATAAATGAAACATACAATTGGCTTGGATGTTAGGCATCCAAATGAAGTGCAAACACCGAAGGACAAAGCAGATGAAGATTCTAATTTGTATGGCCTCAAATGCCTTGTAATTCATATCACAAAGCTGCAGACAGCACACCACATATGGTGACACATCAGTCTTCCTTACATGAAGTCAACAAAGAGACACAAGAGCAACTATAAAGATTTAATATTGGTCCAGAGAAATCTGAAACACACATGCACAGCATCAGTTACTGCACATAAACCCATGAGACGGCAACCTGTATAAACTACCATACCTTGCGCCAGCTATGCAGAGTGACGTCCATTTCACAGCTCAGTTCAACAATACCCGTCACATCCTCACTTATGCTGTCAGAATGACTGTATATAAATATCCTGATTCACATATCCTGAAGAAATTTTAAATGTTTAATTTTATGAAACGTTTCCATAACATATGAAGTGTAAATGATAAGTATTCTATTCAACATTCAGTGTAGAGTAATAAATCTGTGAAAAAATGAAAACTTGATAAAATTTCCATAAACAAATACTTGCTCACCTGAGCAGATCATCATGATAGTTGTACAAAAGGCAACAAAGATCCTGAGGTTCAACTTTATCATATGAACAATATGCACAAACAAACATACTTGAAAACATCAATATATATTACCAATGATTTCGAAATTTCATCTGAGATAATGTAGCTGTGCCAGGTAACATTTCTTTAGAGGCACGGCTTGATTCAAACCCAGTGGATATTTTACTAGTCAAAATAACCAGTATGCTTTATGAAATTTCACGATCCTGTAATGCTTATCCGGTTTAGGAACAGCCAGTAGCCACTGAAGATCTTGATGTTTGCTTGTCTAGTCCACCTCTATTTCTTTGTACTGTCACTGCAAGTGGAGCATGCAATAGTTGAGGAATTATGCTACAAGCTGGAAGATCATGACTTTGATTCCTGATGAAGTCACTGGATTTTCAATTGACATAATCCTTCTGGCTGTAATATGGGCCTGGGGTTGACTCAGCCTCTAACAGAAATGAGTACTAGAAATCTCCCTGAGGAAAATGGGCGACCAGCCATCGCATAAGGCTGACAACCTCATTACCCTCTATGAACTGAATGTCTAGAGTGTGGAAGCTCAACATCTCACAAGCTTATTGGCCTCCACAGCCTGTTACAGGGATAGCTTTACCTTTCATTATCATGAGCGAAGTATTTTCCCCTTGTAGCTTGCTGCTGCCGCACTGAACTAGCTTCCCATCTCATACTATGCACCGTTTCTCCACATGCGAATGCTGTATACTGCTTGCAAACTAACCATTAGACTTAATTTGAAGCTCTAGAAATCCACAACACTTTTACATGGGTGATGTCATTCTGGAAACATCTGATTGGAGTTTATGGGTTCGACAATTCAAGGGCAATCTAGAAGCTGATGGAGGTTGAAAATTCAGTAAGAGGAGTGCACATGTTGTCTCCCCAAGCTCAGGTCACCCAACAATATAAGACATTTTTCAAGAATATTCTCCCTTTCTAACACAAGGAGTATTGCATTCACTCGAAGCTGGAGTACAGTGTGAAGTTTCATTCTGGTTACATAATCAGCCCTTTCTTTCAACAAAACTGTAAATGCTGAATGTTACCTACAAGTTATCAGACAATTTATTTCTCTTCTCGAAGTCTGAAATGAATAATGTCATGACACAGGATGTTGACTGGTAACTGGAGTTAACGAACACTTACAAATCATGACTACAAGTTATTATAATGTTCTTACTAATTCACACACACTCTACTTCCCAATGTAGCATACAGTGAGTCTCAGTCTGCTATAGTCTTCACCTGCCACTGCTTGGTTATGACTCTCAACAATGTACAGTCCATGGCTTCCGTTCTTAGCAGCTTGCGACTGCCTCACGGCTACCTCACTGCTCCAACCGTCAACTCTCAACTAACTAATTTGTCCAGTTGGTTCTCATTATATACATTTGGGTTGGACTCCACAGAATACAATGTCTCCAACGGTTTGTCTACTGTTGTGTGTTTACTTGCTGTGTAGTAATAGTTTACTTGCTTGATGATGTAATAGCATGTTTACTGTGTCATTGCCTAGTGCTGGATGCTGCCTCTTGTTAAGCTATTCGATCAAGTCACAATACTAACATCTACTTCTTAATTTCATAAATTATAGCTTTGTGTTTTATTTACCTACTTACAGCTCCACTGGGCCTTCTACTGCTAAGATTACACAGCACTGGATGACAGGATGACTACAGAATAAAGAATTGGAAAGGACATGGAAGGAAGAGGTCATGACCTAATTTTAGGTACTGTCCAAGCATTTGCCTGGAGAAACTCATGAAATATACAAAAAAAAAACTCAATCAGAATAGCCAGTGTACCAGCTGAGACATGAAACCGAGACCACCCTGAAATGAAGGATTTCTGAATAACTTAGTCACTATATTTGGTCTGCATGTGTTTCATATTTTAGTTTCTCAAATTGACACAACTCATGCACCAGATAAAGACTTGAACAAAACCTCAGTAACTATGAAGGAATATGTCAGGCCTTAACAGAACCTCAGTGACTACAGCAAAGAAAGAAACATGGACAACTAAAGCAAAACACATAAAATTAACAGGTGCAGTAGAGATTACATGCACAGACACAATTACATGTTGCACAAGACTGGACCACACTAAGAATGAAGATATTTGGAAAACACTGAAAATAAAATTAGTACAAAATAAAGTAGATAAATACAGGTAACACTGGATAACCACTGGGACAAAATGGCCACCAAAAGAATACCAAAATTGATTCTACAGCACAGACCAAAAGGATGCCAATATAAAGAAAGACATTGAAAATGTTGAAATGAGTATATGATGATGGAACACGTTTGTCTGTCTACACCATGAAGTGGAAGAGATGTTTAGTTTCTTGGAATGGGGAAAGATCAAAGATATTGAAATATATGACTGCAAGTAATTTATAATAAATCAAACACGCATTCCAGAATACATGTCAATATAAAGTTTCTGACATTAGCTTACAAGTAAGTAACGTAACTCACCGCTTACTTCTGAAGTGAAACTGAAACAAACTGTTGGTTATTTTTGCCCCACTCTGTCCGCTGAATACAAACATTGATTCTCGAGCCACTGCTACAGGAAAGTTGCAGCAAGTGGGAGGACATTCCCCTTCCTGTACAACCTCTTCCCAAGACCTCGAGTCTCCCTGCATCACAAGTAACAATGTGTACATCCGTAAACACTCCTGTATCTTTACCACAATAAAAATGAATGCAAATATAAATCACTCCGTCCAATGTGACCTGTAAGTTTTTTACTACATGAAAACTTCACACCCTTACATGTTTCGGTCTCTGTGGACCATCTTCAGAGGGCAAACATCACTACAAATAGGAAATCACCATTACATAAGTTGTTTAGACGTAAAGTATGTACACTTATATGCTGCAATACATAGTACACAAAATAGAACATTTCACAAACGCAGCAGTTTCCTGGGAATGTAAAGTTTTTTTATAAAATTGTATAAAATTTCTTGATGCTAATTAAAAATTTTTTGGATTGTCAATAATTAAAATTTGTAAACCATGCAGGCTCGTGTTCGTCCTCCCATCGTCCCTCTTATATGGGGCAGATATTGTGCCACCTGGCTATCTTGATGTGGAGGTTCTGCAAATATATTATGGGTATTTTACTATTTCATTGCTAATACTGTCTATATATATAATTTATATATATGTGTTTGGGGATATGTCATGTCCTACCTTTATATCGTCCAGGCTTTGCTCGTGGTTGCTGTGCTGTTTTCACTGTTCGGAAGTGTGTTGTGTCACATGAATTTATGCTTGTTGTGTTTGTGACGTCAATGTGGGCGTGTTCTGATGATGTATTATGAGGTCGAACATACTATGTAGGCTATTACTTTCTCTTTTATACTTTTGTTCTTCTATCAATTTATTGAATTTATTAAACTGATATATGTAGAAGTCCTCTTTTATATTCATTATGCCTCCTTTTTTAGCTTTTTTGATCATGTCCATAATTACTGTCATCGGCCTGTATTGATGGAGATTATTTAGTATATGTTGGGGCAAATGCCGATTCGTCTTTGTTTAGTCTTATATTTCTTATGTGTTTTGTGTATCTAGTTGTTAGATTTCTACCCGTTTGGCCGATGTATACTTTTTGGCAACTTTGGCATGTTAATTTGTATATACCACTATGCTCGTACGGGTTTATTTGTCGCGTTTTGTTTATTAGGTTACCTATTGTGTGTGTTGTTTTAAAGGCTATCTTTATGTTGGTGTTTTTGAATAGTTTTGTGATTTTTCGTATGTAGTTTCCTGTGTAGGTATAAGTGACCAATTTTTGTTGTTCTTTTTCATCTTTATTATCCGGGTTAATTATTTTTTGTTTAAGTTTGTTATACAGGTGTACGATGTCTTCCTTTCTATAGCCATTATTCAGTGCTATATTAATAAGGGTGTTTAATTTTTTGCTTTTTCCCTATTTTTCCTATTTGTAGTGATGTTTGCCCTCTGAAGATGGTCCACAGAGACCGAAATATATGATTTATATTTGTAATTGTTAATGTGACGGACCAGAATGAAACAAATAAAAAAAAATGAATGCTTTAGTCAAAGCAAAAGGCTGTCAGGTTTAGGATTACAGAACAAGTTTTGTGACTATAACACATCGTTCTTGTATTTTCATTCAAAGAGTGGGGAATGGGACTGCCCTGTTTGTGCAAATAAATACAAATGCATAAAGGAAAGAATATCAGATACACATAAAGCGGTCCCTGTGCTTTAACAAGCATCACAACATGAAGATGTATGGGGGCATGAATGTAAAACTCCACATGGAGATGAGCTGCCATTTTCATGCCCCACATACCCAATACACATGAGTCTGGGTGAGCCCCAGAGCTGATCTGGATGCTAAGGAAAAGATAAAAATCCAAATATCTCTGGACTGAACCCTGATCCTCTAGTCATTCAGTCTGCAACTTAGTAACTACACTTATGATTTCAGTTACACAGTGACAGCAGAATAAAACAAGACATGAAATAATCCCCTTTACCCTTCCCAGTGAACATGAGCCACCCAGAGGGACATCTGAGACAGAGCAGAAAAATGATTTTATTGCTGTGCATTTGTCTGCTGTTGCTCAAAGGAATTTGGATAGAAAAACTGTGCTAAAACAGTCAGAAATCAACACTTACCAGCAGTGAGATAGTCCACATGTCATTAAGCCTGGCATCACCGTCATAACCTGCAAATATCCATAGCTTCCCGTCATACACCGCTGCGCCATGTGCAGAGCGGGGCACAGGGGTACTGCAAACACAATGCATTCCTGTACAATTACCAACTGCAGAAGTTTCACTGAGATCACCATTTCAGACAAAGCTGTATCAAACACTATAAGATCCAAATACTTCCATAAATTATGAGGCAGACAATATTTTTCACCACTGAAGATTTCTACCTTCAGAGACGTGATGCCATGACATCTGGCAGAGCGTTATCAGCATTTCAGAATAATCTGCTACCAGCATCTTCAGAGCAGAAGAGCATACCTAAAGATGGAGGTGGCACGTTACTCTGAAACGCCAGTGAAAACCTACCAGATTACTCTGAACAGAACTGCAATTGTTAAGACAGTAATCCAAACAGAGAAGCTCACACTATTCAGCAGCCATGATGCTGAGCTGCCTGATTAACTGCATGGTAATAACATTTAAAGGCCCAACTCTAATAACACAAGAAGAACCTGGCAGGTTAAAGGTGGGCAAACTATGGCCTGCATGCTGCATCTGGTGGGTAGGGCTATTGGTAAAATTTGCATATAGTATTACTGTCACATGATTAAGTGACAATAGACAGAGTTTGGACTGCTAGCTGGATGTACTGTACACTTACAGATTCTAACAACTGTAATGCTATGGCCAATTCACTACAGCAGGCATGTCCAACACGTCGATCGCGGGATGATTTTTGGTCGATCTCATAGGCCTATAAGGAAATTATACGTGAAAAACATGTAAATTCACTTGTAATATAAAATAATTACGTAGTATATTCAGATTTTGAAGGGAAAATATGTGTTAAAGTAGTCTGTACTTTCAATGTATGTTGCTTTTACAATAAACATCATGTGTCGTGTTATTTTTACCAATATTTTTGCTTAAAGCGAGGTACAACGATAGGAGGTGGTGGTAGATCACTGGCAGTTTTGACACTAAAAAGTCGAGCACAACATGTTTGAAGTTGGACATGCCTGCACTACAGCATGCTTAAAGTCTTCTCAGTCTGCTGTGTCTTCAGTGGTTGTCTGGTAATGCTTCCTCAGCTTACATGTTCATGTCCTTAATGGTGTTGCTACGCAACAGCTTACAACAATGGGGGCTGCTCCACTTCACATGCTTCTGCCAAAAACCTACTGTCTCACAACAACCTCAGAATTGCATTGGTCTATCTGCCTCCAGACACCCTCTAGACTGGTTAGCATGTCCCGTTTGTCCTCATGATATGGCCATAGGATAGAGCCAACAGAAAACTTGTTTTCTTGCAGCTGCGATATTACGGTGGACTGCACAGAAAACACTGCTTCCAGCAGTTCTCTTGTTGGTTGATTAACTGCTGCTATGCTGACATGTCATTTGCTGTGCCATAACCTAATAACGGACATCTTTTCTGATTAAACTATTCTGGCTTTTTATGGACATGGCACCTTATTGTCATTTGCAGCTCGTGACATCCAAAAATATGACAGATCTGCTTTGTTTTCAAATTCAATACGTGCTTCATTATTGGATTGGATAAGTTCAAGAAGTGCCTCTGCCAAACCTTGAGGCTCTTCTGGTACATCAGCGATTTCACATTTAAAGGGATCTACAACCCAACTGACATTATGTGAATGAAGATCAGGAAAGTAATCATCGAACCGCTTTTTGAGTTTGGTAAGATGCCTTATAACTGTGTCCTTGATGTCGTCAAAAGTAATATTTTCACAATCTTCCAAAAACAAAGCCAACCTTGAGAAGGCAGCAATCTTGTTTTGTTCTGCTTTCTGTCTCCAATATAAAACTATGTAGTTTCTTGTTTCGGGCAATCAACCAGGCCACTTCAAAGCTGGCCTTTGATGCTGAACGTTGATCGAATGTACTTCTCAAGTTGCTGTTCAGTCTTTGTTTTTTGACAGACATTTCCAAATTTACAAAGTATTCCCGTGGTTTGGAAGACAGGTGTGGGTGCAAATTATTCAAGTGTTTCTTCAATTGACTCTTTTTGAAAGATTCTGCAGTCAGTTCTTTCAAACAGACAACATACTGTGGTATCATTAGCCCTTTGTCTTCTATTCGCGTAAACCCATAATTGAGGAGCTCTTCCAGGTATATTCGTTTTCTAGTTGATGTCATCTGAGGGGTAAAAAAGACAGTGATTCAAAAAGTTTTAACCCTTCAGCACACGTGTTTCTTATAGTTACACGAGGACACGCATAATGTGGAGGAAACCTCCACATGTACAATATGTGTATGTCAGTACTGGAGGCCGCGCCATAGCTCAGGCGGTTAGTTGCACATGTACTATAACACGAAATTACCGATTCAGTGTGACAAGATCAAACTGCTACTAATGCACATAAATGATAGTGTGTCGGTTTCATGAAAAACTTCATTTTGCTTGCTTATTAAATAATGAGTGAATGAATTTATTGATAGAAAATCCTTGCTAACAAGACACTATCTTAATGAAGAAATCTTATCTTATCTTACCTTGATCGTCGAAGTTTTTGAGCATAAGATAAAACAATAGGTGACTAGGCCAAAATGACGTATACAAGACGTGCGCTTCTGCTAGCTGCTGAGCCACAACTAATGCTATCGTCCACAACATGCTGGGTGTGTTTATCTATAGAAGTGTTTAGTGATGACGTCACGCTACCATGATGGACTCTTAAACAATTTCCGTAGCAGTCGTTACGGATGGTTATATGCCGGAAGAAAAATTTCTATCGTAACAAGGAACGCGTTTTTTATATAATTTCATTTATGTCTATTGAGTCCTCACTACCCCCAAGAATTTCATTTTTACCCCACTTGGAGTAATTTACCCTGGTTCGCCAACCACTGATCTAGCAGGACCATTTTCACTCAAACAGTCAACACTGGAGAAGATGGAGCAGCAGCAGCAAACAATCCCAGCACACCACATTTCAATCTTGGGTGTTTACTTCTCTGTTTCATTCAGTGACACTGTCAGTATCTCAGACTACTCAGCTACTCAGCATCAGGTTGCAGCATTATCAGTGAATGATGAATTGTTAACGATTTGCAAGGAAGCAGTCACAGTCTAATTCTGACAATTTGTTACACAGCAATGCTCTACACAAATGGTTAACATAAAGAGAAAATTACAGGCTTGGAGGAAATTTTCTCTCTGAAAGAAACATCAATGTAGGTGAGAGGAGATTTTCGACAGAAGGTTCAACATATTCAACATGAGGAAACTGTCCTACCTGCCACTGAATTTCCACTCAATCCACTGTCCAGTCTTAAACTTGTATTCAAACAAATCATTCTTGTTGGTCAGATTTGAGTTTGAGTGGATATCTCCTGTATAACCGCCAAACACGAACATGGATGCATCGTGTACCTGACAACAGAAATGCAGTTGCCTGCACAAACTGCACACTCACAAATTGAACAAGAAGTATATAAAGTGGGTAATCTTTATTCCATCTTCTAGGATGTGACGCCATGCAGTATATGAGGGGGTACCCAAAAGAAACGGAACTTATTTTTTTTTAACTTATTTATTCAAATTTTAAGCACAAACCTTCAATCCCCTTCAAAGTACTCTCCACTTACACTAATACACTTGTCTAGTCTTTTATTCTATTTTTCAAAACATTGTCTAAATTCATCTTTTGAGATGCTTGACAGCGCCTCTGTCGTTTTTTCCTTTCATATCTCTTTTCATTTGAGGAAACAAAAAAAAAGTCGCACGGGGCAAGGTCGGGTGAGTATGGAGGGTGAGGAACAGGGGTCATACCATTTTTGGTCAAGAACTGTTGTACAGACAGGGCTGTGTGAGCAGGGGCATTGTCATTATGGAAAAACCAGTCACCCGACTGCCACAAATCTGGACACTGAGCTCCAAGTCACTCCCAACAACTCCACAATTTCTTCAATGGTCCGTCGTCGATCTTCCTTGATGATTTCACGAATTTTTTCAACATTTTTATGTGTTTGGGCCGTGGAAGGACGACCAGAACAAGGTTTGTCATCAATTGACATTTCACCATTTTTGAAACAGGAAAACCACTCAAACACTTGAGTTTTCCCCATAGCATCGTCCTTGTACATCGTTTTTAACATTTCAAGAGTTTCTGTTCAACTTTTCCCGAGCAAAAAGCAGAATTTCACCGCCGCACGCTGTTCACGAAAATCAGCCATTGCAAAAATGACGATCACACAAAACAGTTGTCACTATAAATTCTGCCAAAACTAGTCCTTACCTTCTGAAGCAACGGTGGTCAGCTTATCGACTCAGGAATGTTAGCTCTATGCGCTCATAGCAGCAAAACGCGGTACTACAAAAGCTCTGCCCACAAAAAAATTAGTTTGGTTTCTTTTGGGTACCCCATCGTAAACCCTGCAGATGGAAGAAATGCTAGTGCCTTTCTATCAAAACTACATTAGATCACATACTGGAAGACAGTAATTTCCATACTCACTCCTGAGAGAACCTCAAACATCACAGAATCAAAATTATTACTTCTTCAAATGTACAAGCAAATGCCTATGCTACTTATAGTTCAAAATGTTGAGTGTCACAGAGGACAGCAGTGTCAACCTTGAAATTCCAAGCATTACTCACAACAGCTGAATGATGGTATCTTGGTGCAGGTGGTGTTCCTATGGAAATTCCTCGACGCCATGACTTCTCCTTTACATCAAATATTAGCATGTCATTCAACATACTCTTCCCATTATCTCCTCCAAAAACATAGATGGCATCTCCATATGCCACAACTGTATGTTTACTCCTCCTGGAAATTACAACACTCTGAGTAAGCTTCAATGCTAACCTGAATCCCTAAACCAAAATAAGTCCCTCACAAATAAAATGTAAAACTAAACAAACTAAAATAAGAATTTAAGAGGAAAGGTCCATCACTAAACCCCATTTTGAGTTAAGAAAAATTCAAATCTTGACTTTTGTCCTACTTATTTATTTACCTGTCACTGTCAGCAACATGAACTGCAGACAACTTAATTGAATATGTGCAATGAAGTGTTTGTCATGAAATCTGAGGTCTTATCACAGTATTTGCATGAAATGACTGACAAAAATAATTTAAAACCTCAGTAAGAATAACTAGTCTCTGTATTGAAAGATGGACCCAGGGCCTCCAAAATAGAGGGCAGGAGTACTAACCACTTGACCACGCCATTCAGTTTGTCCAGTTCCAGCCATGATAGCAGCAGTGGACACAGGGTTCTTGTATTTTGTGTAAATTTTGAGGTTTACACGAAGGTGACTGTTCAGACTGTGATCTAGGCTATGAGAATGTCTATCGTAAGGATGAGGACAGAATTTTACTCTGAAACGTTGGTATCCTCTTACTAGGCTACAAGTTTCCTGGAGCTTGTTTAATTCCAGACTTCGCCGGTGGAAGCGGGTGCAAACGCCAGCACACTTAAGTATGTGCGTTTCATTAGTCGTTTGTCGTTCAACCCTAGGGGGAAAAAATCTGGAATTTCGAGTCGCATTGCACTCTAATTTCTTTGCATAAGCCCGTCAACCATGTTAAGAGAAATAAAATTCACAACAAATTAAACCCATCACCAACCTACACAACATTATGAAAGAACTACATTTTCCTCAAACACCTGCCTTTAAGATGTATTACATGTCAATACATTCATACCTGGCACCCACGAACTCGTCGCATTCTAGCATTCTCTTCCATCTATGAACAGCTTCAAATGGTCCAAAATCCAGAGTGAGACACTCTGCAGTCTCAGGCCAAGAATGATCGAAATCCATTCGTGCTACTGACATAACCTAAAATTAGTAATACATTACGGGTCCCCTTGTCAACACCGTCAATACGGTCAATACGATCCACCACGCAAGGTTTACAGAATTTCGCAACTAGTCATGGTTCAAAACACAAGATCACACCAGAGGCTTTCATATCACGGATAACTAAAGACAAATCTCGTGTCAAACACGGAAATCGTACAGTGCAAAGTTCACTCAATAGAGCCAAAGACAACAAATGTAAACACTTCGTTGAAAACATCACATTATGCAACACACCAGTAGGATCAATACGCCAGGTCGAAACATAGAGTGCCATACCAAGGATAACTAAACACGGGTAACTACTACACACCCTAGCTACCACGATTCACTCAATGCTAGTTCCATCAAAATCACCGAACATATTACTTCCCTCTCCTGCCGAACTTCATATTTTCCCCCCAACGTCACAGACATATTATTCTGCGATCAACGCTCGTCGTGCAAGATATTATTTTCCACTGTCTGCAGGCACTGCCGAGAGCTCAGTAGATAAGAAGGTTAACTACAACACTATTAGCTCTCGATGACACAGAGCCATGCATGCTAGACTCCCAAATCCCGTGTTCACAAAACAACACCGAATAATTTTGTCATCCTGATCTGTAGTATTTATTTGTGGCGGAGCTAATACCGTAGGTAAATAAGGATTGCTAGCAAATTAATAGCTAACTTTCTTACTGACTGAGCTCTCGGCAGTGGCTGCTGCCGGTTTGGAGCGAACTAAAATATAGATGGTACCATATAGGGTTGCGGTACGTAGTGGGACGTGTTGTTGGAAGTGCTTTGTTTTGTCTGGAGTGGAGAAGTTCGGCTTGTTATTGATCTGTGTGATTCGGCTTGTTCATTGTGTTATTTAGTACTAGGGACGATTGTACCGATCACTCTATGAAGTTAAGATGGTAAGTATTTAATCTTTGTATTTCCAGCTTAACCTTGCATTACGTTGTACTTGATATATTTGTAACAATCTTCCCATGTGTGGAGGCTGCCTCCTCCTCAAACCACAAACCGCACGAGACGCTCCCTGCCGTGATGGGAGGGGACCCACGTAACATTAATTGAAACAAAGAAGCTGTAATTCCTGCTAGTTTGGAGGTAGTGCCAGAGGTACATACAGAGAAAACTAATTGTATGTCTCATCACTAGAATGCAAGGCAAAATCATAACATGGAGATTGCTAACAGATATTTTGAAAGTGTCCTTAAGATACTTGGGACTGACAGATCAAAATTTGACCCATGATCCAATTAACAGCAGAATAAATGCGGGTATTACTAGCTGCCACTGAGTTCAGAAACTTTTGCCTTCTTATCTGCTGTATGAAAACATCAAGAAACTAGGAGTCTGATATTAAAGAAAGAACATGGAATGATGGTATTTGAAAATAAGGTGCTGAGGAGAATAAATGGTCCAAGGAGGAATGAAGTTGTAGGAGGTTGGGAAAGATTGCATAATCAAATATAATTAGAATCATGAAATAAAAAGGGATGAGGTGGGCAGGGCATGTAGCACACATGAAGGAAATGAGTAATGCCTACAGCGATTCGCTCATAAAGAGAGAAGGAAATAGACCACTGGGAAGATCTAGATGTAGGTGGGAGATCCTTGGCCCCCTGTTTTTTTTCTGCTTTATATTAATATACCCGCAACCAAACAGGGAACACAACACGAGACACGATATACACTGAGAGTAAGAGGAACGCCTCCCATATTGGTGGAACTATGCGCGGTATTAGAATTGGGACAGATAAGATAAATAAACTTAACAAGTTTTTAGTATATAAATATTTATTATAATTGATGGACATTTTAAAATACTTTCTAAATTTTACAATGACATAATGGCAAGCAATGAAATAGATTAACGTAAATGAAGCACCTGATGAAGGCACTATAGCGCCAAAACATGTTGTGAAATAACAAGTGAAATTGAGTGCGCTAAAAGACAGACATTCATATTCATATTTATTTGCATTCATACTGTTACAACTGCAACACTTGAACAAGTCAACTCACTAAATACATCATTGTTAAAAGCTCTATAATCGTAGAATGTATTAGACTAAAAATAAAACTGTACTTGCCTTACAACATCACTAAAAATTTTAAAAATATAACAATAACTACTACAATTCCCTTTTCTTCTCTTTTTTTTTTTTTTGTTAATTAAAAAAAAACCTTGCTATGCTTCCTCATGTCACTGTTGAAGAAACTCATTCAGTGTATAGAAAGGACGATCAAATAAAAATAATTTTAATTTATATTTAAATTCGTTACATCCCTTTGACTTTTTAACTTCCAAAGGAAGTATATTATATAATTTAATGCCCACATTAATAACACTTTTCTTAAAAACTGATGTGTTACATTGTTGTATATGAAGATCATCTTTCCTCCTAGTATTATACTCGTATAAATCAGTACACTGCTTACATATCATGGAGGATCTTCCTCAAACAATAAAAACATTGGCTACTGATGTGAGAAGTTTTAAATCTGCATTGAAGAGGTTTTTATATCATTCTTTTTATTCCATGAATGAATATTATCAGTATAACTGGTCATAAGTGTGTAAATTTGTGATGTATTTAATTCAGTTAATATAGGTAATTTCAATAAAATTGTATTAATTCAAGTTTCATAGTAAGTTATTTTTAAATTATGTTTATTAATTACAGTCTTATTAAAATTTTGATGATGTGACTCTTGTAATTATATATATGTATCTTGATATATCTATTTTCAAAGGGACTATTTCCACATCCTAGGTTTGTTACCTGTATGGATATATGGAAAATAAAGGAAATGAATGAATGAATAATATAAAAATGGATATTATGATAGGGTGGTATGGACTGGATTGATATTGCTCTGGATAGGGACCAGTAGTGGGTTCTTGTGAATATGGTAATGAACCTTGATGTTTGATAAAATGTTGCAAAGTTTATGAGTAGCTGAGCAGTTTGTGCTTTCTGAAGGACTCAACTTCATGGGGTTAATGAGTTAGTACACAGAAAGTAATTTTGTCATCTTGTTCATAGATTTGCATGGCCAAAGAAATCATATACTTTGTTACTGGCATTTGTAATATAATTTCCAGCTTATCATGTTTATTAAGATAACTGTACATAGTACAATAAGAGTCTGGTGCACATAGTGTCTAATGTATGGGGACACATGGTAGTGTAATTGGTTGAGGCATTATGCTACAAGACAGAAGGTCACAGGTTCGATTCCCCATGAGATCTTTTGATTTATCAGTTAACATAATCCTTCCAGGCGCACTGTGGGCCTGGGGTCAACTGAACCTGTAACATATATGAGTATCAGGAATCTTCCTGGAGTTAAAAGGTGGCTGGTGCGTAAGGCTGACAACCTCAGCGCCATCTGTTAATTGTCTAGAGAATGTGGGAGCCCCAGTGTCTCACAGCTATGTGGTCTTCCAGGCCTGTTACTGGAATACTTTTACTTTATACTTTTTTTTTAGTGTTATAGATGTTTTCTATACCATGAAGTCATTGAAGATAGGATCCAGTGATCTAGTACAGTTTTCACAGATAAGAAATGCACACAGACCATTGGAGAGAAAACTCAAAGGGAAGTGTCTGCTTCCATATAGGTTTGAAGATTGTATTAATATTAATCTCATAAAAATGAAATGTGTTGTTTGGTGTTATGTGAAGACAGTAACAAACTTCATTTCCATAAATGCAGTGGTGGACTGTTCATGTTAACTGGATGAGTCAGCTAGCACTCAGAAAATGCTAGTGCAGCAACAGCACAAATACCCCATCATATACCATCAACATTCATTACATTGCCATACAAACAAAGGAGCCTGCGGTTTGGCAAACCATTGTTAATTGATGAGTGCAGAACAGCAATGAAATCCATTTCAGCAGTAAAGCCAGTACCGTCAAAATCAGCTTCTTGCGTTTGGAATCCTAGAGCTCTTTATTATTTCCGTGAAGTTACCACTTATGTAGTTTGTTGGGAGAGATCATCTCATGTGTCGTTAAAATTGAATCAGTCATTAGACACATTTTGGAGAATATCGCCATTTTGTGTTTTGGGGCCCATCTCTAGTGCCTCTGTGGACCTCAGATGTTTATATTCACTGGGCACTGACCCAAGTCAGATGAACTCATTAAATACCAGTGTAAATGAATAAAATAAAATAAAAAGTTTTACAGTCAGGCTTCAGTTGTACTTGATGTGTTGATGGGAGAGGCAGTTGTATAATGTATCTTGTGGTACCTCCATCCATCCTGTCACAGGTGTTGTTGAGGCAGTATGTTGAGGCTTTCTATGACTGTTCGTGAGTACAGGTGCATTTCGAAGAGCCGCGGTATTGTGCAGGCATGAGAGCAAGAGGGTGTGTATGACATACCAAGATATGAGATTAATTAAATGAGAACTGTTAGCACACTTGGTCTCCTTTTGTGCTGAGAGAGCAAGTTCTCCCTTTGCCTTGGGGTTTTCCTAACATCCACCACCGCATAAAAGACAGGAAATATATTGACTGGCAGAATGAGTTTTGGTTACTGAAGAAGGACACTGCTATGAGTTATGTACAAAGCAGCTCATATCAGTTTGATGCTGAACAAAATGGTGTAATTTTGTATAATGATAGAGCACAGCCATGGCTGATGAGTGTATGGTGGTGTTACAGAAACATGTACCAGGCCCCTGTAGTGAGACATATCCAGCCTCTTCCCCTGATGCAAATCAGGCCGTGAATATCAAAGTCGAGGAAGTCTCAGATGTAGAAGTGGAGGAGGAGCCGCCTGTGCCAATGACATTTGTAGGAATAAAGGCTGAACATGAGGTGAGCTGTGTGTTCCCTGTGTGCCCACTGCGTGGCAGATTTCATGCATGACCAGATTTGCATGTTGTCTCTCTGAACTCCATCTGTCTGTCGCTACTGCTCTGGTGAAGGGATTTTGAAGAGTCCTTTTTCATATGTCTCAATTATGTTATTATCATTGAACACAGTTTGTGGTGTACCATTTCTGATTTGTCTTAAGGAAATATGCATGACATAATATTTGGAGAGAAAAAAAATTAGAAGGAAATTTAAAGCAGATTCAATTCAGGGAACGGTAGCTGCCATTGTTTAGATAATGTTTCACTTTCCTGCGTGCTGGCACAAAATATGTGATACAAAACTGTAACTTCACTTGTTTGTATTGCTATGTAACATGGTCTCTGATTGTTCCTATGAGGGAGAAAGTAGCATGTGGCTGCAGAAAACTGCATATTGGGAAGCTTCACAAATTCTGCTGATTACAGGATATTCTTAGATCAAATAGGGGATGATCAGTTAGATGGGTCATGTAGCATGTATGGCAGAGACTGGAACTGCTTATAATGTTCGAGTGGGAAAACCTGAAGTGAAGGGACCACTTGGAAGAATATGAGTAGTGGAAGGTACAATGAATTTGCCTCATGTTCTCCTGAAGGCTTGTTGTCTTGATGGGCCAGGGAGTCACAGGCCAGTTGTGTCATCTCACATTGCATGTGCTCAGAGTAAAGGCACAGTTGATATGAGAGTAGGCCAGCAGATAATGACCCATGTCACAGCAAATACTAGTAATGGTACCTGCTGATATACAGTCATTCGTAGCAACTCCAAAAAATACTGAAATTTGCACTAGAAGTTCATATTCACTCCCTCCCTCCCTCCTGGTACAAAAATGATTCTATATGTGTAAGTTAATGTGCAATTTTATTAATGTTTTCTATATTTGTTTTATTTATGGGGTGTAACTTTACTGTAATTTTTACCAGACGCATTGCTTGATTTTTATCTGGGTAATGTATAGACACACTACTTAATTATTCTCAGATGGCATGTTGACTTAGGAAGTAACATGTCTGACTGAATGTATGGTACAGTAGCATGCACTTGGAGACTATAGTTGACAGGCACCTAGTGCAGAAGCTTTCACTATAGTAGCTCTTCAAATATTTATTGAGGTATTACTGGGGAGAAATTGTAATGTGTAAAAGTCACTGCCCTGCTGACTGTGTCAGGATTCTGAACATGTGGAGCGTGAGATGACTGGCCTGAGTTCCTGTAGCCCAGTTGGCTGAGGGATTTTTTGGTGTCTCTCAGATGACTTTCCTGAAGTATTAAAACAAGTCTTAACTTTTTGAAGAGTACTTTAAATGACATCCATCCTGCCTGTATTCTCCTGCTACTGCAGCATTTTTAGATGTGTGGTGTATATTGATGAATAGAATGTAGTGCATAGTCCGAGAATCATCACCAAGAGAACAGGGCTGCTGTCTGTTGATGACAAGGGGAAGTACTGCCTCAGTCTAAGTGCAGACATCAAATTGCCTCAGACATGTGGCATGTATTGAAAGAGCACAGCTGTGGCTGATAAGTGTACGGTGGTTTTGCAGAACTGCATGGACTTACAGAAACATGTACCAGGCCCCTGTAATGAGACACATCCATCCTCTTCCCCTGATGCAAATCAGGCCATGAATGTCAAAGTCGAGGAAGTCTCAGATGTCGAAGTGGAGGAGGAACGTCCTGTGCCAATGACATTTGTAGGAATAAAGGCTGAACATGAGGTGAGCTGTGTGTTCCCTGTGTGCCCACTGCGTGGCAGATTTCATGCATGACCAGAATTGCATGTTGTGCCTCTCATCTCCATCTGTTTGTCTCTTCGTAGAATACAGGTGTCTGGTGTGTGGATTATGAACGGTCCTTTTTGGTATGTCTTAATCGGACTGTTTTAATTGCATCTGTCTCATGACCATTTCCACTTTGTCTTAAGAAAATATATATGTGAAATTACATTTGGAGTAAATTGGGAAAAAAAAATCAGTAGGAATTTTAAAGAAGATTCAATTCATGGAATGCTATGTGGCATTATTTAGAGAATGTTTTGCTTTTCCATGTACCTTCAGAAATTATTTTTCCATGTTTTAGTGACTATTAGACAGAGTTTGGATTGGTGAATAGATTTATTGGACACTCACAAGTCGTAACTACAAAAATCTGTAACACTCTAAGGGTTACTGTAACTATAACACACTATAAAGATTACTGTAGTTATAACACATAAAATAAAGTCTTCAACATCTGCTTGCTATGCCATTGCTTGGTAACGAATCTGATCTGATTAACACTTCAGCACCTGAATACCCAAATATTGATGAGTGCACAGCCTTTTATAAATGCCTGAGAACCTAATGGAGATAACTGCTTCCAAGGGTTTTGTTACTCTTCTTCTTGCAATCTTGTGTTAATTTGGGGCAACACTTTGATTTATACAAGCATATTCATTGCTGAGGAAACGTATTTTAGTTAGCTGTTGTTTAGCAGTGGGCTTCTCTGACTGCACATGTCCAGTGTTCAGGCATCAGGCCACAATATATGAGATACAAATATATACAAAACTAACTTCAGTTGTTGTTTGTATTGTTGTTCTCTGATTGTTCCTAAGAGGCAGAAGGTGACTTGAGGCTCCAGAAAATTGCATACTTAGAAGCTGTACTGATTACAAAATATTCTTAGATAGATCAAATGCAAGGTGATGAGAGGGATGGATCGTGTAACATTTATGTAGGAAATGGGAACTGCTTATAAAGTTTGAGCTGGAAAGCCTGAAGTGAAGAGACCATGTGGGACTCTGCATAGAGGGAAGGCAGGTACATGGATTTGTCTGAGGTTCTCCTGAAGATCCGCCAGCTGGTTGGGCCAGAGAGAGACAGGCCTCTTGTGTCATCAAACTTCATGTGTGTTTGAAGTTGTGGCACAACAGACACATGAGTAGGCCACCAGATGATGAAAAATAGACCCAGCTCACAGCAAATACTTGTAATGGTTTCTGTTGATACACGGGCATTCCCAGTACTACCATCATAAATTGAATTTGCACTAGAAGTTCGTAATTGGAAAGAGAGCAGACTTCAGAGGTGAAAGGTTAAACTTCATGACCTCTGTAAGGCATGTAAGTGGTTCTTGAGAAGAGTCTTCACTCCTGACAGTGATGTAATTCAATTTTTCTTCCTTGAGCTCTGGCTGATTTGACTCAGTTTCCCCCCCCCCATTTTCATTCCTTACTTTTGAGGGTATAGTGATTATATATGCCTACATTTGTGTACGATTCTGAGAATGTTTTGTTTGTTTGCTCTGTTTGGAGGTGTAACTTTCTGTAATTTTTGCCAGAATCCTTGCTTGCGTTATACCTGTGTAATGTGTATGCACACTTTTATCAAGATGTTACTATTATAGCATGTAGACCCATTGCTTAATAATGACCCTGTAAACAACACGCTCTGATAAGCAACAGAGGAACAGTGGTCTCTGTGCAGTCTCTGCCAAAATGTTACAAGCAGGGCAATTAGTGAGAGAGTTACCGTATTTACACATGTATAGGCCGCAGCACAATTTTCAGACAGAAATTATAGAAAAAATAATTTTCTTGGAATATTATTTCAGGAGTAGAACACCCTGTATTACTAATTATGAATATAATTTTTTTTAAATGAAGTGTGATTTCGAATATTTTGAATATAAGCCGCACCCCAGTTTTCTTCCTGAATTTTTGGCAAAAAATGTGCGGCCTATACGTGCGTAAATACAGTATATAATGCAGTGGGGGGAAATGAAGATCTGGTTGATGAGTTAGTGAGTTAGAGAAATGTGGTTCAGTTGTGTGCTGTTGTTGTTAGAAGATGGTAGCTGAGGCACGGGGATGGTCCTGGAACCCAGAGTAATGGGGACGTCTGCTGTTGGAAGCTGTTGCCAAGCAGTGACTGGTAATGACACAGTAGGCTGCAAAAGACTTAGTGTGTGCTGCAGTGAACTGTAGAGTGTGCGAATTAGTGATAGTGATATAGTTGCTTGTATTTACAATCTGTAAATAGTCAGTAAATCCAGTAACCTATCCAAACCCCATCTACAGTCATTCATACATGTGACAGTATTCCCAACTGGCATTGTGACACAAGGAGTGACATATCAGATTGAATATGTAATACGGTAGCATGGGCTTGGAGACTACAGTTGACATGCACATAGCACACACATGTGCTTCATAATAGCTGGTCAAATACTTATTGGGGTGATACTGGAAGAAATGATAATGTATAAGAGTTATTGGCCTGTCGACTGTGACAGGAGTCTGAACACAAGGAGCCTGATTTTCTCCTGCCCAGTTGGCTGAGGGATTTTTTGGTGTCTCTCAGATGACTTTCCTGAAGTATTAAAACAAGTCTTAACTTTTTGAAGAGTTCTTTAAATGGCATCCTTCACTCCCTTGCTACTGCAGCATTTTTAGATGTCTGGGGTATATTGATGAATAGTGTAGTCAGGGAAAGATCACCAGTATGACAAGGAGGAGGACTGCCTCAGTCTAAGTGCAGACTACAAGTTGCCTCAGACATGTGGTATGACTGGTTAGAGGTGACTCTGTCACAGAGGTGATTCTAATCAACAAGCCACTACAAAAGTAAGATTGTAGGGAATGGACTGAACTTGTTTCTCTTAGGATTGGGACTTGAGGCAGGCTGTTGTGAACACTGTAATGAACTCTCTGTCTCCATAAGTGGCGGGCAGTTTGTACAGTGCCTGAGAGACTGTTCACTTCTTAGTAACAGTTTTGAAAAGTGCAAGGAATAAAATGTGTATGTGGCAGCTGCTGTTAGCTTGTTGCAGTGCAGAGTGGTCGTTCAAATGAAAGTGTGTTTTATATCAGTGGTTCTCAACCTTTGTCAGACCGCAGCCCAGTAAATTCTTTTTTCTGTAAAACAGGACCCAGTATAATTGATGCCAGGACCAGGTACTGTGCCGCAGCCCGACGCTTGAGGAACACTGATGTATATCCTGTAGTGAGAGAGCACAGCCATGGCTGATGAGTGTATGGTGGTTTTACAGAAACATGTACCAGGTCCCTGTAGTGAGAAATATCCAGCCTCTTCCCCTGATGCAAATCAGGCCATGAGTGTCAAAGTTGAGGAAGTCTCAGATGTCGAAGTGGAGGAGGAACATCCTGTGCCAATGACATTTGTAGGAATAAAGGCTGAACATGAGGTGAGCTGTGTGTTCCCTGTGTGCCCACTGCGTGGCAGATTTCATGCATGACCAGATTTGCATGTTGTGCCTCTCATCTCCATCTGTCTGTCGCTACTGCTCTGGTGAAGGGATTTTGAAGAGTCCTTTTTTATATGTCTCAGTTGTGTTGTTTTCATTGAACACTGCTTGTGGTGTACCATTTCCGCTTTGGCATAAGGAAATATACATGAAATGATATTTGGAATAAATTGAAAAGTTACTTTTAATCAGTAAAAAATCTTAAGCAGATTGAATTCAGGGAACGCTAGCTGCCATTGTTTAGAGAGTATTTTCGCTTTCCCACATACTGTTGGAATATGTAAGATGCAAGTACAAGTGTACACAAAACTATAACTTGTTCATATTGTTGTCGAACATGGTGTCTCATCATTTCTAACAGAGAGAATCTAATATATGGCTGCAGAAAATTGCATATTGATAAGCTTCACAAGTTCTGCTGATTACAGAATATTCTTAGATAAATAAAATGCAGAATGATGAGTTGGGCGGGTCATGTAACATGTATGGCAGAGAATGGAACTGCTTATATAAAGTTTGATTTGCAAAATCTGAAGTGTAGAGACCACTTGGATAATATGCATAGAGGGAAGTACAATGGATTTGCCTGAGGTTCTCCTGAAGACTTGTGAGCTGATTGTGCCAGAGAGACTCGGGACATTCAAGTCATCTAGTGCTGCATATGTTCGGAGTCATGACGCGATGGACGTGAGGGTAACCGATAACAAAATCAATCCTCGCTCACAGCAGACACTTAAATGGTTCCTACTGATGGACGGGCATTCCCAGCAACCCCCCAAAATACCGACATTTGCACTAGGAGTTCCTACTTGGAAAAAGAGAAGACTTTAGGACTGTGGCATGCCGCCGGAAGGCCAGACTGTAAAACGTCCATTGGTGGTCAACGGCTAGCAGTTCCTAGGCAACGAAACATAAACAGACCGTTGCCTAGGGAAGTGCTTAAGCAGCAGAGACTGACTTGTTGAATTACCACAGCAACAAATGTGCAACAATAGGGCATTCGTTATTAGACGATGCGTGAGTACACACACCCGACAACAATACATGATATCTCTTGCCAAACAGCATTGTGTTTTCTGTGGTTGGTTCATGCCATGTCTATATACAGAGCACTGAGCCCAGAATAGTTAGGATCCAATGAGTGGTAAATGAAGAACAAAGAACGAAGGCTCCATTGAGAATAGCGGTGCAAGAGTATAGCCATTGAAGAGGGAACGTCTGAAGGCGTTACTGAAAGTGATTATAATTGTGAGTGTAAACAAATAATTGTCCAATAAACATTCATCTAATCCGAAACCTGTCATTCCTTGTCCCATTACCTGGGAAACACACAACAGGACTGACAGTTGAAACCTTGAACTGTAAGTCTTGGTCACTTCTGCAGGGCATGTGTGTGGTTTTTGAGCAGAGTGTTCAGCTCTACCAGTGATTTAATTAAATTTTTCTTCAGTGAGCACTTAGCATTTTGATTTGGTTCCCCCTTTTTCCCTTTCTTTGCATAATGATAATGTNGTACACACAAAGTGAGGTAGCAATTCCAACACTATGCACTGCATTCTATTCCTGAATACACACCAAAGATCTGAAACTTAGATACCGCTCTAAACAACGGTGGAATGCAGCCGAAGAGGCAGCAGGTAGCGTGCCATTTAATGAACTCTTCTCAGGGTTAAGATCTATTTTAATACTGCAAATCCCTCAGCCAACTGGGCTACAGAAACTCAGGCTAGTCATCTCACACTCCATGTGTTCAGAATCCTGACAGTCAACATGGCAATGACTTTTACACATTGCAATTTCCCCTCAGTATTACCATGATAAGGATTTGAAGAGCTACTATACTGAAAGCTTCTGCACTAAGTGCCTGTCAAGTATAGTCTCCAAGCACATGCTACTGTACTCTACATTCAGTCAGACATGTTATTTCCTGGGTCAACATGCCATCTGAGAATAATTACATCTTGATAAAACTGTGCATAAACAATGCCCAGGTAACAAAGCAAGCATAGAATTCCAACATAAATTTCTCAACATTACACTTCCAAATAAAAAAGTATTCACATAATCTTGCATACATATAAACATACATTATCATCCATGATATGCATACACTTTCTGTCTTGTAGTGCACTCAGTTTCACCTGTTACTTCACGAAATGTTTCAGCAACATAGTGCCATCATCAGGTGCCCTAATTACGTTAATCTATTGCACTGCTTGCCCTCATATGTCTTCACAACACCATTTAAAAAGTATTTAAAAAGTGCGTATTTGTCAACTATAATAAATTTACACTCACTAAAACTTGTTAAGATTATTCATCTTATGTGTCTTAATTAAAACTTGCGTGTGCTGTGCAGCTAAGAAGGGCACACACATCACAAGACACGGTTTACACAGAAAATAAGAAAAACGACCCCATAGTGAATGAACCACACGCAAGTTTTAATTAAGACACATAAGATGAATAATCTTAACAAGTTTTAGTGAGTGTAAATTTATTATAGTTGACAAATACGCACTTTTTAAATACTTTTTAAATGGTGTTGTGAAGACATATGAGGGCAAGCAGTGCAATAGATTAACGTAATTAGGGCACCTGATGATGGCACTATGTTGCTGAAACATTTCGTGAAGTAACAGGTGAAACTGAGTGCACTACAAGACAGAAAGTGTATGCATATCATGGATGATAATGTATGTTTATATGTATGCAAGATTATGTGAATACTTTTTTATTTGGAAGTGTAATGTTGAGAAATTTATGTTGGAATTCTATGCTTGCTTTGTTACCTGGGCATTGTTTATGCACAGTTTTATCAAGATGTAATTATTCTCAGATGGCATGTTGACCCAGGAAATAACATGTCTGACTGAATGTAGAGTACAGTAGCATGTGCTTGGAGACTATACTTGACAGGCACTTAGTGCAGAAGCTTTCAGTATAGTAGCTCTTCAAATCCTTATCATGGTAATACTGAGGGGAAATTGCAATGTGTAAAAGTCATTGCCATGTTGACTGTCAGGATTCTGAACACATGGAGTGTGAGATGACTAGCCTGAGTTTCTGTAGCCCAGTTGGCTGAGGGATTTGCAGTATTAAAATAGATCTTAACCCTGAGAAGAGTTCATTAAATGGCACGCTACCTGCTGCCTCTTCGGCTGCATTCCACCGTTGTTTAGAGCGGTATCTAAGTTTCAGATCTTTGGTGTGTATTCAGGAATAGAATGCAGTGCATAGTGTTGGAATTGCTACCTCACTTTGTGTGTACACTTCACATTGTCTTCGAGTTGTATATAATGAGAGAGCACAGCCATGGCTGATAAGTGTACGGTGGTGTTACAGAACTGCGTGGATTTACAGAAACATGTGCCAGGCCCCAGTAGTGAAACATATTTAAAATCCTCCCTTGCTGTAAATCAGGCCATGAATAGAAAAGTCGAGGATGTCTCATATACAGGAAAAAGAGGAGCGTCCTGTACCAATACAATATCCAGCAGTAAACCCTGAACTTGAGGTGAGTTGTGTGTGTGTCCACCACTGAACAGATTTCATGTCCCATATATGGAAAACTGCCAGGTGTTTTTCCCATATCGATCTGTCTGCCTGTGCACGTGACAAAGCTCTTCTCTTATGAATAGATTTTGAAGAATGCTTCCAAAAATATCTCAGGATGATTGTATTTTGGTGCACATTGCTTGTAGAGTACAACTTCTGTTTTGTATTGAAGCAGGCATAAGATACATAAAATTCCATATTGACAAAATAGAAAAAAATGTTCCAGATACATGTTATAGTCATAAAAAACTTTTGCACCAGCTAACATTGATAAAGTATTCCTGTGCTATCAGTCTGAAGCCATTGAGATCAGCAACAGCCTGAAGAAACTTCATCAGGGATGTGGGTTTTAGTGTCAGCTTGCCCTAGTGACCTAGTGGCAAATATAATGAAACAGGACCAAGACAAACACATGACTGCCCTCTAGCACCTCATTGGCTCACACTCAGTTTTGATATCAGGCTGTGGGCTGGTGTGTAGATGGGATAATCTGAATCTCACGCCACATCAGACCCTCAGAGTGGAGACAGAGATGGGTCCTGAAACAGGAGTTATATTTAAAAAATTGACATAGTTGTTAGCCAGAGAAGATATTATCAACTGTCATTGAATTTCTCAGTTCTCAGGAACAATTATTATGTGAAAATTATCATTTATTTATTTTGCAAGATCGTCTACAGTGTGAAGTATATATAATGTACATGACACTTCGGAAATCAGCTTCCTTCTGCCACCACGCACAAAGCAACAGGCCAACACAAATCCTCCAGTGTATGAACATTCACAGTACAAATGCTTATATATCTTGCTTGCGGTTCTTATTGTGTCCACTCGTAAAGAATCTGCTTCTGCAGGGCATTGTGTGTTATATGTGCTGCAGATCCCACACTCGTAATGTCTCCCCTTGTTTTATTTCTGAGCATTTCAAAAGATTTGTAGCCCAGCTGATGTTTGCATTAGTGTTATCTACCAAAAGTGACAACTGCTGTGTCAATCAATTAACTCTGCTGAAGGTTTCCCACACAAATTTGTGCACTCAAGAATTTTCAGTTTTACTGCATGCTGTGGAACTGTGTTATGTACCAAAGTAGGAACAAGTTTAGTGTGTTGGTGATTGGATTGCTCAGTCATTATGGATATAAATTTGACATCTTGAGGCTCTTCTCTTGCTTGAGTGATACTAGAGCGAGGACACTTATCAGAATAGCTTGAAGTTTGGTTGAGATGGTTTCTGAATTATTGTCAAGATACAGTCCATCAATTGGAACCTTTGATTGTGAGGACCAGTTGGAACTCGACTTTTCCTTCAATTACTGCAGGTTCCAAGCCTTTATCAGCACTGGTTTTTCCCACAGAGAAAGAACACATTATTTACAGTGATTTATTTTGCTTGTTTGCATGAAAGTGTTTCTCAGTAGTATTTCTACTTCCACGAGTAATTGAGAAAATGCTGTTACATGGATGTCTCACTTTGTTTTCATCAGTTTCATCACTAATCAAAAATGGATAGTCACATTTAAGAATGGCAAAAAATAAACATTTTCTTTTTGAAGAAACCATCACTTTAAAATTTAATGACCTACAGATTATGTACACGACAGAAGACTTCATTGTGTAAATTCTTTATTCTTTATTGAATATTGAGCTGAGTACATCACCACGCATAAACAGGGTCACACTAACTTACGAGTATATCACTTTATTTTTCCGTCACAACAGAACAACTAAGGAGTATCTAGGTCAATACCCAGCTATGCCTCGCTACATGTTTTGGCCGTTAACGGCCACCATCAGGTGAATACAAATCAACAAACGTATACTATTGAACTGTAGTAAAATTAGATACAATGACAAAATAGTTGATTGTTTTTGTAAAAATACAACGGTCATTTATATATAAAACTGAAGGTTGTAATATAAAACAAGATTAAAATTGATGTTTTATAACATCTCATTAGTCGTATGTATACTTTATACGTTCCGTGGACAAAATAAAAATATAAGATGGTATTGGAGGCTCATGACGTTGCAAGTTAGTTAATAGGATAGAGGTGCCCTCTCATATGAAACAAAATGTCTGTACTGTATGAGGTGTCATTGTTTACACCTCATGAGAACTCATTGTTTGATGTTTTGAATAAATGGGTACAGGATGCAAGTAGTTGAACTCTTTAACCATAGCGAAAAGAACATGACACAGTGGATTTATTGAAAGTGCAAAACATCCATTATTGTTAGGGTTGGAATTTGGCTCGTTGCTCTTATGTTTTAATTGTTATATTTTATGTACATCTTCACTTCAGGTACAGTTTTTTAAATTCAAAGTGTTTGCTTCAGCCATTTCTTAAACAGTCTCATAATAGCATGGCATAGCGTAGACTGGGGGAGCAAAGAGAATATGAAGGATTTCAAAATATATGTTGTCAGCTGTTAGGCCATGTTTTCATGAAAATCTGCAGAATGACTTCAGGAAGAGTTATGTATTCAAGTGCATAATTAATCGTATTGGAAGAGGGTATCAAGATCTTAATTCATGCAATGTATATGTATCATTTAACTATGATGGGGAGCTAAACTGCATGTAGAATGAATAGTTTTGGGATTAATATGAAGAAGGCAGCTCTTTTCCTTACCAGAAAACAAATGCGTTTCTAGCCTACTTTCCTTATTTAAAAAAAATAAAAGGCTCATGAGATCACATTTGCATCTGTGCGTCTTTCTATCCCCCATAGATCCTGAAAGCCAGAAGTTGTCCTGTTTATGCAGGGTGTCCCATGAGGAAAGGTCAGTGTTCAGCGAGGTCACACAGTTGGTCATTCTAAGCAAAAAAGTGTATATGTACATGTGTCCTATTCTGAACAGTTTCTGAGATAGAGCTATTTCACTGTGCAGTAGTGTAAAGAAAGGAATGTCAAGATTCACTCAGATGAGCAATGTGCCATATCCTCGCACGAACTGCAAAGTGTGTTGATGTTGACAGTGGAATTTTCAAAAATATATTAGACTAGGTAAACTGTACCAAATTTGTCACTGAACAATAAATACCGGCATTAGAAACAGTCCGCAATATCTCCTCCTTATCAACAATTTTGGAACTGTACAGTAAAATATCTCTAACTTGGAAACTGTTCAGAATAGGACACATGTACATATACATTTTTTGCTTAGAATGACAGACAGTATGACCTCTCAGAATATTGACCTTTCCTTCTGGGACATGCTGTGTAATTTCTGGGGGCCTGCAGAGAAAATACTGCCTCCAGCTTTTGGACTCGTCATTTTCTGTGCCATCCATGTGATACCAAAAGAAAATAGGCTATTAGTTGTTCACAGAACTGCTTGTTTCATAATAGATTGTCACTATTTTAATAACTGTCGTGTGTGTGTGTGTGTGTGTGCGCGCGTGTGCGTGTGTGTTACTGGATAAGGGTGGAGGGAGAGGTTAACTGACTTACCCTCTCCTCCCCTGGTTGATGCGAACAAAGCCACAACAAATCATCTTGGTTCTTATATTTTATGACAGTAATATCAGATATGAAAGAAAAGTTATGTGAATTGAAGCTCATAGGAACAGACCCAGAAACAGCTGGAACACAGAATTGGAACATCTGGGATTCCTGAGTTACATCCATTGTAAACAGGATGTTCATGAATGCATCAGACATTAATAAGATTTGAGTTTCCCTTGCTGTTGATTCATATTGCGGTCTTCCGGATTGTGAGAGCAGGTCATCTGGCAAATAGGTAAATTTTCATCTCTGAATATGATGGTAGTATGTTCCTCCAAAACACTGGTTCCCACCTGTGGGACCACAGTTTAACTTTCATATTATTGGTTCCATAATTAAATAATCTACAATGGAAATGTTGGGCAAGAAAAATGTTTCATGCAGTTTTGTTTGTCTGTGTGTTTAGGGTTCTTGCTTCTTACCACCACCTACTTCAAGAAAATAAATGTGTGAAGTCAAATTTAAACATTTCTGTCTGTCACATTATAGGCACCAGGTTCCTGTGTATCCTCTCTGATTTATAAAGGATCTGCAGCATTCTATATATAACAAAATTGTAGCCAAAAACCCAGAATTAAAGAAACCACTTACATAACATAGATGTAAACAGGAGGATAATATTAGAATACATGTTAAAATAGTGTGGGAGGGTGTGAAATGGATTCAGTTTCCACAGGATAGGAACCAGAGATGAGCTCCTCTGACACATTTATGAATCTTCCAGTTTCATAAAAAAATGAGTTTGTTGCTTAGTTAAGCAGCAACTGGCTTCTCAAGAAGGACTGAGCTCCATGAAGTTACTTGCAGTTTGTAAGAATACAATATTAAAGTGGAGGATTTCTCACTATTGCAAAAAAAGAATGAAAATTGTGAATGTTCAGATAGCTGTATAGTTTGACATCAGTCCTACACAAGAACAGAACCTTATGCAGTCATTTGTGGCCATGTTACTGACACTACAGAAATGCAGACATTTTGTTGTGAGCAGGTTCAATATGTGTAATGGCAAGATTTAATTCAAATTTCTGACCTCACATTAAGATGGTAGCATCCAGCATGAAGGACAGTTCATAGCAACATAACATATTCCAACAGTCTTCTGTGTGCTGGTGCATTGTTGTCCTATTGAAAATATGTGTAGTTCTCACCTCCAACCAGTAAGGTAATGTATAGTTGCCTGATTGACACCTTGGTCTCAGTCTCATTTCTGTTCTTAATGGGAACGGCTGTAATATTTTTATTTTCTTCTTGAACAGAGTTTGCTGAATGAAGATCCACTTGTACATGGTGAGGAGCACCCACTTTCCTCTGATATGAGTAATAAGTCATTCAGTCAGAGTAATCTGAAGGAGCGTCAGCGCGTACGTAACCGAGAGCGTCCATTTTTCTGCGATGTGTGTAAGAAACCGTTCAGTCGGCAGAATAATCTGAAGGTGCACCAACGCATACATAGTGGGGTGCGGCCATTTTTCTGTGAAGTGTGTAAAAAATCATTCAGTCAGAATAGTCTGAAGGAACATCACCGCATACATAGTGGAGAGCGGCCATTTTCATGTGATGTGTGTAAGAAGTCATTCAATCGGCATAATAATCTGAAGGCCCATCAACTTATACATAGTGGAGAGCGGCCATTCTCCTGCGAAGTGTGTAGTAAATCATTCAGGCATCCAAGTCATCTGAAGGAACATCTACGCATACATAGTGGAGAGCGGCCATTCTCCTGTGATGTGTGTAGTAAATCATTCAGGCATCAAAGTTGTCTAAAGGAACATCAGCGCATACATAGTGGGGAGCGGCCATACTCATGTGATGTGTGTAATAAGGCTTTCAGCAGTAAGAGTCATCTAAATAGACATCAGAGAGTACACAGTGGGGAGCTGCCGTCCTTTTGTGATGTATGTCATAAATCTTTCAGGAATCAGAGTCTTCTGCAGGAACATCAGTCCATGCATAGTGTAGAGCGAACGTTCTCATGTGATGTGTGTAGTAAGTCTTTCAGCAGTAAGAGTCACCTAAAGCGACATCAGAGCACACATGGTTTGGAGCGGCCATTCTCTTGTGAGGTGTGTAATAAATCATTCAGGCATCAGAGTCATGTGAAGGAACATCAGCGCATACATAGTGGAGAGCGGCCATTTTCATGTAGTGTGTGTAATAAGTCGTTCAGCAATAAGAGTCACCTGAAGAGACATCAGGGCATACACAGTGGGGAGCGGCTATTGTCTTGATAAGTGTTAAATAAGTAATTTATTAAGGGGAATCACCTAATTACATATCAAGACACACACAGTGGGGAGCAGCCATTTTCCTTTGGTGTGTGCAGTAAATCCATTCATAAGAGTTATCTAAAGACACCAATGCATAGAGGGAATGGTTATTTTGATGTGGTTTGTGTAATAAATAGGGACCGGATTTTTATGCCCTAATAATCCCTTAAATGTGTATGCATTTATGCATGAAAAAGTTTTAAAATATTCATGTAAAATATGCACATGAACGTTCAAAGAGTTGTCTTCTGTTTAACTAATTAACCACAAGCCATGAAGGCATACGGGGAGTGGATGTATAGATCCACATTTTCTTGACCTTGGCACTACTTGGAGGTGACTGGTCAGCTTCATGCCTCGGTCACTTTACCCCTGGGAGAGAGCCCGTGGTACCCATTGTATAGGAGGTTGGGTGGACCCCAGAGCTGATCTAACGACATGTAGAAGTGAAAATTCTTGACCCTACCAGGAGTTGATCTCCGGCCTCTTGGTCATCCAGACTGTAGCCAGTTCCTATACCAACTATGCTACTCTGGCTCCAAAAAGTTCATACCAAATATTAAAATTGATTTTACATTATTTTAAGACCACCTAATCAACGTTTAATTTAATTTTTATGTAATCACTGAATGATTCACTTGCAATGAAAGCTATACTTGAATACAAATCACACAGAAAGACAGTATTTTTTCATTACAATTTTAAAAAAAAGCCAATGGTATTTACATTTCGCTCTCCAATCTTTGAACTTCTCTTCTGTTGCAGTTCACAGTTACTAAATGTTTTAGGTTTTCCATAGTTAATCGCCCCCTGTCGTCTCATAAGATGTCCTTGTAGCAGGAAACACTTCTTTCCACCTCAAGGTTGCATGCACAAAAGCTGCTATTTTATCCACTGTTAGTGATTTTTTTTTACTTGGCAGTTTAGTACGTTTACAGGCCAAAATTTCTTGAGTTTCACAAATTTGTTAATATCCTGGCATTTTTAAATAATGTTGTGTACTTTTTCCTTTACCACTTCACCAACTCTTCCAGGAACCAAATTCAATTTGAAAACAGTGGTTTTGAATACACTTAACGATTGATACAAAGTGATCTTGCTATTGCTGACCTCCAGTGGGAAATGGATGGATGCTGAGAGAAGTGAGCAGATACATAGGACAAATTAGGTTCTAGTTCTGCATTATTTAGTACATCTTGAGTAATTTGAATTGATGCTGCACTTTTGGGATGAAATGTATTCACGACATTCCCCACTGTTTTTAAATGTTCAGTATAATAATTCACTGCACACAGCCACATGCCCCAGCTCGTTAAAATTGGTTCTGACAGAAATGGAACATTCAGTACTACTGCTTTAAAGGCTTTGTTCTATATGGTGCTTTAACAAATGCCTTCTTCACAGAAGACCCAACTTGTCACCAAGCAGAAAATTTGCACAAATTGTTTCTGCAGCACTGTGCAACCCATGGGCAAGGCAAGTTAAATGTCTCATATTTGGAAATATCACCTTAAGAGCAGTACCAGCTTTGATCATATAATTTGTGGCATCAGTCACAAAGAGCAATATGCACTCATACTGAATGCCATTTGGCCATAGTAAATTCCTGGAATCAATAAAAAATTTGGAAACTGCAGAGCTATTTGTGGTTTCAAATGTTCTACCGCAAGAAGATATGGGGTAGATTGTTCATTCTCATTAAGAGATTCAACTATAATATTTGCAGTAATCATCCCTCACAGTCTTGTTTTGTTAATTGATACCCACATAAATTTATCGTGAATCTTATCTCTAATGTTTTCAGTTGTATGATCGTAACACTGCTTCGTGTAATTTTTGCACACAGTAGATTCATCTGACACTTTGTACTGTGTATACTTCTCTGTGAATTTTCTCAGAGTATGATTGGTTAGTTTCCACAGCGGAATATCTGCTGCTAGAAAAGCTTCACACAAGTCAGAGGAGAACTTTGAAACACTATTAGAAAATTCACTAAGCAATTTTTGAACAGGAGCACTTTTTGTGGATTTAATTTTAATATTCTCATTGTATATATTAGTGTTTAAATGCTGAAGAACTATCTTTTTTTCACAACTGTTTCTTCACATGCTCAGCAGTAAGGATTTTTGTTTTCCATAGTTATCATCTTTCCTTCAGACTCCCGTTGATAGAGCAGTAATTTAGTATTCTGACTTACATTGACTTTCGGCATGACTACAAAAGCTAAACAAACTTCACCACAGACCAGTCACCACTAATGTGAATGACCCCCAGCTCCAAATGAAGAAATCTAGCAAACCTGATGGAGACTTCAGAAATAAATTAATGAAGTCCAGTATCAGTTGAATAGAATTACATTGCTAGGAGCTACATCTGAATATGCTTCCGACTAATCCCTTCGCAGGTACTTTGATGGTATGCGGTTGAGGCAAGTTACGAATAGAGGGATCAGGGAAGTTCTGTCCTGGGTATTGCATCAGAAACATGAATCCAGACTCAACTTGCTGTTTATATGACAAAATGTTGCGAGTCACATGTAGAGCATATTCTGATAGGGAAAAGAAAAATTGTATACACACGACGATGATTGAAAATTTGAACATAAAATTAGAAAATATATATAATGATAAACATTTTGAAAGCAAATATGCAGCGTAATTCTAGAGATTTTAAAAGATATTATGCTTATTCATAAAGCAGGAAAAGTACATTTATGTGCACCATCAAACCTTGTCTAAAATTTAAGGTAAAAAACGTAAAAGTGGCCCTGTTCTTAACTAATTGAACACAACATTATGATGGTGTATGGGGAGCGGATGTATAGATCCACATTTTCTTGACCCTGGCACTATTTGGAGGTGAGTGGTCAGCTTCACACCCCGAGGAAAGGGCCCCTGGTACCCATTGTATAGGAGGTTGGGTGGACCCCAAAGCCAGTCTGGACGACATGGAGAAGTGAAAATCCTTGCCTCACTGGGACTCGAACTCTGACTCCTCTGTCCTCCAGCCCGTATCCAGTTGTTATACCGACTGAGTTATCCCAGCTGTCTAAAATTTAAGAAATGAAGTAATTCATACATATATCCAAATGAGTGTACTTTTTGGTTTCAAGAAGAAATATGCATTTGCATTAAAATCCGGCCCCTAGTAATAAATCATTGAGTAACAGGAGTCATTTAATGACACATCATCACACACATAATGACAAGAAGCCATCTTTGTGTGATGTGTGTAAGATAGCGCTGACTAAATAGAGTAGACATCAATGCGTAAACAGTGTGGCCTGTTTGGATCCCTAGGGTACGTAATAAATCTTTCCAATGGCTGAAGGGGTCATTCCATACAAAGTGCACATTGGCTGTGTTCCTGTCATGTGTAAGATACTGTTGTGCTCCCAGAATCTGAATGAAAATTAATTAATGTCCATCTGCTTGGTGCAAGAATATGTTCTGTGGCTAGTCACATGATGCTTGGATATATAGGAGGGAGTGTTCACAGTTCCAGCTAAGTGAAAGGTGTGAGGATACATTATGAACTTCTGAGAATGGTTTGTCTCTTTTATTTAGTATGGCAAACATGATGGCATACAATTCTGTGTCACCCTAAATGCTTATATTTCTTGTCCTCATATATGCATAGTACTGACAGTTAAAAATATTCAGTGCCTCCACAGGGCAAACAAAACCAATTATCACGTGCTCACTAGAAAATTCAGTGGCTCTTTTGAAATCAAAATGGTGCATTACCATGACTGCCTTGAGACACTGAAGTGGCAGGGGAAATTAACTTTTATGTTATATTTATTTCCTCAAGATGTCTCTCCCTTTCATATGTTACTAATAATTTGCATGTTTTCCTCCATGTCTCCCATGCTTGCCATAGAGTAAAACTGCACATTTACTGTTTTTTAGGGGCTGCCTGAAATAAGTGTAATGTTGAGGAACGGTGTCTGGGCAGCACATGCAACATTGCAAATCATGCTCCAGTTTGAGAAATTACACCCTATGTTTAGAGTTCAGATCTTCATATTACTTTGAGTTGCTTTATCCAGTTTGAGCTCATAACATTTTGTGCTGTTACAAAATTAGTTCAGATGTGAGGCTTTGAAACCTCCCAGCCTGTCAGCTTTTCAACTGGGTCTAAAGCTTCTTTCATTTTAACAGGGTCCAGAATTCTGAATATTATTGGTAGGTGATCTGAGTCCTGGATGTCAGTGACAGCGACCTCTCACATTCAGATGTTCTCATATACATCACCTCTACTACCGTCATGTGGGTTATGTGTAGAGCTCTGTGGAGTTGAGATTTCAAAGTTAGAACAAACAAATAATTCAAAGAGCTTCAAGCCTAAGGGGTTTGAAACTTTGCTATTCCAAACATGATGCTTTATATTCAGGTCTTCTGCGAGGATAGACATTTCTAAAACCTAATAGGTCTGTGATGTCTGTCGCTTCATACACTTTGTTGAGACTTACAAAAAGCTGCAAACAACATTTCATTGTTTCCACCCAGTCTGCAGACCTTGTTGCTTCTACTGAACAGAGGGGAAGCAAGTCTGTGTGCATCTGTGAGGAATACCTCTTTTCCCTGCTGAAAAACATCCTTTGTGCCAGTTTTTACGGTCAGTCCAATAAATATAAATGTCATACGAGATTTCAGATATGTCTCTGAGAAGAGGGCCATGTTATACGCCTGCCTCCCATTGCTGTTAGTACTGAATACTTTGACTTTCAGAGGTCCAGGAATTGTTTGCATTATTCTTCAACACTCCAAACATTACATTAGTTATGACAGCAACCTTTTCAATTTCTGTCATAGTGTCTGACAGCTCTGTCATAATTTGCTGCACCATAGTGAAAGCAAGGAGAATGCCCATTGCATTAACATGTATATCTGACTGTGTAAGATTTAAAGAAGTGGAGATTATTTTCAGGAATTTTTGTATGGCACTGTAGTCTTTCATACGCTTAGTTCTGATCCATGCACAGAAGTACTCCCTGGTTATGATGTTAATACTGTTGTGGGCTGACTTTATCCAGACATTTTATTGTTGCGTAATGTGTTAGGTAGGCTGTTGCCTAGCGATGGGTGACTTTTCTTGTTACACTATTCCGGCTTTCAGCCCCCATGTCATTATATATTTTTACTCATGCTTAACCCAATATTTGCTACAGGTAAGTTGTCAGGGATACCCTCCTGGCTGCAGCCTAGCCATGAAAAGAACTCTGTGTCAATTTAATTGTGTGAATAGACTCCATAGCCAGTCGGGACATGGCGACAGAAAGTTTTCTGCCATAGGCAGAAATTGAAGCACAGTATTCAGGCATGTAGGCAGTCAGTATACTTATTATGGATAATGAAAAGGCCGTGCCATAGCTCAAGTGGTTAGTCGCTAGCTGCCCGGGTTCGATCCCGGGTCTGGTCTAGTGGGATTTGTGGTGGACTAAGTGGCGGGGTGGGTTTTCTCAGAGTACTTAGGTTTCCCCTGCCAATCTTCATTCCAGCAAATTCTCCATCATCATACTCACCCGGGGCAGGCTACAATAGGCCAGTCAGTGGCTGCTGTGCCAAGTGGACCCAGTCGGACTCCCCCCCCCCTCTAAAAGTAAAAGTGAAGCTATCCCCGAACCAGGCCCGTGAAGGGCCATGGGGTTGTGAGATGTTGAGGGTCCCACATTATCTAAGCAAATTAAAAAAATAGATTATGAAATACTGAGCTCACCTCATAATCCAGCCCTGGTCATCTAGGCAGCAGATAATCTAATAGTGGGTGACCAGGGTTGTCTGGCCTGGAGCCAGTCATATTGACTGAGCTGTCCCAGGTCACTCAAACTAAACCAGGACTATCTTTAATGGTCTATTCCCATTCCCAGTAATCTCAAGTAATTGAATTTCGTATGTAAGTTACCAGTGTTTATACTGAACAAACTCTTATTTGACCTGGTATTGTTGAACCACAACCTTTCTACCCATGTAGTGACCATATTGACCAAGCTACCCTAATTTATATGAAAGTAGGGTACTAGGTCTGAGGGAAGATAATCACCTGATTTAAGCTGTGTGGAATTCATAAATATACTTGTTTTGCACTTTGTAATACATTTTATGCTAGATAGATCTAATTGTAATGACTAGTCATTGAGAGCTTGGATAGTGCAGTCGATATAGTGACTGGCTACAGGCAGGATGACCGAGGAGACGGGTTTGGGGTCCCTATATGGTCAAGAATTTTCTCCACATCGTCCAGATCGGCTCTGGGTGCCACCCAGGCTCCTATCCAGTGAGCAGCAGGAGCATGAAGCAGATCACTCGCCTCGAACTGGTACCGAGGTCAAGAAAACGTGGATCTGTACATCCACTCCACCATACGTCGTCGTGGCGTGGTGCTTGCTTAGACACGGACAACTTTACATATCCCTGTACCAGAGACTGTAGGTAGGTATCACAGATTAATAAGGTAGTTATTTAGTAATCTGTGATCGAAGATTGAGTTTTGTATGTATGGTTAGTATAATCGGTGCGATGTATAAGAGGATGGTTGGCTGTGCGGCCAGTGTGAGTTGATGAAAAAAAGAAGTTTATATGTAGAGGAATTGCTCTTTGAGCCGGTATAATGCTGGCGATCCTCTGAAATTAGAATGGTGAGTACATTATGTTTGCGTCCTAAAGAAATGCTGTGTTTACGTTACAGAGTGGGCAGAGCTGTGGCCATGCGTAACATTTCGTAANCCCCCCCCCCCCCCGGTTACGTTTTGGGCAATAAAACTATTTAAATAAAAATAACCCCAATATAAAAAGTTTTATGTAATCACATTGCTTGTTTCACTGTTTATTGCATGTATAGGCTCTGTCCTATGGTGTACTTCTGAGAATACCCTTTCACTCAGTTGTAACAGACTACCCCCAGTTACTCCGTTATAATGAGGGGTTATTGTATTTAAATCTACCGTCTATATGTGGAGACTGCCCCTTCCATCGGCAACCAGAAGGTGCACCATGGCGTGACACACTTAGCATAAAGAAGCACAGAGGCTCTAACTGATGCTAGTAAGGAGGTGAATGGTGCGAAAGTAATACTAATGTTGATGTCACATTGTCGGAATTAAGGGCAAAACTATGACACAAAGGTAGCTAATAGATACTTTGAAAATGTGAAAAAGTTCAGATATTTAGAACAGGCAGTTATGAATCAAAATATGAGTAATGCTTCTTGCCATTCATTTGATAACCTTTTGTCTTATTGTATGCTGCCTGAAAATGTAAAAATTAAAATATCGAAAGTATAATTGTGCTTGTAGTTTTATGTTAGAGGAAGAACATAGATTGAGGGTGTTTGAGAACTGGATGCTGAGGAGCATATTTGGACCAGATGGGAGTGAAGTAGGAAGAGGTTAGAGAAAACTGTAATAATAATGAGGATCTTCGTATTAGTGACCCTTCACCAAGTGTAACTAGTAACTAGAATAATGAAGTCAAGGAGGATTATATGGGCAGGGCATGTAGCACACATGGGGGAGAAGAGGGATGCATTCAGCAATTTAGACATAAAGACAGATGGAAAGGAACCACTGGAAAATCCTAGACATAGGTGGAGGGATAATATGAAAATGGATATTAAAAAGGTGTGATGAGGTACGTACTGGAATGACCACACTCAGAGTAGGGACCACATAGTGTCTTAATGTATTTTAAAACCATGAAGTCATTGAAGATAGGGTCCAGTGATCTAGCACAGTTTTGACAGATAAGAAATGCACACAGACCCAAAGTAAAAGTGACTGCTTCCATCTCGGTTTGAAGACTGTATTAATATTAATCTCATAAAAATGAAATGTGTTATGGTGTGATTTGTTCGGTGTTATGTGAAGACAGTAACAAACCTCATTTCCATAAATGCAGTGGTGGACTGTTCATGTTAACTGGATAAGTCAGCTAGCACTCAGAAAATGCTAGTGCAGCAACAGCACAAATACCCCATCATATACCATCAACATTCATTACATTGCTATACAAACAAAGGAGCGTGCGGTTTGGCAAACCATTGTTAATTGATGAGTGCAGAACAGCAATGAAATCCATTTCAGCAGTAAAGCCAGTACCGTCAAAATCAGCTTCTTGCGTTTGGAATCCTAGAGCTCTTATTATTTCCGTGAAGTTACCACTTATGTAGTTTGTTGGGAGAGATCATCTCATGTGTCATTAAAATTGAATCAGTCATTAGACACATTTTGGAGAATATCGCCATTTTGTGTTTTGGGGCCCATCTCTAGGGCCTCTGTTTATGGACCTCAAATGTTTATATTCACTGGGCACTGACCCAGGTTGGATGAACTCATTAAATCGCAGTGTAAATGAAATCTGTCCATCTTTTCAGGTTCTAAGGATCCTAACATTTTTACATACAAGAAATGAAAATAAAAAAGTTTTACAGTCAGGCTTCAGTTGTGCATGATGTGTTGATGGGAGAGGCAGTCATATAATGTATCTTGTGGTACCTCCATCCATCCTGTCACAGGTATTGTGAGGCAGTATGTTGAGGCTTGCTAAGACTGTTCATGAGTGCTGGCGCATTTCGAAGAGCTGCTGTATTGTACAGGCATGAGAGCGAGAGGGTGTGCATGACATACCAAGTTATAAGATTAATTAAATGAGAACTGTTAACACACTTGGTCTCCTTTTGTGCTGAGAGAGCAAGTTCTCCCTCTGCCTTGGGGTTTTCCTAACATCCACCACTGCAAAAAGGCAGGAAATATATTGACTGGCAGAATGAGTTTTGGTTACTGAAGAAGGACTCTGCTATGAGTTATGTACAGAGCAGCTCATATCAGTTTGATGCTGAACAAAATGGTGTAATTTTGTATAATGATAGAGCACAGCCATGGCTGATGAGTGTACGGTGGTGTTACAGAAACATGTAGCAGGCCCCTGTAGTGAGACATATTCAGCCTCTTCCCCTGATGCAAATCAGGCCATGAATATCAAAGTCGAGGAAGTCTCAGATGTAGAAGTGGAGGAGGAGCAGCAGCCTGTGCCAATGACATTTGTAGGAATAAAGGCTGAACATGAGGTGAGCTGTGTGTTCCCTGTGTGCCCACTGCGTGGCAGATTTCATGCATGACCAGATTTGCATGTTGTCTCTCTGAACTCCATCTGTCTGTCGCTACAGCTCTGGCGAAGGGATTTTGAAGAGTCCTTTTAGATATGTCTCAATTGGTTTGTTTTCATTGCAGCTTGCTTGTTATGTACCATTTCTGCTTTGTCTTAAGGAAATATGCATGACATAATATTTGGAGAAATAAAGAATAGTAAGTTAGTAGGAAATTTAAAGCAGATTCAATTCAGGGAACGGTAGGTGCCATTATTTAGGNTCCAGCCACGGCCTAGCCTTTCCACTAGCCTTTCACCGCAGCAAGCCTTTCTCCTTACCGGCGCGCGCCGCGCTACCTCACCGGTCAATCATCTCAGCAACCACGGTCCTTTTCAGGGCCAACAAATTGTTCCGAAGAAGTGGGTTGTCATAGGAGTAATGACAAAGACTACACAACATAAGAAAACCCCACAGATCAAATAAGGATGATCAGTTAGATGGGTCATGTAGCATGTATGGCAGAGACTGGAACTGCTTATAAAGTTTGAGTCAGGAAACCTGAAGTGAAGGGACCACTTGGGAGACTGTGTAGAGTGAAGGTACAATGAATTTGCCTGATGTTCTCCTGAAGACTTGTCACCTGGTTGGGCCAGAGAGAGAGGCCAGTTGTGTCATCTCGCATTGCATATGCTCAGAGTCATGACACAGTGAACATGAGACTAGGCCAACAGATTGTGAAGAACAGCCACCGCTCACAGCAGGCATTCCTAGTATCTCCATAAAAAATCACATTTGTTCTAGAAGTTTCTCTTTGGAGATTGAGTAGACTTTGTAGAGCTGAAACGTAAAACCTGAAATGACAAACTTTAAATCCATATGACCTTTTTAAAGCATGTAAGTGATTTTGTTTGAGAAGAGTGTTCACTTCTAGAAGTGATTTAATTTAGTCTGTCTTCAGTGAGCATTGGCTGATTAGACTCAGTTTTCCCCCTTTCTCTCTTTGTTTTTTTACTTTTCTTCTTTTGGTGGACTAATGATTTTATATGTGTAAATTTATGTATGACCGTGTGAGTATTTTTTTTGGCGGGGGGAGGTGTAACTTTCAATAAATTTTGTCAAAATCATTGCTTGCTCTATACATGGGTAATGTGTATGCAGACCGCTGTAAAATGTAATTATTCTCAGACAGTATTTTGATGAAAGAAGTAACATGTCTGGAAATTGCATATCTGCTTGGAAAGTTTACTTGAGAGGTAGATGGCACAAAGACTTTATACAGAGTAGCTATTCAAATATTCATTTGGGTGTTACTGGAGAGAACTTGTAATGTGTAAATGTTAGTAGCCTGTCAACTGTGCCAGGAGTGCAAACACATAAGAGTGTGGGATGACAGGCCTGAGTTCCCGTTGCTTTGATGGCTGAGGGATTTTGCTGACAGGTATAACAAGTGTTAACCCGTTAAAGACTGCCTTAAGTGGTATCCTTCCTCCCTGTATTCTGCTGCTGCATCAGTCTAAGTGCAGAGATGTGGTATAACTTTATGCAGAGGTCACCATGTCGCAGAGCTGATGCTAATCAACAAGGCGCTACAAAAGTAAGGTTGTAGAGAATGGACTGGATTTGTTCCCCTTAGGATTGGGACTTGAGGCAGGCTGTTGTGAACACTGTAATGAACTGTCTATCTCCATAAGTGGCAGGCAGTTTGTGCGGTAGCTGAGAGACCAGTCACATCTGCAGAAGGAGAATACTGCTCCATGTAATTATTAGTAACAGTTTTGAAAAGTGCGAGGAATAAAATGTGTATGAGTATGTGTTAGCTGCTGTTAGCTTGATGCAGTGCAGAGTGGTCGTTCAAATGAAAGTGTGTTGTATATCAGTGGTTCTCAACCTTGTCAGACCTCAGCCCAGTAAATACTTTTTTCTATAAGATGAGGGCCCAGTATAATTGATGCCATGTCTCAGTACTGGGCCGCGGCCCGGCAGTTGAGGAACACTGTTATATATCCTGATGAGTGTATGGTGGTTTTACAGAAACATGTACCAGGCCCCTGTAGTGAGACACATCCAGCCTCTTCCCCTGATGCAAATCAGGCCATGAATGTCAAAGTCGAGGAAGTCTCAGATGTAGAAGTGGAGGAGGAACATCCTGTGCCAGTGACATCTGTAGGAATAAAGGCTGAACATGAGGTGAGATGTGCGTTCCCTTTGTGCCCACTGTTTGGTAGATTTTACACACAGTCATATTTGTCTGCTGTCTGCCTTGTCTCCATTTGCCTGTCGATACTGCTCTGATTAATGCATTTTGAATAGTCCTTTTTGGTATGTCTTGATTGAACAGTCTTTTAATTCACATTGATTGTGGTGTACCATTTCCACATTTTCTTAAGGGAATACCTGTGAAATATCAGTTACATTAAATTGAAAAAAATAATAATTTTGTAGGAAATTTAAAGCAGATTCAGTTCAGGGAATGCCAGCTGCCATTATTGAAATTATGTTTTGCTTTCCGATGTATTGTACTATCAGAAAATATAAGATACAAATATATACAAAAGTGTAATTTCACTTGGTGTTCAAATTGTTGTAGAACATGGTTTGTGATCTCTCCAAAGGGGGGAAAGTAACATGGCTCCAGAAAATTGCATATTTGGAAGCTTCACAAATTCTCTTGATTACAGAATGATGAGTTGGATGGGTTATGTAGCGTGTATGGCAGAGACTGGAACTGCTTATAAAGTTTGAGTGGGAACACCTGAAGTGAAGGGACCACTTGGGAGAATATGCATAGAGGGAAGGTACAATATTGTCACGTGTTGCATAAGGTTCTCCTGAAGACCTGTCAGCTGGTTGGGCCAGAGAGAGAGAGAGGCCACTTGTGTCATTTCACATTGCGTCTGTTTGGAGTCGTGGCATAGTGAACATGCGACTAGGCCAACAGATTGTGAAACACAGTGCCCCCTCACAGCAAATACTGGCAGTGGTTCCTTTTCCTTCCTCCAGTCTCTCTGCCCACACATCCATTCCTTTGGTGGAATAATGATTTTATATGTCTACGTTTATGCACACTTGGGTGACTATTTTGTTTGTTTTGTAACTTTCTGTAATTTTTGTCAGAATCTTTGCTTGCTCTCTACCTGGGCAATGTGTATGCACACTTTTATCAATACGTAATTATTCTCCGATGGCATGTTGACCCAGGAAGTAACATGTCTGATTGAATGTGTAGTACAGTAGCGTGCCCTTGGAGACTACACTTGACAGGCACATAGTGCAGAAACTTTCAGTATAGTAGCTCTTCAAATACTTATCATGGTAATACTGGGAGAAGTTGTAATGTGTAAAAGTCATTGCCCTGTTGACTGTGTCAGGATTCTGAACACATGGAGTGTGAGATCACTAGCCTGAGTTCATCCGGCCCAGTTGGCTGAGGGATTTTGCAAGTGGGTCGTGAATGACCTTCCTGAAGTATTAAAACAAGTGTTAACCCCTTTAAGACTTCCTTAAGTGGCATCGTTCCTGCCTAAATTTATCTGTTATTGCACCATTATCTTATTCTTAGATGTCTGGGGTATATTGATGAATAGTGTAGTCAGGGAAAGATCACCAGTATGACAAGGAGGAGGACTGCCTCAGTCTAAGTGCAGACTTCAAGTTGCCTCAGACATGTGGTATGACTGGTTAGAGGTGAGTGTGTCACAGAGGTGATGCTAATCAACAAGCCGCTACAAAAGTAAGGTTGTAAAGAATGGACTGAACTTGTTTCTCTTAGGATGGGGACTTGAGGCAGGCTGTTGTGAACACTGTAATGAACTTATATGTCTCCATAAGTGGCAGGCAGTTTGTACAGTGCCTGAGAGACTGTTCACTTCTCAGTAACAGTTTTGAAAAGTGCAAGGAATAAAATGTGTATGTGGCAGCTGCTGTTGGCTTGATGCAGTACAGAATGGTCGTTCATATGAAAATGTGTTGTATATCCTGTAGTGAGAGAGCACAGCCATAGCTGATGAGTGTATGGTGGTTTTACAGAAACATGTACCAGGCCCCTGTAATGAGACACATTCAGCCTCTTCCCCTGATGTAAATCAGGCCATGAATATCAAAGTCGAAGAAGTCTCAGATGTAGAAGTGGAGAAGGAGCATTCTGTGCCAATGACATTTGTAGGAATAAAGGCTGAACATGAGGTGAGATGTATGTCTGTGCTCACTGTTTGACTGAGACCAAAATTGCCTGTTGTTTTCCTAATTTCCATCTTTTTGTCTATCCTTACAAGACAACTCTGCTCTGGTNAAAATACGGAAATTCCCGTCATTTTTTGAACACACTTCGTATATTTTGAAGTGTCATTTTTGATATGTCTTGGTTGGATTGTTTGTCATTGCATATGACCTGTGGTGTACCATTTCCACTTTGTCTTAAGAAAATATATGTGAAATAACATTTGGGGTAAATTGGGGGAAAAATAATTCAGTAGGAAATTTAAAGCAGATTCAATTCAGGGAACGGTAGCTGCCATTATTTAGGTAAAGTTTCACTTTCCTGCGTGCTGGCACAAAATATATGATACAGATATACACAAAACTGTAACTTCACTTGTTTGTATTGTTTTGGGGTATGGTCTCTGTTTGTTCCTAAGAGGGAGAAAGTAGCATGTGGCTGCAGAAAACTGCATATTGGGAAGCTTCACAAATTCTGCTGATTACAGGATATTCTTAGATCGAATGCAGAATGATGAGATGGATAAATTATATGAAAGATGGGAACTGCATATAAATTTTTAGTTGGATGGCCTGAAATGAAGAGACCCAGGGGAGACTGTGCATAAATGGAAGGTACAGGCCACTTGCCTCATCTCGCATTCTGAGCTCAGAGTCATGGCACATTTTGATGACATTTCATCTTTTTTTCCATGTATCCTATGCGATGCTCTTAAATATATAAGTCTCAGATATGAGCTGCTGGTTTCAGAAATATAAATTTTATAGGTAATTTTTCGGTAAATTTTTGGACTTTTAAGGGTATTTCTTGTCATTTTTGGCCATTTTAGGGAATTTTTCTTCATATGTTTTCTGAAATTTGAATAACATTGAAGCGAAGTGTTCTTTCTTTTCTCCTTTAGGTCATTTTTCTGGATTTTTTCAGTCATTTTTTTAATATTTTCAGGTCATCAAAATCCAGGCCCTGGTCATGACAGTAGCTCAACAGATTAGAAACAGATCCAGGTCACAGCAGATGCTAGTAATGGTCCCTGTTGATACATAGGCATTCCCAGTACCTCTATAAAATATTCATATTTGCTCTTGAAGTTTCTTCTTAGTCTCTTCAGACTTTCTTAAGACTTTAGAGCTGAAATTTGAAATCTCCAACTTTAAATCCTGGTTACCTCTCAAAAGTTTGCAAATATCTTTTGTGAAGAGTATTCAGCCATAGTTTGTCTTCAGTGAGAACTGGCCATTTTTATTCAGTTCCCCACCCCCTTTTTTTTTCACTCTGTCTTTCATTCCCTTCTCCCTTTCTTTCTTCCATTCCTCTTTGTGCAGTAATAAGTCTGTATGTCAGAATTTACATACAATTGTGTGAACATTTTGTTTGTTTCGTTTTGGAGGTGTAACTTTCTGTAATTTTTGTCGGAATCTTTGCCTGCTTTTTGCCTGGGTAATGTATATGCACACTTTTATCAAGACGTAATTCTCATTTGGCATGTTGACCCAGGAAGTAACATGTCTGACTGAATGTATAGTACAGTAGCATGCGCTTGGAGACTGTAGTTGACAGGCACATCATGCAGAAGCTTTCACTATAGTAGCTCTTCAAATATTTATTGAGGTATTACTGGGGAGAAATTGTAATGTGTAAAAGTCATTGCCCTGTTGACTGTGTCAGGATTCTGAACATGTCTAGCATGAGGTGACTAGCCTGAGTTCATGTATCCCAGTTGGCTGAGGGATTTTTTGGTTTCTCTCAGATGGCTTTCCTGAAGTATTAAAACAAGTCTTAACTTTTTGAAGAGTACTTTAAATGACATCCATCCTGCCTGTATTCTCCTGCTACTGCAGCATTTTTAGATGTGTGGTGTATATTGATGAATAGAATGTAGTGCATAGTCAGAGAATCATCACAAAGAGAACAGGGCTGCTGTCTGTTGATGACAAGGGGAAGTACAGTCAACTCTCGATTATCCGGGATAATGGTGGGGATGGAAATCACGGTTAATCGAAAACCCGGTTAAGACAAATTTTTATAAAGTAGTACTGTAATACTGTACCTTCATAATACTATAGGCATACCTGTATTTAAATTTATTCAACCTCATTTTTATGTCATCTCATGGCCTATTTAATACTTTTTTTACATTACACTGAAGTATGAATTAGTTATTTCAATCACAGTGTTCAACAACATCCAACA